CAGATGATTCTCGTATCAGCCAGAACTAGTCTCCAGTTAATTCTGATTCATTCATCAGCTGATATTTGCTGAGCTTCTGCTCTCTCAGGCATTGACCATGGTGAGGACAACAAAAGAACCAGCAGTGAGAGAGCCTACACTAAAATGCTGGAGTTGGTGTGCTAGCCCAGGCTGGTGGTGGTGGTTGGGGGGGAGGTGGGAATTTGGCCAGTGTGATCAATCAAGAGCAGAAAGGCTTCTCTGTATGAAGTAGGGTAGAATGACAAGAGGAAAAAAAAATAATATTTTATATGTTGGGAAAGATTGAGTTCATTCAGGGATGAGAAAGTAACTAGACTAGAGAAGAAATTAGGATCAGGATCAGGAAGGGGTGCTAAGCTAAGGAATTTGACCTTCATTCTTGATGCTAGAATTTTAAGACTGAATGGTGACAAGTAGCAAACACAATATAAATTCTAGCCCTCACTATTATCATTGTTATTGTCAGGTGTTTAACCTTAGAAATACTATGTTGATAGTACACTGGAGAATAGGCTAGAGGGAACCTATACTGAAACAGGGGAAATAGTCAAAACTATTAGATTTATTCAGTTTAGGAATAGGAAAGATAGAAGGAGGTAGATTTTACAGGAGTTGGAAGACTGACCCTGTGATAATTTAAAAACTTACATCTTCATGCCCCAGTTTGTAAAGTCCTTTCATGTAACTAATCTTTAGATTAGTCCAATTTTACAAATAAAGGAAACTGAGGATCAGAAATGAGCTGGCTTGTTCAAGGTCACATGACAAGTACATAGGAGACTTCACACCAGGCCATCCTACTGCATTAAGTTCCTGCTCGTAGAGGGTAGAAACGCTGTATGAACACTTGGGAGGGTTGGGGTCCTCCCTTTCTTGTTGGTATGTGGATTGGCCTCAGAGGGACTCAGCCTCAGCTCCATATTCCCAGATACAGAAATAGTGAGAAGGTGAAGTCCCCACAGTGGATTCTCAGCCAACTTTGAAAAGGGCCCATATTTGGCTCCAGTTTTCCCAATACCATCTTGGAGCTGGTAGGTCATGAAAGCAAAATAGCAGAAATACAGATTCCGGAGCAGACAGCAAAGGCAGGTGGTGAAGCTCTCTTGACCCATCTTTGTATTCATTTCTGTTTCAAAGACATGTCCCCTTCTCCATCCCATCCCTTCCCATTTCCCCCAGGACCTTCTCCATCAATTAATTTCCACCTCTCCTTGATCTCTGCCTTTCCTCTTTGCAGGCTTCAAATTTGTACTGACCTCACCTACCCTTAAAGGGTCAACCAACTCAGTCCTGCCTTTTTCTCAGGCTGTGTGCCCTGAAGAGTTACCAACATCTTCACCCATGCTTCACACAGGGATGAGAAAGTTTCGACCAGATTTTGCCTGTCATCTGACTAGGTTCTCTGATTCTCTTAATTTCACAGTTGGCCTTCTGATTACCATGATTCCTCTTTGAGGACAATGGCTTGCAAATGGGTCCGCAAATATTTTGCAGACTGTATCTATGTAAACTTCATTGTGTAATGCTTCATACTTGGATGGATGGCACATCAATTAGGAATTTGTTTGACTGCTGCTAACACAGCAGCCCAAATCCTCTGGCTTAGCTATGTGAGACACTATAGGCAGAGATGATACATATCAAATTGACTAGCAAGGGGTCAGGGAGAGGTACTTGGGCTGTGGCCACAGCCCTTGTACAAAGTTTTCAGTATTCTGGGCTCCTGTGTCTTTTCACACTTTCTCCCTTGGCATGTTGGTTTGTGGTCCAAGATGACAATGTGTCTCCAAAGTATCTTCTAGATAGGAAGAAGGAAGAAAAGGCAAAGAGATAAAAACAGCCAAATCTTTCTTTTCTTTGAATATTAGGGTGTTCCCATTTGTTGTCTTCAGTTATAGTTAACCAACTGGATCTCTTTTTTTTGTTGAAATGTGAAACTATCCAGTTAAAATTCAGTGTTTTAAAAAACTTTTATTTTGAATATATTACTTAGCTAGGTCACTGTGTTCTGCTTTCTTTTTTTAAAGTACACATATCTTGTGCTCGCTTCGGCAGCACATATACTAAAATTGGAACGATACATAGAAGATTAGCATGGCCCCTGCGCAAGGATGACATGCAAATTCGTGAAGCGTTCCATATTTAAAAAATAAAAATAAAAAAAAGTACACATATCTTTATATACAAATATATGTACACATATATACAAAAACACATAGTTTTTATGATAATTATTTGATAATAAAGTCATTCTGGTCCTTTATTCCTAAATACTTCAATGCATATTTCCCAAGAATTCAGAAGTCTCATAGATAACCATAGTTCTCAGTATTGATACAATATTTTAATCCATTTATTCCAGTTTTGTCACTTGGGCCCATGTTCTTAAGGCATTTCTTTTCTTTTTTAAAATTTTTTATGATCATATTATTGTTGTTCTGGAGGTACATTGTGACATTTATGAAAGTGGTTACAATATATCTTAGATTTATCCCTTCCATCATTTTCCTGTATTCTCTCTACTACATTCTTAGAATAGTATCAACAGGTCTCATTTTCCCATTTTCATACATGAGTACATATTTCCACCATATTTACCCTCCTTCACCCTTTTCTTATATCCTCCCTGCTCTCACTGGTACTAACCCCTAGACAGGACCTGATTTATGTTCCTGTCCTCTGTTTTTGAGGGAAAAAAAATTTTTGTTTGTTTAAGATATCTATACAGAGAGTTTCATTATGACATTTCCATGATATATATGTATTGTGTTCTGCTTTTTCACAGTTAATTCAAAACAGAGCAAAACTCTGGGAATTATTTCAACACAAACAACTTATTCTTTAGGATTTTTCTCTAAATATAGGACCTTTCTTGACCCTTACACAGCAAGAGATGGTCCTTCTGGACTTTCAGCTTGGGCTATCCTTAATGTGGTTCAGTCCCCAGGACCATCCTAGGAAAAGAAGCAAAGCACCTATTCACAGTAGGCCCTGAGTTAGGCACCTGGATATGTAAATGAAAACAAGGCCCCTGCCTTAGCAACCTCAACATTTATTGTGAGAGGTGAATGGATTAATTAAACAACTCATAGTTAAACAACTTGTAATACAGTTATGTTTCCATATATAGCAGTAAACAAATATGTAACGTGCTATGGAGTAGTAGAGCGAGGGATTCATTCTTATGGGTAGGAAGGATGAAGACTTCACTGAGGTTGTGACTTTCAAAATGGGGTTTGAAAAATGAGTAAGTTTTCTACACAGAGATGCATGGAAAGCACATTCTAAGCAGTGACACTACTGGAGGAAAAGGACAAGGGATGGAGATGATGAGTTCTTCAGTGTCATATACCATAGAGTATTTCAGGTGACATGGGGGCTGGAGAGACAGGTGGGGGCAAATGCAGAAGACTTTGGACACGAGCCTGGGGTTAGGCTTGTCTGTACTGGCCATGCACCCACAGAAGGCTTTTGTGTCCCCATTTTAGCTATTAGATTGGATAGGCCCTATTCCTTGGCCCTCTGTCTTTAGACTTGAGCCACTGTCCTATGATGAAGTCCACCATTTCTTCCTGGTCTTCTGATCCTACACAGGTCCGGATATCTGCCTCAAACAGATATCTCAAATCCTAATAGTTAGGATTTGGAGACAATTGATCTTTTTCAAGAGGGCTTTTATATTTTCCCTCTGACACTACACATTACAGGCAAATGGTGTTGATGGTTTGGATTTGGGCCGGCTGGATCTGTTCTCTCCTCAAGGCTGGAGGTTTAGATCTTCAGTATTTTCAAGTTTCATGCTTAGTTCTTTAGTGTTTGTAATTATCATTGAATGAGTGTCCAAGCTGGTTAGTGATTTTCCTGTTCAACTGGCAGTCACTTAACTAAGATGTACAGAGATGAAACCAAAACTTACATCTCCTGACTCTCAATCCAGTGCTCTTTTGGGTATGCTCCAGCTCCTGGTTCTGATTAGCTAGTCATAGAACAGAATGTACTTGGCTGCCTCAAACCCACAGGGTCCTGACTGAGAGGCGGAGCTGAAGGAAGGTTGTGTTCCCAGAATGGAATCCTACTGTGCCTCAACCCAGACAGCATAATTTTATGTCTTCTGATACCACCCTTTCTTCTGTAAAATGGGAGTGGAGCCTATTTAATCCTTCAGCTACAGCTGAGATCTAAGACTGACCACAGCTGTTTTGTGATGGATGAGGGATGGTGGATCTATGTACAAGTTGTGGAATCTTCGAGTCAGAGTAGGAAGGCGCCTTGAGGGCGATTTGTGGTGACAGGCAGCCCCCCTGCGGTATACTGAGCCTAGAAGCCTACCCAGAGATAGAGGACAAGCTTTCCTCTTAACAGAGCCTCCTATGTTTGGAACTGCTCAAACTGAGACAGGATGTTCACGCAGAGGGGCTCCTGCTCTAAAGGGGCTGTCTGCAAAGAAGTGGCGGGATCCCGGGACTCCATGCACACATTCCTTCTAAGACCTGCCTAGCTGAGCTGGCAGGACCAACGCCACGAATTACAAGCACTAACAGGAACAACCGCCACCGTCTACAAATCACTTATTAAACGCCCGGCACTTTACATACCAATTTATCTTGGTGAAATAAATCTAGAATCGTGGGAGGTATGTTGATCGTGATCTCTACTTAAGGTGAAGACACAGGTTTAAAATGTTGTGCATTTCTCCCAGGGACCGAGCCTTGAAACAATGTAGGTTTTTCAGATTCCAAAACGTGTTTCAGTGTTTCTTTTTCTTCAGCGCCGTACAAGAAGGGAGAGGCTTCACAGCTCGGTGTACCAGGTTCCCTCCATAGAAAGCAAAACCAGGTATATTGCTGGCGACAGCCTTTCGGGCCCGGGTGGGCGGGGCCAGGCTATGGGCGGGGCCACATGCAGAAAAGGAGGGGCGGGGCCCTACCACGGCCGGAAGTGGCAGTGTGGGCGGAGCCCAACTGGACGCCGAGTCTCTGACGCAGTGTCCTCGGCGCTGAGGGCAGCGTCCCCTCCTCTGCACTTGAACTCGCCCAGCCGCCGCGTTCTCACCGCCGCAGCGCCCTGGACAATGGTTCCCCGCCTGCTGCTGCGCGCCTGGCCCCGGGGCCCTGCTCTTGCCCTGGCAGCTCCCTGTCGGCCCCTCAGCGCCGGCTCCGGGCCCGGCCAGTACCTGCAGCACAGCATCGTGCCCACCATGCATTACCAGGACAGCCTGCCCAGGTGAGCGCGGCTTCCCGGCCCCCACCGTCAGCTCGGATCGGCCCCAGCCTGACTCCACTCACTCAGGTCTCGCCCTGAACCCGCTCCCGCCCCACGCCCTCGCCTTGGAGGCAAGCCACATCCCCCAGTGTGGAAGTCCTGCGACTTTCCTAATCTGGCACAGGGGCTTCAGAACCTTTAAATTCTCTCTAGAATCCTCCCATGCTCAGATTCTCCATCTCGATTGACCCAACTTCCAACCAGATATCCGGAGTCCCTCACAAAAATATCCTACCTGAATATCTCCAGCACTACCACTAGCCCTCCAACTAGAGTGTTCCCTAAGGCACTTTAATGACTGGCCCAAATATGGGCAGTCAATTCCTGACACATCGTACTGTAGTCACCCTCCCTCAACTTCTCCCAGTGCTCATCTTCATCCAATACCCAGAACCCTCAGTTCCACTCCGTTCCTTCAGTACCCTGCTCTTTTACTACTCGATTAGTCCCAGCAAACGCACCCCTCTGTGCACCTGTACTCTCCACTTACTCCCCCAGGTCCATCCTAAGTCCAGTTTTTTTACCTGGAAACTTCATCCCACCAAACCTTTCTCAGCACCGCTCCCCTTTAAATATCCTCCCTTACCCACATTACTTCTTGCAACTCACAGAATTCTACACATTCAGTACCCCTCCCAAATTCCATCTTATTCAAATTAGATCCAGGACCGTCCCAAATTCTCACTGCTGTTCTCCATAGGCTACCCCCATCTTCTACAATACCTTACCCAGAATCTTATCTGTTCCATCAAAATGGTCCAACAAATTCCTCTCTCCCTCCCTCATTCAATACTTTCTTAACTTCACTTTCAGTTTTTGTCTTTGATCTCCCAGCATTCATCTGAATTCCTAGATCTCCCTCTCCAATATTAGAAACTACTTTCATTCTCTAAAACCCAAACTAAACTGTCTTCTCTACCCACTCACAGTTTAGTACCTAGAGCCAAGTTCCAAATTTGTCTCAAAAACCCATCTCACTTTCTTTCTCACCAAACTGCCACTGGGGATCCCCCAGCCCAGGGACTCGAGATCAGTGCTCTCCCCTCTCCCTAGGAAAAGAACAAACATTGTATCACAGGCATCTCTGGGTTGCTGTTTTTTTCCACATCCAGGAGTTACTTCCATCATCATCACTGCCCATCCTGCCTTCTCAGCAAGATGATCAGAGGAGGATTTCCTGTGAAATTACACTGTGCAAACATCTGAATTTGGCAGCCTTTGTTTGAGCTGTGTCAGTATGTAGGGGAAAGGTGAGGGCTCACAGAATGTCTTCACTTGCCAAGCTGAGCCAGGTCATTGAGTTTCAGGCAGGCTAGGGCTCCACCCAGGTTTAAGAGCAGAGGGATTTTTTCTGTATTTCAGAATTAGAAAACTGGAAAGAATATTGAAGATCCTTTACTTCAAGTCCATCCACAGCACAAAAAATATCTGTAAGAATCTGAAAATACAAACAGTACCAGTGGTCACTGATTAAGCAACCAACTTCCCCCTAGGCCTCCATTATCTCATCTATAAAGTGGGTGTAAGAGGGGAGATGAAATCCCTTTTGTCTGAGATTCTGGGCTAGTAAAATATATTCTCTTCATTCATGTGATGTCACGGTTGGTGAAAAGCTCTTCTAGGTCTGGTAGAACTTCATTATTATTTTTTTGGGTAGTGGTACTGGGGTTTGAACAGAGCTTTAAACTTGCTAGGCAGGCACTCTATTGTTACCAGGCTGAGTAGTCTAAGAAGACATTAGTCCAGAAGATCCCTGAGTTCTTGTGTCACCTGAACAGAGACCTGGATAGAGACACAAACTGCAAAATAGTAGCAAAACTTTATTGAAAGAAAAGGAAAGAAATAGTAAGGAAAAAAATCACTGCCAGAGAAGCAGTGGGCCCCCGCCAGATGGTGTGAAGCATTGATCTCTTTATTTAAAGACCAACTTATGAATTGTAAGGCTGTAAAACCTGGGCAGTCCTTAGGGAAAGATTAAGGTCGCTAGCTGGTTTTCTTAACACAGCCTTATCACATTAGAAAGGGCATCCTGTGCATGGGCTTATGCTAATTTTTGGCCTTTAATTGTATGTATGAGATGCAGCCAATATTCATGAGATCCTAAATGAGAGGACTTGGGCTGGGAGGTCAAATTGGGGGAAAGCCTTTTTTAATAACCAAGGCAGACCACAGGCATCTCTTCTTGATGCCAGGGTATTTACAAATTAGAGGGGATTTATTGCTCTAGAGATGGTTTAGGGCCTGCTGGGGGTGCTTGTTTGCTTAAGAGAAGGAAGCCCCTGGTGAGTCGTCCATTCCCCCATACCCCCCCTCACACACCAGTTTTATTAGCCTGCCTCACTACCACTTGAGCTATGGCAAAGCTCTTTTTTTTTGTTTGTTTGTTTTAGTTATTTTTCAGATAGGGTCTTGCACTTTTTGCCTGGGGCTATGTCAGATTGAGATCCTCCTACCTATGCTTTTTGTGTAGTTAGGATTACAGGAGTGCTCCATCATGCCTAGCCCTTTAACTTTTTTTTTTTTTGGATGTAGAGTCTTACTATGTAGCCAGGGCCAACTGTGAACTTCTGATCTTCCTGCCTCAGCCTCCTGGAGTGCTGGGATTATAGGTATGCACCTCCATGCCTGGCTAGAAATTCAGTTAACTTCTTAATGCCACAGTCATCTGTGAAGATGGAATGGCTGTTTCCAGGACCCTAATATAAGAAGCCAGAAATAAGGAAATATTGTAAATAGTCATTCCCTCCCTCTAATCACTGCCACTTTTTATCAGGTAGCCTTGGACTCTCTTTCTGTTAGGAACCCTTGCACTATCATTTGCTTGTTTAATTGTTATGGTTTTTTCTTGGCTCTTTTTTTTTTTGGTCAGTGTGGTAAAATATACATAACATGGCTACTATTTTACCCATTTTTTAAGTGTATAGTTTAGCTGTGTAATTTTTAAGGGGTATAATCTTAGGCTGTCATGTTGCAAATCCTGAGGAGATGAATGGCAAATCAACCTGACCTCATTCAAATTATTAATTTAATAAACATTTATTAATAAGGCTTTGGAGGCCCATCTGCCATGGTGAGGTGTTTACAGTACTATAGAGGAAATTCAACAGGTGAACAGTTATGATGTAATGTGATGATTGGGAAGCAGTGGTTAGGTGGTAAGACAGGAGTCAGACCTGACTTAATCCCAGCTGTACTTTTTACTGAGTGACCAGGAAGTCATCTTACCCCCAAATGGGAATGTTAGTATTACCTTCTTCTTAGGGTATTTAGAATTAAATACCCTAACATAAAGCACTTAGTGCAGAATCTGGCCCAGAGTTCATACTCAGCAGATAATCAGTTAAGCAACTGTAACTGTTATAAACATTTGTTACATGTCTAGAATGTGCCGGGAGAGAACCAGTGTGTTGTGAAAGTGTGGAGGTGGGAGTGACTTAGTGCCTGCACAAGTGAGGGAGGCTTCAAAGGAGGTGACATTGAGCTAGACTTTGAAGTTCACCAAGTGACAGGAATGAGGGAAGGACAGAATAGCACATGCCAAGTAAAAATTGCAGAACTGTGGGTTGCAATCAGAAATTTTGAGAGGTTTTTGGTAGGCTTCAGCCCAATGAATCACCGTTAGGCCTTCAGTTACTGGAATTGACCTTGGGTGTGGAGGGGGAGGCCATTATGAGACACTGTATTAGGTTTATAATTAATCCACAATAAATGTCAATTGTATGCTGTTTTTCTTTTAATTCCAGTCACTAGGTGATAACTGGTGTTCAAGACATAATGGACAGAGTCTCTAGAATTCATGTGGGAGGCAGGAGAGGCAGAGTTTCCAGGACATGGAGGATAACACAGGGAGAAACAGTAATGTTGTGAGCTCTGAAGGCATGGTCTTCTTGACTTCCATAATAACCTTATTCCCAAGTAACTTGGTGAACACTATCTCAATTATAAACCAGATCCTATGCATATAGAACAGCTTTTTATTTGTTCCCTATGTATTATTTTTATTAGATGCTCTTAGCATATCAAAAAAGGTATTTATGAAGTACTTGAGAAACCCAGTGGGTAAGCAATCCACAGGATAGTGAATTAAAGAATAAACCAGAGGAAGAAAAAAGAAACTTTCTTTTTTAGAAAAAAACTTTTTAGCTGTGTACTTGCAGGAAGAACACTATGGCACCTGCTGCTCGAAGGTGGTTGGTAATTATAGTAGGTGACTCAGATAGACTGGACTGGCGGTAAATCTGCTTAGTGTTTACTTTTCTTCCATCTTTTATTAGGGCAAGTGATGATTAGATGGGGGTGGGGTGGTTGAGATGGAACTGAGGCACACATCTCTCCAGACCCTGGCTCTTCTTCTTTTGAGGCCTGGAGAATTAGCCCACAGGGAGCTGAAGGAACTGTGGCTACATGTGCACCTACTTCTGCAATTCTTTGAGGAAAGTGGAGGAAGTGAGGTAGTTTGAAGAGACCAGAAGTGCTCTTACATCATGGTTTTTCAAGAGAATGGCAACTGGAAAAATGGTTTGTAAATACTTAGTGAAAAGGAAATTGTTGCAGTGATGGCCTGTATGGAAGCAAGTTATAGAAATTCCCATTGAAAGTGGCTTTTATTACAATGAATATACCCTAATAAAAATGAAGGGATAAAAGTCGCTTTTAAGCAAATAGGGATGTATGAGCTTACAGGCCTGAAAAATCCATGTTGGATCAAGAAACTCAAATGATTTTGTCAGGCCTGTTTTGCCTTCTTACTGAATTCTTCATTTGTGTGACTTTTTTCTCAATCAGGCTTTCTCATATACACTAATCTCCTAGTGACCCAAGCTAATAGGGATTCCCTAGAAGTTCCAAAGAATTCCTGTAATTAAGCCTTAATATTTCTTACTGAGTCACCTTATATCTGGCCAGGAAGCTATGAGACCACTCCTGGGAGTCTGGGTAGTTAATTCCACCCAAACTACAGGGATTGAGTGGGAAAAGTCGATTCTTCCAGGAAAACAGGGTGCTGTTACCAGTAAAAGGGAGAATGAGGGTGGGGCAGCTAAACAGACCTGCTGTCCTGGGCACCGAGGGGAGAAGAGGAGCTAGGTCCCCAGGGGGCTGAACAGACTGGTGGCAAGGGTAAGGTCTATAGGACTTGGGAACAGAGTAGTTTATTGAGTGTTAACTATGTGCCAGGCACTGTTCTTCCCAGCACCAAACTAATAATTCAGTGACCCTCCTTGATGTTGGACTTCCCAGCCTCCAGAACTATGAGAAACAAATTCCTTTTCTTTATAAATTACTCAGCCTCTGATACTGTTATAGCAGCACAAAGCAGACTAAGACAGTAAAAGGAATAGTCAACTTGACTAAGTTCAAGTTCATCGAGCATACATTTGTTAGAAGCTTGCTGGGTATTAGCCTATGTGCCTGTAGAGGTCAGAGAAGGAATTCCAGAGGAAGAACCGTGAGTGTCAAAGCCCTCCCTATATATAACGAAATCATGAGAGCCAATTCTGTTCACTTCTTCCCAGCTCCAAACAGAGTAATTCAGTGACCTCATGTTGGTAGTTTGAAGCTGACCATAGTGGAAGTATTTATACACCACAGAATCCCATAAATGCTATAACTCAGGGCTTCATCCCCAGAGAGCTGGTTTACTACCTACTTTTCCTTGGAGTAGGTAATAGAGATGAAGATGGAGGACAAAGTGGCACGATTGGTTTGAAAGGAAAGAAACTTGTTAAACAATGATGGCAGGTGGTAAGAGTAAGGAAGTGCTTTGTCCCTTCTAGAAGTTGGAGAATGGCTTTTTGTCAGAGCAAATTCAAAGGCAAATGGTATTTTCAGGATAGCAAGCTTTAGAAAGGTGAGGAGAAAAGAGATGGACTGGATAAGATACTATAAAATATAGGGTAGCTTGTTGAGAATGGGAGTTTCAAAAGATATAGAGGAAGGTACTGGTGAAGAAAAACTGGTGCATGGGACCATACTGGATGTTGCTGAGTGGATAGAAGGAAATAAATGTGGACAGGTTTGTACCTAAAGTAGAGGTGTCAGAATAGGAGGAAAGTAGGGAAATGGAAGAACTTAGGATGCCTTATCTATGCATACATACAGACACTGGAATATCTATACATTTGATATGCTGTGTTCAATGTTTACTATGTATCAGGTACTTTGCTGAGTTCTTTATATTATTATTATTTCATTTAATTCTCATAATAATCTAATTAACTATTGTTTAACAAGTGGAGACCAGGGGTCAGAGAGATAAGAAGTTTGCCTAGAATCACGTGGATACTAAGTCCAGAGTCCAGGGTACAAGACTTGATCTGTGATTCCAAAGGCTGTGAACTTAACCTTTTCAATATGCAGACATGTAAATGAGAGACATATGCTAGGTGAGGTTGGAACTCGACAGGAGCATTTTGTGTTTCTCTGTGAGGCAATTCTCTCCAACGAATAGACCAGACATGGAATCTGAGAGACATTAAGTAATTTGGCACTGTAACTGTATAACTAGAGATTAACTGACAGAGCTCGGGGTCCAATCCTCGGTCTCATTCTAAATCTTATTTTCTTGCAATGTTTCAGTAGTTCTTATACTTTAGATTTCACAGATCAGTAAGATTAGGAAGGAAATACTGCTATCAACATTTTCTTAAAAGCAAGGACTTTTAATGACCCCTATTAAAAAAGAGCATACTGTGTAGAATTAAGGACAAACTTTCAAGTGAGGCAAAGTTAGCTTTGTGAAAAGCTCATCCATGCTTTGTTGTTTTGCTGTGAGGCAGTAACGTATCATCATGGCCATTGTCTGCCACATGAGGTGATCTGCATTGGTATATGGCATTTATATCAACAAATGTAGACCTGAGCAACTTATCTTTATTATATCTTATAGAAAACATGATTTTTATATCCATAGTAATAATTTTTATATATATTCTAGGCTGCCTTGATTTAATTCCATCTGGAAATTTTGGTTTCTTTTATATAAATGTGATGATTAATCTTGATGTCAACGTGATTGGATTGAGAAGCACTTAGGAGATTAGTAAAGCACACTTCTGGGTGTACCTGAGAAGGTGTTTCCACAGAGGACTAAGGGGGAAGACCCACCCTTAGTGTGGCGCCCTCCGCAGGCTGGGAGCTCAGATGGAAGACATAAGAAAAAGGAGAAGGCTAGAGGCACAGGCATTCGCTCTTGCTTTGCTTCCCCGCCGCCATGAGGTGAGCCGCCTTGCTTGCCCTGCTCTCTCACCAGGATGAACAGAAACCTCTTAAACCGTGAGCCACAATAAAGCTTTCCTCCCTTAAGTTGTTTTGCTCAGGTGTTTTGTCACTAACTAACACAATGAGTACTCAAAAATAAGTTATCATGCTGAAAATGTATCCCACTAAAGGAAGATCAGGCTAGAGTTAATACTTGAAAAAGATTTTTTTTGTGTGGGGCGGGGCTGGAGAGGGGAAGTACTGGGGTTTGAACTCAGGGCTTCACGCTTGCTAGGCTGATGTTCTACTACTTGAGTCACACCCCCAGCTGTTTTTTGCTTTGGTTATTTTTCAGGTAAGGTCTTGAGTTTTTTCCCCGGCCAACCTCAGACCATGATCCTCCTACCTCCACCTCCCATATAGCTGGATTACAGTAGACTGCTGGTATCCAGGTACATGGTTCCAAGGAGACCAGTGCCGAGGGAAAACCGCAAATGCTCAGGACTCAGATTTACTTTTCCCATAGTGCCACCCTACTTCCACTAAAGACATGCTTCCTTTCAATACATTTACCACTTTAATGAAACCCATTGCATGCCCTTCTTGACTTGGCATGATTACCATAAATAACTCTTACCTTGTTTTTTTGGGCACTGTTTGCTTTTTGGGAGGCATATTTTCACAAAATTAAGGGTGGAGAAATACTCAGCAGGATTTAAACACAACTGACAATAATGCAAGACTGACTGAGCTACACATTAACTGAGCTGTGTAATGCATATCCAAGAATTTAAATTTTTTGTTTTTGAAATTTCTTTTGATTTTTTTTGACAGTGCTTAGTCAAAATCACATGTAATAAATCCAAGAATAAGGAGGACTTACTGTACAGACACACACCACCACATCCTACTTCATTGTTGAGATGGGGTCTCAATTGCCCTCAAATCTCAATCTTCCCAATCTCTGCCTCTTGAGTAGCTACAGACATGAGCCACTGTGCCTGGCTTGAGAAACAACAGCTGTTTGAACCTGTCTCTAATTAAGAATTTTCTTGAAAAAGAAGAAAGTAAACTTTCATTAATAACCCTAATGTAAAAAAAAAAAGTTCCTAGGCAATGTTAAGTAGCAACCTTTGTAATTATGAGGTAGTTACAGCCCTATTTGGGATTTTCTGTGTAAATCAGTGGTTGTAAGGGTATCTATAGCGTTAAAATGTAAATGGTTATTTAAAGCCATCTAAAGGTGAATCAATTCTGATTTGTCAATGGCTTCCTTTTACTGGTTTGTTGTTGTTTTTTTTGTGGGATGGGGGTTTGAACTCAGGGCTTTGCACTTGCAAAGCAGGCACTCTACTACTTTAGCCACACCTCCAGTCCATTTTGCTCTGGTTATTTTGGAGATGGGGGGGTGGTTCTCTCAAACTATTTGCCCAGGCTGGCCTTGAACTGCAGTCCTCCTGATCCTCAGCTAGGATACAGGTGTGAGCCACTGGCACCTGGCTCTGTTACTGGTTTTTTGTAGGGAAGAAATTACTAGTTTGGCTTGTAAAGCTAATTAATATCTTTCATGTATTGTCAGCCTTATACCAACCTTGCTTTTTTCCCCAGGCTGCCTATCCCCAAACTTGAAGACACCATTAGGAGATACCTCAGTGCACAGAAGCCTCTTTTGGATGATAGCCAGTTCAGGTAAGCCTTGGGAGTCCTGAGGGACCATAGTTGGGAGGAAAGCATTCAGAAGACGCTGTTAAGTGTGGTAGACCATGCTTCAGTGAATGCCTGTGGCTTAATTGGGTCTCCAGACCTGGAACCTAGCTTAAACTTTTGCAAGTTCAGGAAATTGGTTTTTATTCATGAAGGACTCACCAAGCCCTGAGGTGAGAGTCCCTCTAACCAGACTCAACAAGAGGCGTATATGTGAGAATGCCAAGTCTGTACTTTACCTTGCACGTACACCTGGGAGGCTGGCTGGTACTAGTCATTTATAGGGCGTAGGCCCACTGAGGATCAAGTCTCAAGACCACAAGTTTGCTTGCTGAGCATGTTTACCTGGTTGGATAGCGTGCCTTATTTGGAAGCAGGGTTGTTGCGAATGCAATTAGTTAAGATGAGGTCCTGCTGGAGCCAGGCAGGTCCTTAATTTAATATGACTGGTGTTCCTTACAAAAGAAAGAGACACAGAGACAGCCATGTGAGGATGGAGGCAGAGATTGCAGTATTGCATAAACAAACCAAAGAATACCAAGGACTGCTGGCAACACCAGAAGCTGAGAAAAGGACATGGGACAAATTCTTCCCTAGAGTCTGCTGAAAGAACACAGTCCTGTTGTTGCCTTGGTTTTGTACTTCTAGCCTCCAGAACTCCAAAAGAATAAATTTGTTTAGCCCCATCCAGTTTGTAGTACTTTATTATGGCAGTCCTAGGGAACTAATACAGCATGGAAATACTAGATATTATCACAAAGTAGATTGCATTAAGCTTTTGTGGCCTAGTACTCATCCTCATAATGGGGATTTTTGTACAGCACTTGCAACAGGCATTGTCATTAGAATCACAGAGGCCTTCACTGGACAGTGACAGAAAAACAGATGAACTGTTCATACTCTAGACCTCGGTTTTTAATATTCCTGGTTAGTTACTTGACATTTCTCTTAAAATGTTAATGAATTAGTAGTTACTGAGTGTTATGTTTTAGACTATCCTTAGCTTTATAAATATTTACTTATTTTTGGTGATACTTGGGTTTGAACTCAGGGCCTTGGACTTGCTAGGCAGGCACTCTACCACTTGAGCCATGCCTCCAACTCAATACATATTTTTTAACCTTCTAAGGAGGTGTTATTATCTCCCTTTTACTCATGAAGAAACTGAGGTCCAGAGAGATTGTCTAAAATCACACAGCTTTGTTACCAGACCAGTGAGGTTCCAGGAGGGTCTCCAAAAGGGATGAGGTCTCTATCTAGCCCTTGGTTATTGGGTTTGTAAGGTTTTCACAATAAAGAATGTTAAGACACATCACAGTAGAGACCAAGAAAGCTTATTAGTAAAGCAAAGGGAAGCATAGGATAGTACACACCCAGATAGGGGTGCAGGCATACCTGTAAAAGAGGCACAGTGAGTGCTCTAAAAGCAGGGATGTTAATGGCAAGAAAGTGGGTTAGGGGTTTGGCATAAATTTGCCTTAGAATGAGTGTTCCACTTTTTTCTAGACACCTGGTATTTTCACTCATACTTACTACGGTTTTGACATTATTGGTTGAGCCCAGAGATATCAAGTCTGGTCAGTTTAGTAAATTTGGGTCACTGTGACATAGATGTCTGTTTTCCTTGAGCATCCCTTTAAACAAAGGATAGTTTTCATCAGATGCTCCTTTTAAGCCAGGTGTCCTTCCTTAAGATAAATATGTTCATTTGCAAGCACCTCTGTGATCAAAGAAGTCATTTTACCAGCTATTCCTCCCCCGCCCACAACTGTAGGACAAGTGTGTTTCCAGAGTGTAGTAATCATTTGGACAACCAGGCAAAGCAGAGGGAGAGAGCTGCTTTTATTTTTTGGTGGGACTGGGTTTTGAACTCAGCGTTTCAGCACTTGCAAAGCAGGTGGTCTACTGTTTGATCCATACCTCCAGACCCCTATCCACTGGTTATTTGGAGATAGGGTCTGTGGAACTATTGCCTGGGCTGGTCTCAAACTTCGATTCTCCCAATCTCAGCCTCCCAAGTAGCTAGGATTAAGGGTGTGAGCTACCGGCACCTGGTGTTTTTTTAAAACTTTATGTTGCAGCTTAGTGAGGGAATATGAAGCTTAAAGACAAGAGAGTAGTGCATTTGTGCTTTTAAGCAAGCTATTACAATGTTTATCTCTGAATTCCTGGCTCCTGTTGCCCATGCTTTTCTTCTCCTGATCTACCCACCCAGCCTCAGTTTGAAAGTGTCAGAGCTAGGATTCAAACTTAGCCCTTTTCTCCATGCCAAATTGCTTCCTAGAGTACAGTTTTGTGAAATGTTAATTGATCTTCCTGATACCCTAGATTGACTTACTTTAGATTGACTCCTGTTTTTTTGTTTTCCCAGTACTGGAGTTTGAACTCAGGGCCTTCACCTTGAGCCACTCCACTAGCCCTGTTTTTGTGAAGAGTTTTTCAAGATAGGTTCTCACAAACTATTTGCCTGGGTTGGCTTCAAACCGTGATCCTCCTGAACTCTGCCTCCTGAGTAGCTAGGAGCCACTGGCACCCAGCTGATTCCTGTTTTTCTATTCAGAGGTATTTTCTGATCTCACTTCCAGGTTCTAGGGAGATGCTGTTGGGAATCCAAAACTCCCTTTTTGAGTTCTTGGCCATGAATCTAAACTCGTATTTCTTAAATCATGTATTTCCTACCATGGTTTGATTCTGTCTTTTCTTGAACATTTCAGGAAAACAGAACAATTTTGCAAGAGTTTTGAAAATGGGATTGGAAAAGAATTGCATGAACAGTTGGTTGCCCAGGATAAGCAGAATAAACATACAAGCTACATTTCCGGTAGGTGGACTGGGCTAGGGCATGATTTTTTTCTCAGAGCCTCCATCATGGAAAATAAGGCATCCTGTCTCCTATTCTGGTCTCAGAAATATTTTTAGTGAGACCAGTATTGAAGGAATGGCCTACCCCACTTCCTGAGGCAAATATCAAGGTTATGTGAGTTCCTGTTCTTGTAAGGTGTTGACGGAGTCTGGGCTCAAGAGCATTAGCTTGGCTTCTCCATAGGTGGGATCAAGACAGAACCCAATCAATGATTCTGTCTGAAAGGGATGCAGGATTCAGTGCTGTGTCCTCTGAGTATTGTTCTAGTTCCCTCACAGTCTGGACTCACTCAAGACTATCCCTGATACAGATCGTGCCTCAACACATCTGAAGTGCTTATCATTCCCTGAACCCATTTGCCTTTCACCCTCTGTGCCTTTGTCCATGTTACTCTGCTTCTGTTTCTTACCTGGCAGATTCTTTCTTTGCCATCCAGGCAGGGTGGTTTTCCTTTGAAACCTCAATCCTTTCCCTCTTCATTTAGAGTTAGTTGCTTCCAACCCTATTTCTGGAGCACTTCTTTTAATTTAGTTTATTTATTTTGAAACAGGGCCTTGCTCTGTAACTCAGACTGGCCTCAAAGTCATGATTCTCCTGCCTCAGCCTCTTGAGTAGTTGGGTTATAGGGGCACATGTTGGCATAATTTAGTTTATTTTTATCAAGGTTATATATACACACAGTTTAAAGAATCAAACTATTCTATAAAGCTTGTTGGAAAAAAATAACAGTTGGTCAACCTACTCCTAATTTCCCACTTCTCACCTGCTTCTAATTATATCTAAATTATATACTTACGTTACTGCATCTTAATTTTTCTTAGTTTTAAGCATTCTATGTTGACATCTCACTAATGAAAAATTAGAATTTAGCAGTCTTTTATATTCTCCCTGCAACCAGACAGTAAACCCTTGGTATCTGAGGAAAACCGTGTATGCTCAGGACGCAGAGTTTAGTACTGCATTGCAGATGCTTGTTTCCATATGCCACCAACTTCTAATAAAGACATGCCACCTTTCAACAAACCTAAAATTTTTGCTGTATCACTTCAATTAAGCACATTAACTTTTACCTTGCTTTTTGGGCACCATTTGCTTTTTGGGAGGTAGATTTTCACAAAGTTGAGGACAGGGAAACAATCAGCCGATCACACAAATGATTTAAACATAACTGACAATAACACAGGATGGAGAATTTCTCTGCATTAACTGAGCTGCATAATAAGTACACAGGAATTTAAAATTCTTGTTTTCAAAATTAAAAAAAATATTATTTTCTTTTGACCATGTTTGGCCAAAACTATGTGTAATAAATTCATGAATAAGGTGGGCCTATTCACTAACCCCTCACTTTTCCAGCATAGTTATTTATGATTTTGTTTAACTCAGTATCTCACGTCTATACGAGTCTAATCATATAAATACTGTTGTCAGTTGAGTCATGTAATATATTGGTATCATTTTTCTTTTCTTATACTACTTGTTTTCACTGAAGTTAATAATGATTTCATCCTTTCTTTTGTTTAGTTTTCTATGTGCTTAATAATTTATTCTCAGACTCCTCCTAAGCTGTCTGAATCTCCTCTGAATGCATCAACTCATCAGACATTCTATTAGTTTGGTCTTCTTAACCAAGTCTCTTCTAGAACTTCTGACTTGCTCTGGTCTGGATCTGGAAACTGTTTGCCTGCAAGAGGCTCCTTTCTGTTGGGTTATTCACCATTATCTAGAGTATTTCTTCATTTTTCTCAATGTTGGGACTTTTGTTTCCTGGAGTTCATATTTTCCTCTTTCTTGGCTTTTCCCTTTATTTTGTCAGAGCATGTATACCCTTTACTATCTGGAAGCAGAACATGGGAAACAAAAGTTTTAAAACTGCTCTCATACTTCAGTGGTAATCTGTTTGGCTAGGTTGTAAATTATGGTGCCATGAAATTTTTTTTTCTTTTTGCCTTCCAAAAAAGAATTCAATAAAGAATAGTTGGGATAACAGGATCTTGTTAAGGGGAGGATTGGTATTAAAAGACAGACAAGTAAAATGGAATGTTCTCTCTTACTGAACCTCTCTTCAGGGACTACCACATAAGGCATCTTCAGCAGTGCCTTCTCCTGCTTTGCATCTAGTTTTCAGACTATTCATCTTGGTTCTTCATTCTCTCTGCCTCCCTAGCGAGGCTGTCTAACTGCAACACCTCAGCCAGCCTCCTCCTGGCTTTCCTCCCCTTCTTCATCTATCTCCAGATATCTGTAGAAGTTAATTGTTGGCCGTCAAAAGATGGTAAAAGATGAACGCCTCCTGGAATCATCTCTCTCTAGGATGAAGACTGGCCAGGGGTGAGATCTGAGCAAGTGTGCAGATCCCCACCCCCAGCTAGGCCCAGGGTTTCATGCTGCATTCCCAATGAAGTTAAAAGTTCTTTTTCACTGCTATAGACCTGAAGTCTTTGCAGTCTCCTGATGCAGAGTTGCTAGGACTTATCCAGCTTCTCTCTTTGTCTATGCCTGACCTCGGGCTGGAGGTATGACTCAAGTGGTAGAGTGCCCTGAGTTCAAACCCCAGTGCTGCCAAAAAAAAGAAAAAAAAAAAGGTTATAACATGTCTGACCTCATTGATAGTAAGTTATTCTAGTCACTGGCCCATTGAAGATGCAGTTGGACATTCTCACGGGTGGTGCAAAACCTATACCACCTCTGTTTGTCCTTAGTGACATGGACTGTTTTTTTCCTCTCTAAAGTCTAGCATAGCATACTTCTTTTCAATTTCCCCAGGAAAGTTTGGTTTGGAAAAGAGTTTGTTGTAGGCTCTGCCAAGGTCATAGAGTTTGTCCTGCTGTCTCCACTCCTGGGATGAAGACAGACTAAAGCTTCCTGGAAAATGCTGTTTGATGCCACAGAATTTTGAAGACTGTTGTTCCATTGTCTTTTAACTTCCAGTGCTGCTGTTGACAAGTTTAATGTTATTCTTTCTTTGGAACCTTTTAGAAATTTCTTTCTCCCCAATGTTGTCAAATTTCAGATAATGTATTTTGCTGTGGTCTGTTCATTTGCTGGGCCACTTAGTGAATCTTTTGACTGGGAGAGTGTCTAGTTTTATTTCTTTGATTTTTCTCTTTTTGTTTTTCTCATTTTCTCTTTCTGGAATGCTTACTCAGATATAGAATTTCTTAGCCTAGTCCTATAATTTTGTAATCTTTTCTCATGTTTTTTATCATATTCTTTTTGTTCTGCTGTCTGGGAGATTTACTTAATTTTATCTTCCAGCTCTTCGACTTCCTAATTCCTGCTTTCCTTATTATTATTATTATTAGTTTTTAAGAGCTCTTTTTGTTGTTGTTTTTAGGATTAAAAATAGTTTATTTCCAGAATTTTTAAATAAGTTTTCTTCTCCCTTCATAATCTGTCTCCTCCAAGTATCTTCCTCCCTCCTCTCTCTTCCCCTTTCTTCCTCCCTCTTTCCCTCTTTTCTTCCCTTCTTGGGTTTGATCTCAGAGCCTTGCACTTGCTGGACAGGCTTTCTACCACTCGAGTCACACCCCCAGCCCTTTTAGCTGTAGTTAAAGCCAGCCTGAACTGCAGCCCTCCTACTTTAGGTCTCTTGTGTAGTTGGAATGACAGGTGCATACCACCATGCCCAGCTTTTTTCATTGAGATAGGGTCTTGTGAACTTTTTTGTCCAGGTTGGCCTCAAACCACAATCCTGCTGATCTCCACCTCCCAAGTAACTAGGATTACAGGTGTGAGCCACTGCACCCAGCTTTTCTTTCTTTTGGTGTTGCTTACCTCTTTCCTGTTGTTTTAGATATGTGTAATATATTAATAACTGTTGGGAGCTTTGTGGGTAAGAGTAAAACTCATCAGTTATACCCTTCACTGCATTGTAATTTGGGTAAAGTATTTCCTTGGGGTGCCTCCAGTAGTAGTGTCTTTGGATTAGATTCCCCAGGAAAGATTTTTCTATTAAACTGTCCAAAGCTTGCTAGTGTTGTAGAAGCAGGGTAAGTGAGGGAGGTTTGAGAACTCAGCTGTGACTTTTGTCTCCCAGTTTTACTTAATCCTGAGAATAAAACACATCTTCTACCAGAGTGGGGAGGGAATAGTAGGATGGCAGTGTTTATCTACTTAAACCATCCTTAAACTGGCTCTATCTAGGCTGCCAGTTACTGAGCTCTATGGAGGTTTTGCTATATAAATCAGATTATTTCTTGTCTACATCTCTTCCAGTTTAGGATTGGCTTTCTTGAGTCTGTTTTGGTCATTATCAGTTGCCTAAACACTTGTGAGTTCCGTGATTTATTCTTTTCTTATTCCCTTGGCCATATTGGTTTACATCTCTTTAAAATGCTTTTACTAAAGGACTGGGTAGGGTTCAAAGGCATGAATTTGTCTTCTTTCATAAATATGTCTTACCCATCATACTTCTTTTCTCTCACATTTTAGTGCATTGCATTACATTTTAATTCTATTTGTCTTCTTCACTAGTGTTCTTCAGAGTCAAAGTCCCCAACCTAGTCTTCTCTAAATCCCTTGGACCAGGGCCTGCCACAGATTCTCAAGGAATGGGATGGAATGAGTGAACCAAGGAATAATAGATAAATTTGGATTATTAATCTTTTTCCCAGTGATTTACCTGTGAAAATTACTTCCTTCAAAGGAAGACAATCTTTATTTGTACAGTTTATCCATGTTTGCTAGTACCAGAAGGAAGTTCCCTTGAATATACGTTTTCTGATAAAATACTGCTTTTGGAAGTTTAACAGACAAAACAGGATTGTAAAGGGCTAGTCTGAATGACCCACATGCACTAATAGTTATTTGTAATTGCCCTTTGAGTAGTTTCTAAAAGAAAAGACTGCACAAACGTATACTGTATACAGAAAGGCATGGGAAATCCCCCCACTGCTACCCCATTAAGAAGGCAATCAAGGATGGCTATTGTTCCTGAAAGCAGATGAAGTGAGAGAAACCTAAGGACAAGGGGTGGGAATTAATTACTTTGCTCTAGCATGAGGTGTCCCTGAATTTTATTACTTTAAGAACCAAGAATGGAAACAGACTGAGGAAGAAAAAGCAATTAATAAACATTAGAGAAATACAAATCAGATCTGCAGTGATAATGATATACTACTTCACACGTACAAGAATGGCTCCCATTTAAAAGACATACAACCTGGGTATGGTGGCATGCTCTTGTAATCCCAGCTGTTCTAGGGGCTGAGGCAGGAGGATTATGAGTTTGAAGCTAGTCTTGGCAACATTGTGAGACCCCATCTGGAAAAAAATACATACACTAGTGAGTGTTGAGAGAATTTGGAAATTGGAACCTTCACATGCAGGTGGTGGGAAGGGTGCAGCCACTTTGGAAAACATCTTGGAAGTTCATCAAAAGGTTTAACAGACATGACATGTCATGACCACATGACAGCAATTCTACTTCTAGCTATATATCTTCAAGAGAAATGAGATCATATGTCCATATAAAACTTGACTATAAAGGTTCACAGCAATATACTTCATAATGGCTAAGAAGCAGAAACAACCTGTCTGTCCATTAACTAATGGATAAATAAAATGTTTATCCAAAATATGGAACATTATTCAGTAATAAAAAGAAATGAAGTTCTGATAGCTATAGCAAGGATGAACCATGCAAACATTATCAAAAGTGACAGAATCCAGCTGGACATGGTGGTACAGATCTATAATTCTAGCATTCAAAAGGCTGAGACAGGAGGATAGAGAGTTCAAGGCCAGCCTGAGCTACATAGTATTATGACTATAATATTTCATAATACTATTCATAATATTATGAAATACTATATTTCATATTTATATGTTATGAAATATGCCTTTTCCTCTGCCTGTGCTTGCATTTTTTTTTCTTCAGTTTTATTTAATTTTTTTTTGTGTTGTTGGTTTTTTTTCTTTTCTAGGTCCCTGGTTTGATATGTATTTAACTGCTCGAGACTCCATTGTTCTGAACTTTAACCCATTTATTTCATTCAATCCTGACCCAAAATCGGAGTATAATGATCAGCTCACCAGGGCAACCAACATGACTGTTTCTGCCATCCGGTTTCTGAAGACACTCCGGGCTGGCCTTCTAGAGCCAGAGGTGTTCCACTTGAACCCTGCCAAAAGTGACACTAATACCTTTAAGAGACTCATACGCTTTGTGCCTTCTTCTCTGTCCTGGTATGGGGCATACTTGGTCAATGCATATCCCCTGGATATGTCCCAGTATTTCCGGCTTTTCAATTCAACTCGTTTACCCAAACCTAGTCGGGATGAACTCTTTACCGATGACAAAGCTAGACACCTCTTGGTCCTAAGAAAAGGACATTTCTATGTTTTTGACGTCCTGGATCAGGATGGAAATATTGTAAGCCCCTCAGAAATCCAGGCACATCTGAAGTACATTCTTGCAGACAGCAGCCCTGCCCCTGAGTTTCCTCTGGCATATCTGACCAGTGAGAACCGAGACGTATGGGCAGAGCTCAGACAGAAGCTGGTAAGTGGCGGGAATGAGGAGACCTTGAGGAAAGTGGACTCTGCTGTGTTCTGCCTCTGCCTAGATGACTTCCCCATTAAGGACCTCATCCATTTGTCCCACACAATGCTGCATGGTGATGGCACAAACCGTTGGTATGATAAATCCTTTAACCTTATCGTGGCCAAGGATGGTACTGCTGCTGTCCACTTTGAACATGCTTGGGGTGATGGCGTTGCAGTGCTCAGGTTTTTCAATGAAGTGTTTAATGACAGCACTCAGACCCCTGCCATCACTCCCCAGAACCAGCCAGCCATTACCACCAGCTCTTCTGTCGCTGTGCAGAAACTCAGCTTCAAGTTGAACGATGCCTTAAAGGCTGGCATCACTGCTGCTAAGGAAAAGTTTGATGCCACCGTGAAAACACTCACCATTGATTGCATCCAGTTTCACAGAGGTGGCAAAGAATTCTTAAAGAAGCAGAAGCTGAGTCCTGACGCAGTGGCCCAGCTGGCCTTCCAGATGGCCTTCCTGCGGCAGTATGGACGGACAGTGGCCACATACGAGTCATGCAGCACTGCAGCCTTCAAGCATGGCCGCACTGAGACCATCCGCCCAGCCTCCATCTTCACAAAGAGGTGCTCTGAGGCCTTTGTCAAGGAGCCCTCCAAACACAGTACCAGTGAGCTTCAGCAATTGGTAGCCCAGTGCTCCAAGTACCACGGCCAGTTGACCAAAGAAGCAGCAATGGGTGAGGCAGGGGTGGGAGTGTGTCCTGGGTCTTGCTGCCTTCTGTGCTCGAGTTAGCCTCAGTAATATTCCACCCATATCTAATTTTGACCACGTCAGTAGGTCCAGCCCATCTGACAAATCCCAAAAGGAATATTTTCCACTCTAGCAGTGTGAAGAGCAAGCCAGCCACTAGGATCAGAATGTTCTCATGTCCTAAGCAGACATGGGGAACTTTCCCCTTATTTAAGGTCACTTTCAGCTATGACACACGAGTTTTTTTGTTTTTTTTTTCTATCACTTACTGGTTATCACTTCAGTTGCAGTGTGTTGGCTCTCTATAAGTAGTTCATTGGGAAAGCTCTTCCCAGTTTAAAGTATTGTCCTTCTTCACTACTTTGTGATAAAATTCAAGACCTGGAAAGGATATGAAGGGTCCATAGTTTAGTCCTTTCAAGTAGCCATAAAGTTCTGGAACTGAAAGGGATCTCCAGGACCTTCTAGTCTTTTCCTTCTCCATTTGAAGGTAGGAAACTGATGCCACTGGCCCAGCATTACACAGCAAGGGAGTAGCAAGGCTGAAATTAGAACCCTGGTCCAATACCCTTTCCATTTTGTCCCAGTGGTTCAATCTCGTCTTTCTTTTACACATGGACTTTGAGTTTCATTTTAGATTTCTTTATTTTCTACAAGGTCTTGCCATGTAACCCAGGCTGGCCTCAAATTCATGATCCTTCTGTTTCATCCTCCTCAGTGCTGGAATTACAGGTATGCTCTAGATTCAGAATCTTAAAAATCATGCTTTCAATCAGGCGAGGTGGCATATACCTGTGTTCCCAGAACTCAGGAGGCTGAACCAGGATCAAGCCCATCTGGGCTACATAGACCCTGTTTCCTCCTTCCACCCCCCTCCCCGCAAAAAAATCATGCTTTCATGTTAGGCTCATTTTTAGTTCAGCTGCTGACAGCTGAAAAAATACACTTTAATGATTTAAAGTTCTTTGGAATGAACTGTTCTGAAGGTTAGTGAATTGGAAGTATGTATACAAAGATAGACAGACCTTCCTTCCACTCTTCAGGATGCTGTGAAGGAGATTCCTACCATGGCTGGGAGTTTGCCTGAGGTCCTTTTCAGTTTTGAGATTCTGAGTCTCTGGTTTTCCATTTTGTCTTTGACAGGCCAGGGCTTTGACCGACACTTATTTGCTATGCGGTACCTGGCGGCTGCCAAAGGGATCGCCCTGCCTGAGCTCTACCTGGACCCTGCATATGGGCAGATAAACCACAACATCCTGTCCACCAGCACGCTGAGCAGCCCAGCAGTGAATCTCGGTGGCTTTGCCCCTGTGGTCCCTGATGGCTTTGGCATTGGGTACGCTGTTCATGACAACTGGATAGGCTGCAACGTCTCCTCCTACTCAGGGCGCGATGCCCAGGAGTTTCTCCACTGTGTCGAGAAGTCCTTAGGAGACATGTTTGATGCTTTAGAAGGCAAATCCATCAAAACTTAGCTTCTAAGCCAGGTGCCAATGACTCACACCTGTAATCCTAGCTACTCAGGAGACAGGGATAAGAGGATTGTCTTTGGAAGCCAACCTGGGCAAATAGTTCACAAGATCCTATCTTGAAAAAAACTCTTCACAACAAAAAGGGCTGGTGGAGTAGCTCAAGGTGTAGGCCCTGAGTTCAAACCCCACAACTGCAAAAAAACCAAACCAAAACAAAACAAAAACTTCTTTAAGGTGGGTGAAAAGCCTCCTTTGCTTCCTCATCAAGAAAATGAGGGCCTATGTATACGTGCTATTCTGTGCCTAACAAAACTAATCAGGTGCCTGAGCAGCCAGTGCTGCAGGCTTGAGCTGTAGGATCATGGTTTTAAAGCTAAACATGTCATTTCTGAGTGGGACTAAAACACCACTAAAGATAATGAGAGATTTCAGTTTTAAAGCCCTTTGATCAGGAGATAGGGCTTAGAAAAATAACTCAGGTGTATTTATTGTTTAAGGAGAAATAAATTTTAATTGTTGTTTCAAGATAGTTCCTCTTTTTTTTTCTTTTAATCTAGTTTCCTAATCCCCACAAAGAACTTTCCACTAGTAAGTTCAGGTGGCAGTAAGTTCCCATTGGCTTCTGGCTCTTTAGGTGGTGTGGGAAGCACTGTTGGATTCTCTCTGTAAACTTGTGCTCTCTCCTGGATGACATCCGTTTCCTTTTTCTAAGGAGTAAATGGTTCTGCTTGATTCTGGCAGGCCTATTGCAATAAAGGCTCTGCCCATGGGTTTGAGGATAGTTTTTTTTTATTCTTTTCCAGCAAAATGAGATTTATAGCAGGTGTGCTTTAACCTATATGTGCTAGTTATGGTCTCAGGTAACAGACAGCAGTCTACATTTTACAGTAGAGAACCTCTCCACTGAGTGAAATGAGCACAGAATTTTTTCCTCTCCAGTTGTAATGTGAAAGGAAGCATGTGTTTGTCTTGTTTTTTGAAAAGGAACGGGTTTTGTTTGTGTTTAATCTTGCTGTATCTACCATGGCTTCCTAGTTGCTGATATGATACAGCTGGGATTTGAATTCTGTTATTGGTCCATCACAAATCACTTTCAATTTATTACCTTATTTAATCCCTTACAAGTCCTGTAGTGCAGGGATGTTATAAGTTTAGCTCTAACAACATAGGTAAAGCACATGGCACCTGGTGAAAGCTTAATCTACATTCTCTTACTGCTGTGACGTCTGCTGCTTCTCTTCTGTTCCCTAGTGAAGTGCCGAATCCACTTGAATAGCAACTTCTGGAGCATTAGCTCTTTAAGTCCACACCTCGACTGAATCTTGCAGGGGTGAAATGCATATGTTCATGGTGAATGTACTGGGTAGTATAACTTGGGCATGTTCTGGTTGGCCATAGTTCTCAGTGTTTCTCTTTTTATTGTATTTTATGTATGTATTTACGTATTTGTCATACTGTGGTTTGAACTCAGAGCCTTGCACTTGCTGGACAGGTGCTCTACCACTTGACACACACCCCTCTGTCCTCAGCATTCCTCTTTATAGCTCCTTACTAGCCTTCCTCCTTGTACTGAATTCATGTAGTGAAGGCTTCTAGAATGGTAGCTAGAATGGCAAAGACATTTCACTATTAAACTTCAACCCAGTTGGAGTTCACACATACCTTGAACATTTGTACAGAACTCAAACCATTTGTAAAATTCTTCCCTGTGCATCAGCTAATTTGATCTTGTCAACTGTGGAATGGGTAGAAATTATTATTTTCATTTTACATATAGAAGGTGGATAGCTTGGGGTGGGGGAAACTTAGTCAAGGTCACTTAATAAGTGGTAGAACCAGGACCAGCTCTCCTGATGCCTCGCCCAGTGCTCTTTCTGTTGTGTTCCTGCTTGTCTAGTCTTCCACCAGCTGGCCTGGAAGCTCAGCAGAGTCAACTTTGTTCAGTTAGTCTCTGCTACTCCCCGGGGAGCTGCCCATGCCAGGAACAGCACATCCCCAGATGCACAGCCACACCAGCCTCTCTGGAGATACCTGCTTCTCTTTCAGGTGCCCCCAGCACTCCCAGAGTGAAGTTTGTGGCTTATGTCTAAAAAACCCTAAATAGCCTTATTGACATATATTTCATTGCCAGATAGTCTCCTTATTTAAAGTGCATTCAATCATTTTTAACATATTTACATTTAAACAACCATCACTACAATCAGAACATTTTCTGATTTTCTTCCCAGAAAGAAACCCTATACTCAATGTCACTCTCCCAACCTCCTGATTCTCTCAAGCCCTTTCTGTTTATAGATTTTCCCATTTTGAACATTTTATGTACGTGGAACTATATGACTTGTGACCTTTATGACTGGCTTCTTTGACTTAGCATGTTTTCAAGGTTCATCCATGTTCTAACATGTGTTAATACTTCATTTCTTTTCTATTTTCTTTTTTTACTATGTAGCCCAGGCTGCATTCAAACTCTTGTTCCTCCTGCCTCAGCTTCCTGAGTGCTGGGATTACAGTGTGACCACCATGCCCAGCTTCATTAATTTTTATATTTGAATAATATTCTCTCATATGGGTATACCATTAGTCAGTTGATGGGTATTTGAGTGGTTTATACTTTTTATATATTCAAATAATGCTGCTATGAACATCTGTGTGCAAGTTTTTATGTGGATGTGTGTTTTCATTCTCTGGGGTATGTACCTAGATGTGGAATTGCTAGGTCATACACTGACTGCTCAGGTTAAGGAATAGCCAGGACTTTTACACCATCATATATTCCCACCAGCTGGGGATGGGGTTCTGATTTCTCCATATCTTCACCAGCACTTGTTACCATCTGTTTTTTTTTTTTTTTTAATTATATTTTGAGGGTGTGAAGTGGTACTTCATTGTAAGTTTTATTTATTTTCTGTGGTAGGGGGGTTTGAACTCAGGGCCTTGCACTTGCTTGACAGGTGCTCTACCACTTGAGCCATGCCCCCAGCATTCATTGTGGTTTTTATTAGTTTATGTTTTAAGTTGAACTATCTCAAATATACTGTTTTAACCCATTTTGTGCTGCCATAACAGAATATCTGAGATTGGGTAATTTATAATGAACAAAAATTTATTGGCTTATAGTTCTATAGAGACTGGGGAGTCCATTGTCAAGGTGACGGTGTCTGGTGTGGACCTTCCTGATGCATCATCTCATGGTGGAAGGTGAGAGGGCAAATGGCACAAATCCCACCTATGAGGATGAAGCATTATGACTTAATCACCACTTAAAGGTCCCGCTTCTTAACACTGTTACAATTGCAATTAAATTTCAGTGAGTATCAGAGGGGCAAACATTTCAACCATAGCACATACTTTCCAAATCTGGTGATACTCGTGCATCTTCATGTGACATGCTAACTGACAAAGAGTGAAAGCCAGGATTTGAGAAGATAGACATGAGACCGGTGATGAGTAGTGAAAGGGAGGAGGTTTGGGGTCTTCAAGGAGCCACAGTAGGGCCTTGATGCCAAAAGGCATGAAGGGAGCTCAAAGACATGCAGCCTCTAGCAGAGAACAAAGTGGAGGGAAGAGTTTGAGAGGAACTAGAGTCTTGCTTCTATTGTAAAGAAAAAGGGCTGCTGAATTTGGTGCTTATTGTATTAAATGACAATAAAACATAAGTCTGTGCTAGGATTATAGTTGTATTAAAACATGGTCGTACACAGATAAGCACTAAAAGAACAGGGAAAGTGAACACAATTGGGTTAGGGTTCTGGAACAGTGGGACTTAAGAAAACTTTATCTTTTATTGATAAACTGTTTGTGTCATACCTAGTCATTAAATTCACATTAGCAGCCCCTCCCTCTTTCCCTCCCTCACCTGCCGTTATGCTTCTACCACACTAAACCTTCTAGGGGTCTCAGACATGTCTGATCTCTCCTGTGGCTTTGTATCTTGCATATGCCACCCCCCATCCCTGGAATGCCCTTGCCCCAGCCCATCCTCTGAGAAATTCTTCCCGATTCCTTTAGTGTGACTCAAATGTCTCCCATAAAGCCATGTTCATGGGTCCTTGGGGGGAGAATGGGCCGTATCTTTATCTTCAACTACTCCTAATGTTGATTCTGTTTTAGGCAACATGGGACCTGATGGTTGGTGGGTTGTTTGTTGCTGGAGATTGCTGGTTGTTCTCCCTGTACCCACACCTTTGCAGGGTGACTTTAACCCCTTCCATCAATAGGTGGAGATGCTCTCCACCACTAACTGTCCCTCCTTCCTCTGAACTCCAGTCACTCCTCCAGGCTGTTCTTGCTGTAGCCAGTGATTTTCCTCACATTCAAGTCTGGTCATGTCCCTGTTTAAAATCCTTCAATGGTTTTCCATTACCCTTAGAAGTCTATACTCTTCATGTGACAACTGAGGCAACAAGCAGTGCGGGTGCTGGCTCTGCTTATCTGACCTGTTTACGCTCACCCTTCTTAACAGCTTACTGTGGGACATAGTGCCATTTCCTGTTGCCTCTGGAGCATACCCCCTTTCTGCCCTTTTGGCCATCTTCTCAACTTTAGGTCTTCACTAGATTTGCCTCCCCTAGGAAGGCTTCCTTGGCCACACTCCTCAAGACTAGAGTTCACACCTGTCTAGTGTATGCCTCGAGTACCCTGACCTTCCGCTTCTGCAACTGTCTCCACTGACAGACTGTAAGTAAGCAGGAGGGGCCGCATCAGCTTACTACAAAGTGGGGCTCATGAAATATTTGTGGAATGACAATGAATATGCCACCTGAAGCCAAGTATTGTGATTGCTTATCTGCATGAGCAAGCTCCTTGTTGGGCTGAGGAATTTAGCATGCGTTCCTGTCCCTGTAGTCCAACTCTATGTGGCACACTGAACAGCAGAGTGGTGACTGCTGCTGTACCTAGAGGCTCCAGGGCTTGGCAGGAGAAAGTGCACCACAGAGCTCACAGGTATACCTATGGAGCATACTCTGAAGTAGCTTCTCTCTACACTGACACCAAGCGAACTGGAAGGATGGAAGTAACCTGCTGAGAGCTGGGTCTCCCAAAGAAGCCAGCTAACTAAATGAACAAAACAAATTCCAGATCCATTCTCCACACCAGTCATTGTTAAAACATTGTCTAAGCTTTTTCAAAAGAAAAAAAAGCCTTTGAATTTTGCACAAGGCTTTGACCATTCATCTCCTTGAATTTGTCTGTAGAAAAGATTCTTTTCTCTCCACTGAAGTGGTGGGGATTGAACTCAAGGCCTCACACATGCTCTTCCACTGAGCCACACCCCCAGTCTATGCAGAAGCAATTTTTATTTATTTATTTATTTTGGTGGCACAAGGGTTTGAACTCGGCCTCACACTTGATAGGCACTCTTACCACTTGAGCCACTTAGCCAGCCAGAAGTAATTCTTAACCGAAGGTTGTAAAAACTCCCAGAATTGTCTAGTCCTGTGATTCCTTGCATAGATACATTACAATCAGAATGCTAATTTGGTAAGTCTGGTCTTGTTTAAGTTATATCTGAGACTTGAATCCTCATACTTGTTCTTGAATACCTTCAGGGATTGGAAGCTCACTACTTTCAATGTAGTACATTCAAATTCTGGGCAGAAATTAAGAGGGCCTACCTTACATTGAACTGAAATCTGCTGGAACTCTGCCCTTGGTGCTAGTTTTCCCGTGTGGAGTTTAACTGTCTCTTCCTTTATCCATAGGCAAATCCTCAGCACTGTAAAGCTGATTGTGCCTGCCCCTTTCCCTTACCTACTGTGCTCTTCTGGATAAAACCCTCCTGTTTGTAGTACTGTACCTCAGAGATCTAGGGAATGATCTCCAGGCCTAGTGAGTATTGTCTGCGATCTCATTAAACCGCTGAGCATCAAATAGTTTCACCACAGCACATGCTGCCCAATCTGAAGGGGAGAGGGCCTGGCCCTACCCCACATCTTGCCAGAGATCGCTTACATTTTTTGGAGACAAAGTCTTACTATGTAGCCCAGGCTGCCTTGAATTCATGATCCTCCTGCCTCAGCCTCCCTAGTGCTGGGATTACAGGCATGGGCCACCACACTGAGCTTTAAGTAATGCTTTTATAATCAACACTTAGCATTTGTCTCTTCCTGTTAAGATTTTCTTTTGGTTCCAAACCAATTTTTTTCTAAATGAAAGGCAGTGGGCCAGGTAGAGCAAGCACTCACAGCCCCTTCCCTGAGAAGCTGGCAAAGGCTACTTGTCCACTACTTTTTCCCAGTGTAGGAAAAAGCAAGAAGCAGATGTTGGGCAAAGATTTTGATCTTTTCATTTGAAAAGAAACAGATTCCTCTAGCAGTTCAGAGAACAGCAGGATGGCAGGCGTTAGTTAGCACTTGATGCCAAGGAGGGCCTGGCAAGTCTGAGATGTCTGACCCCATCTCCAGGGAAGACAACTGGGTCCTGGGTTAGCTCCATGAGAAAAGTGCAGGCTGTCTGCATTTCTACTAAAATCAGTACTGTTTCCATCTGATCTTGCATACTGAGTCCTGACACTGTGCCGAACATGTTGTTCATATTATCTCATTTAATTCCTGCAGCGACCTAGGGCACTTCCTGCTGTGGAACCTTGGTCAAGTGATTCTGGTGATCTGGGTGCATCATATCCCTTCAGAAATGCTTCTAGATAGAAAATCTTAGTCCTCAACCCTGGAGAGGCAGACTCAGTGGGAATGAAGTAGGGCCTGAAAAGTCCTTTTTCAGATATGTCTGAGAGCTATTTGTCAGTAACAGCTGGTAACCATCACTTGACTCCTTGCTTCTGGAAAGCCTGACTGTGCCCCTTTTCTCAGGCATTTGGTGCAAGAAAGGCCTTTGGGGGAAGATGTGCCAAGTGAATGCTCAGATGCACAAGAGGTACCAGGAAAGAAAAGTTCACTATTGTGAGCCTTACAGTTTTCTGAAGGCCAGGCATGAAAGCTACCTCCTCTGGAGCCCTGGGGAACTCACCAGCAGGCGCTCACCCAGTGGTGCTTGGCTACCTGACAAATGGGGACAGCGTTGTGAAATGAACACTGTGGCTAGCTGGGCAGTCCCTGGGTGCTTCTACCTTCTCTAGGAAATGACAGAAATGACTGTCATACACAAGGCCTGCAGTCCTACCTTATCCAACCAAGTTTTTACACACAAGCCTAGTTAAGAAAAATGCTTTTGGACAAAGATGGTACTTTAAAAAATGTGCTCAGGGATAATTTAGGAACACACTAAGGACAGAACATTCAAATGAGAGCGAGTAGGGAATTTAGGACTCATGCAGTCTCATCCAACACTATCCCCAAGTTCAGTAGCTTTTCTACTTGAACAAGACACTGCTGTCTGGAGTGTGCAGGGAACTATCTTTTATTCATCAGTTACTGAGTATGTGTCTAGGCCTAGTGATGAGGAACAGGGCTCAGACATGCCATCATTTGGACCAATCTCATTAAATGACACACACACAGCTGAAAGTGCTCTCATTTTTCAGATGGAGAAAATGAGGTTGAGAGGGGACACACTTGCCCAGGGTTTACAGAACCTAGGATTATTCTACTCCGACACATTGCAGTTCCAAAGCACTAGTCCTTGGAATTGATTTTTGTATGCAGAATGAAGTAGAGTTCCAACATTATTTTGTTGTGTAAAGTTTAACAATTGCTGCAGCACCATTTATTAATAATTAGTTGATCTGACACACCATTTGTCATTAGCCACTTTTCATATATTAATGGATTTTTTACCTACTATCATTGGTCTGTTTATCACAGTACCAATACCATACTGGTGCCATTCCTTTAAATGCGTTCTGTTACCTGGCAGCTGAAGTTTCCCCTGTCTCATACAGATTTTGGAATCAACTTACATTCTGCTAAAGTTGATATTTCCATTGCAAGCTTGTTAAAATGAGCATGTACACATCAAGTCTTCCTATCCATCAACAATACTATATGTCTTTAAGCCTTAGCACCTTTCAGGAAAGCTTAATAATTTTCTCCATTAAGGTCATAAATTTCTTTACCTCCTAGTTACTTTTGGGGGGGTATTTTTTGGTTGCTATGATATATACATAGTAATAAACATATATGTACATACTTATGTATATATGGCAGTGTTTGGGACTAAACCCAGGGCTTTGCACATGCTTGGTACCACTCTTCTGAGCTACACCACAGCCCTTGGTTGCTATTTATAAATGGTATCTCTTCCTGAATTACATTTTGTTAATACTGTATTGAGATACATTTGACTTCTACATATTGATCTTTTTTTGTGTAGTACTGGGGTTTGAACTCAGGACCTCACACTTGATAGTACTTATTGATCTTAAATCCAGCACCTGTTAATTCCTTTGAACTAAATGGAAAATTGAGTTTTCTGTCCTTTCATCTTATGCTTTAGTGTCTTATCACACTGATGGGAACTTAGCACAGTGAACAGCACTGAGTGCATCCCTATCTTACCCTGATCTTGAATAGAGTTCAAGCATCTCATCACTTATTAAACATGGCACTTGCTGTAGGTTTTCTGTAGATATCCTTTGAGACTGCATCTCACTTTTTAGTTTAAGCTGACCTGGAACTAGGTAGCCCAAGCTGGCCTCAAACTCGAGATCCCCCTGCTTCTGCCTCCCAAGTGCTGGAATTAGAAGTATGTACAATCACACCCAGCTACAGATATCCTTGGTGAAATAAGGATAGGTTCTTTTTATTTCTTAGTTTGCTAATTTTTTTCAGTTTGTTGTTAAAGGAGTATTGAATTTTAATGAGTATCTTTTCTGCATCTATTGACAGACTCTATTTCATTTAATCTGTTAATGACTACTTTGGTTCCCCTACCCTTCTAAAAGATGACAAAATAATGTACAATATAAAAAAACCTTGAGATCCCCTTAATGTTTAATTTTTTGAACTTAACACACACTGGCTAGTACAGGACATAAAAACAAGAAAGGCTGCTTCAACAGCCCAGTGTTTCCTAAACTACTTGCTTCCAGGTGAGGCAGTGGCCTGTACCCAGGAGGTGGGAGACTGATCAAGGGAGGACTGAAGAAACCCTGTCAGGTGCAGAAGAGTCTAGGAAGCAGGGAACAGAGGACTGAGATACAATGTGGCTGCCAGATTTGAAAGGGGACAAGGTAGGTATCTCCTCTCCATCACTGGATACATGGTCAGCTTTGCCTAAAACTGGATGATCCCCTTGCTGGAACTCACAGCTAACCTGGGGGTGGAAAAATCTTCCCCATTCTGAAAAAATGGGAAACAAAGGCACTCAATTTTATTTCCAAAGAATTCCAGACTCTGATGGGCATGGTGGCAAATACCTGTAATCACAACACTGAGGCAGAAGGACTGTGAGTTCAAGGCCAGTGAGACTCTGTCTCAAAAAAAACAAGGGCTGCCAAGTGCTGATGGTTTATGCCTATAATCTTTGCTACTCAGGAAGCAGAGATCAGGAGGATCACAATTCAAAGCCAGCCCTGGGCAAATAGTTCACGAGACCCTATCTCAAAAATATCCATCACTAAAAAGGGCTGGTGGAGTGGCTCAAGGTGTAGGCCCTGAGTTCAAACTCAAGTATCACCAAAAAAAAAAAAAAGGGCTGAGGATGTAGCTCAGTAGCAGAATACTTGCCTAGCGTACACCAGCAGTATTAGATAAAAAAGAAGGCAAAGTCCCAGGCTCCAGCTGAACACTGGAGGAAAAAGATCTGTGGTTAACAGATTTTCCAAATGGTGGGATCCCCAGTGTGACAACATGAGCATCCTCTCAAGGCCTAGCAGTGCACTGAACAACTCTGTCCACTATGTGGGGATCTATGGACCCAAGGAACCAGACCCATGAGACTTAGCAGGTTGTGCTAAGGTTGTGCTTTGGAGTGTGTTTTCACCACTCCAAAGGGTTGTCTGGAGGCAGAACATGTAAGTATGGACACAAAGGGATAAAACAGGACCAAAAGGAGTTTCACGGAGCCAGAGGCTGACTCAGAACATGGAAGAACTTTCATGCAATGGATCAGGCACAGGGTTTTAAACTGTGGGAAAGTGCCAGAAAGCAGTCAAAGATCTCCGGAGAATATTCTTATTTGTAGAGGGAGTGGTTGCTCCCAGACTCTCCCTGCAAGCACAACTGCAGCACAAATGGGGGCTTTATTGATGGAACTTGAGAACTGTAACAAAGTCCAGCATGCAGAGTGTAAGGCCTTAGTACATCTACCAGAAAATGAGGAAAAGGGAACTAAGTTCTGTGGGTGCTGCTGCTCGGGGCACTTTGTCTCTTTTCAGTTCTTAAGGGCAAATGAGCAGGAAGAGAGTTCAGCATTTCACAAACTGGTGGGTGACCTCGTAGATCCCCACAGACTCTTGAGCCTTTTCATCGTAGTCAGTCCAGTCCTATGAAATAAGAAGCCAGGGTTAGCTTCTCAAGGCAGAACAGGACAGTGTGGAGTGAAGAACTGGGCACAGTCTCTGAATCGGCTACTCATGAACATGAATAGAATAGAGCCAGACAACTCAGGTCTGAGCTCCAGCTGTCAGCTTTGTAACTGTTGGCTGGGATTGATCCCCAGCACTGTAACTTTGTGACCATGGTAGGCAAGTCATGTCACTCCTCTGAGCCTCAGCAATGGCCTTTATTTAAACAGGGACAGCAGTGGACTTAAGAGTTAATGTTGAAACAATCAAATGAAGAAACACACGTAAAGCACAAATAGCAGCTCAGTAAATGCCAGCTACTGTTGTTCTTAGGTGCTATGCAAACAGAAGGCAGTTGTTATCTTTCTTTCCTTTGCGGCCTCAGCAAAACACTCTTCTATCTGCAGGACAATAACGTGTCAAGTAATATAGATTATCACTCATTAGGCTCTATAAAGTTACCACAAACACTAAATTAATGAATACTTGAACCACTGCTCCCAGGGGAAATACAGGATTAGGATCTTGTGAGCCTCCAGTCACAACATTTTCATCAACCAATTAATAAATAACTTTGTGTTTCTGTTTAAAGATATCTTATTTAAAAGGCTGAGGATGTAGCTCAGTGGTAAAGAGCTTGCCTAGCATATGCTAACACTCTGGGACTGATCCCCAGCACCACAAAAACAGCAAAACGAAACAAGAACTCCAAAACAATTCACCATAAAAATATCTTACTTAATATACATTACTGACTCATTAACATAGAGTTCACAGCCAGTAGCACTGTTAACTCATGCCTGAATGAAGCTTATCTAACATGTATCTTCTCTGTCAAGCATATATGAACCTTCTTACATGTACCAACACTGGAGAGCACTTCAGTACTACACTTCTAATCATTTAAACAGCAAAATCACCAACAAAAGGCACAAAAATGCATTTTGTTCACCAAAAGGTAAGCCCCACCAAGTACTCTATACCACCCAGAGAGAAGACTGCCATGCCTGGGATCTTTCAGCAAGTCTAATAGTGGGAGAGCTTACCCAACTTCTCCCTTCTGGTCTTACACCTCCAAAAGCCCCCAAGTCTCATACCTTCTCCTGCAGATTAATGTCACTGAAGACTGTTCCTGACTCCACACCCTCAGCAGCAAACCCAGCCTGTAGGGGACAGGAAGGCAGCAGTTAGGTAGGGGGAAAGGTAGCACTGGGCTGGCATGTGCAGGGTGGCTTGGGAGCTGGCTTTTCTAGCAAAGGCTTTGGGATGAAGGACGGAGATACAGCATGGTAGCAATTCTGGAATGGATACTAAGCTTCCAGGACCTGGCAGGGGCTACAGTGGTTTCTACCAGAAGGCAGGAGTGGAGTAAACTTTCCTATTACCCCTGCCTTGCTGAAGGACCCTAGGTATGGCACGTCTCTCTGGACCTTAGTTTTCTTATTTATAAAATGGGGACAGCACTGACACCTCTTTTGTCTTAACTCACAGATTTGTTGTGAGATGAAAATGCACAAATAAGAGGGTGAGCACTGGCTCTGGAGTAAATTACAGCCTGCTGCTTACTAACTGTAACCCTGGGCAAGTTGCCAAAATCTCTTCCCTCAGGATGAATAGGATGAAGTAAGGGAGTCACTTCATAGGGTTACTGAGAGGATTAAATGTTGTTGCCAGATGCTGGTGCGGTGGCTCACACCTGTAATCCTAGCTACTCAGGAGGCAGAGATCAGGAGGATCATGGTTCAAAGCCAGCCTGGGCAAATAGTTTGAGAGACCCTATCTCAAAAAAACCCATCACAAAAAAGGGCTGGTGGAATGGCTCAAGGTGTAGGCCCTGAGTTCAAACCCCAGTACCAAAAAAAAAAAAAAAAAGATGTTAAAGTAATGGACATGGTACCTGGCATATGGCAGGAACTTAGTAAGTGACAGTATCTAGTCCTAGAAGGAAAATTTCTAGGCTGCAGTGTAGCTCAGTGGTATAGCATTTGCCTGACATACATGAAGCCCTGAGCTCAACCTAGTCCATGGTGTCTATAGGAAACAAAGCTCTGCTATCACCTCAGGCATCCCCTCCCTAAAGCCGCAGTTTTCCCAGAAAGATGCACACAACCTGGGGCTGGAAGTCAACTGGCTCAAGGCCCCGGCACTCAAACTCTACTATCGTCTTAAACTTCTCGTGGTCTTCAGCCTACAAAAGAAGCATGTTGAGGAGTCAGGTCCGACTGGAGCCTCCTGATGACCCAGTGACCCCTATCCTTCCTGCAGTGTGGGACTGGAACGCAGGAATAACTCAACCCCTTCAGAAAGAATGTCCTGGGCATTGCTTCCTGTGACACTTTCTGTACACATGGATGCTGCAGAAGAGTGTGGATTCTGGGGTCAGCCTTCTAAACGGTAGATAAAATTATCAATACCAAAAATATAAACAAGTGTTAAGCAATAAAATGTCCATCCAGATCATGCAGTATACTTAGACATACATACACACACACACACATACATATATGTATATATATATATACACATATATATATTTGAGATAGGTCTATGATGTAGCCCAGCTTAGCCTTGAACTCAAGATCCTCTTGCCTCAACCTCCTGACTGCTGGGATTACAGCCTGTGCCACCAGGACTTACTAGCCATAGCCTTTTGTTAACCATCCTTCATTGTGAGGGCAGAGGGCTGCCTTAAAGCCTTTGAAATGGGATGTGTGTGTAGGGGGTAGGGAGCCAGAAAATTCATGCCTCCTCACCCATGGACTCAGAGACACCAAGAACCATACCCACACATTCACTCTCATTCTATCATTCACTAAAAAATCATTTCCTGCACTCCATCCACTGGTGAGGCACTTTCCTGTTGGGCCCTGTATCCCCTCCCCAACAAAACAAACAGCACTTTGTTTCTGGTCTGTACCTTCCACTACATTATGATTTACTTTAGGGCAAGCCCTTATTTAGTTTCTCTCTTTAGGGGATAGGGGTGTAGCTCAGTGTTAGAGTCCATGCTAAGCATGCAATTTTGGTTAATCCCCAGCACCACAAAAATCAAAACAAATTACTTTTTAATTTCAGGGCAATGTTGAGAAGTTGACAAAATTCAGATATTTTTAATAAATGCCAAATAAGGAATGAATGAATATAAATAATTGCTCTTCTTTAAACAGACCCCCACTTTTGATCTTACTTACTATGCAGTGATACATAACTATCAAATAATAACAGTGGCGGTCTCCAGGAGGGGATGCACCAAAGGACAGTCCCATCCATTTGTTTCAGAGAAGGCTTACTAGTTGCCTAAGATGTAGACAAGGGAAGTGCTGAGTGCTGGAAACTGAGTGGGTTAGCTTGAGTTAGAGGTCCCTTGAGTTCTCACAGCCCACCACTTTTAGGAAAGCACTGCAATAGCATTCAGTATATGGTGAATAAAATGATGGATTGAGCAAATGAACAATAGAGTTAAGGGGATTAAAGAATAAGCAGCCAGGTGTGGTGAGGCATTCGGGAAACTGAGGCAGGAGGATTGAGAGTTCCAAACCAGCCTAGGCTACATCGCAAGACCCTGTCTCAAAAAACCAAAACATGACAAAAAGAATAAATGAATACATGAAACAATGTCCTATTGCAGGTCACACTGATGCAGCTATAACTCTAGCCCCAGTTTAGATTTAATCCACTACACCAGCCACTATAGCAGCAAACTTACATTGTAAGACTTGATGGTGCTGCTCAAAATCTCTGAAACACAAAAGAGAAGACAAAGTTGACTTGCATCCTTTCTCTGGCCCTACCCAGGTGCCCAGATGTGGCCCTAGGAAAGACATAGCTGCATAAGCTTTAGCATCTTGGGCCTGAGTCCATGGGCTGGTGGAGTGACTCAAGGGTACAGCACCTGGTCTATGAGCCTGCATTCAGAATGGTAACAGGAAGCTGGAAGCCAGCATGGCAGAACAGTAATCATAGCCTGACCTACCAATGGAGTTTTCCCGTGCACACAGCTTGCATTTCTGGACCATGGAAGCACTGCCACGGCCTCCCTTCAGTGCCACACTGTCCTGGCAAGGAACAAACAGAACCTCTGGTTACATATCAATTAAATGCAAGGGTCCTGAGGAGATCCCAATCCTACTACACATTAACCAGTTGAAGAAATCAAGACCCATGGAGGTGAATAACATGCTAGGACAAGAATACTGGGAATTAGGGGTGTAGTTGAGTGGCAAAGCACATGTTTAGCATGTGCAAACCCCTGGATTAAAACCCTAGCACACATACACACATACATACTTTCTTGGGGGAAGCTTTTTTTTTTTTGGTGGTACTGGGGTTTGAACTCAGGGCCTCATACTTGCTAGGCAGGTGCTGTACCCTTGAGTCACTCCACCAGCACATGGGGAGGCTTCTTGAGACTGAAGAAAAGGTTCCCCCTTGATTGTGAACTTTGTCTTATATCCCAAGGGTACCTGTTCCCAGTGTGGATCACACTGATCCTTGCCGTCCCAAACCAAAAAAAAAAAAAAAGTTAAAAAACAAAAAGGGTTCAAAGGACTAGAGATGGGGGTCAGTTTCCACAAATCCCTACGGAAAAGTGTTTATGTGTGAGTATGTTGCTTGTATTTATGGTGGGGGTAGACAAGAGTTACCATTAGCCGAATGTATTGCCATTTCTCTGAAGTCTCACCACAGTTGCCGCATTTCATCTTGGGGGAGAAAAGAGTATAATCAAAGTAGCTAGCTTAGTTGGGGAGACACTAAGGAAGGGTAAGGACAGTGGGAAGTAGGCTCATCACCTACCTTCTCATTGCCATTTACAGCCCCAGCAAAGATATAATCAGACATATCTCTAGGCAAGAAAAAAGCCATTTCTCACACTGTCCTACCCACCCTCCTCTAAGAAGTACTCTATCTGGCCAGGGAGTCAAGGCTTATGTGGTACATAAATGGCCTCAACAGGCTCCAGCCACTTTGCTTGGTTAGGAGTTTGGGTACCACCAGCTCCATTGGTTCCTGGTTTAAGAGTTCATTGCTCTGTTGTTACTATCTTTTTTCTCCTTCACTAGACTCTGTGCTTCTTTAATATAAAGAACATCAATTCCCCAAATAAACCCTGGAACTCAGTTTCTAAAATATTTGGAAATAAAAGTGCTCAAAGGTGGCTTCCTAGAAGATAGGTCTTTTGATGAGTATGCAAGGATGCTGAGATTTAGACCAGGAGAGGAACAGAGCAGAACTTCTAGGGTCTGGGAGGGCCTACGCAGACCATACCACTAGGGTACCAGGTTTTCCAGTGTGGAGTGGGGAAATAAAGATCATGCATAAATTATTTCACAACGAATAAAACTAGATCAACAAATAAAAGAGGTGAATTTATTCACCTTATTAAATAACTACAAGGTCCCTTCAAGTAGCATTGTGTTCAGTGTCTATTCACAGATCACTGAACATTTAACTAGTGGGAAAATTACAGAAGAAGGAGTTATAAGTTACAGATAAATCAATAAACAAGAAAATCTAAAATTCCGCCAAACCCCCCCCCCGACCATTTAATGTGACAGATTAAATATTTCTCATGTTTCCGGAGAGAACGCTCCTGATCGATACAGCGGTCAGGGCGGCATCCCTGTCCTGCACCCTTAAGATGCCCAAGGCCTCAGGATGCTCCTCCCACTGCCGTCCTGGGGCCCCGCCCTCCGCCGCACCTTCAGGTACCACCGGAAGTCCTCGCCCACAGGGCGGAGGTTGGTGACGTTCTCCAGCGTGGCTTTGAGCTGCAGCGCGATTTTCTGAGGGGAGGGAGGGCCAGACTAAGAACGCCGGCCGCGCCTGCGCAGCTCCACGCAGCTCCACGCCCCACCCCGCCCGTCCCAGCTTGAGCTCTGCCGGCTGCCTTCCCAACGCAAGCTCACTCCCTTCATTCCCTCCGGACGCAAGCTCGTGCCTCCCGGATCCTCGCCACCTCCCCAACCCGGGTGTCCCGGTGGCGAATCGCCGTCCTTTACCCCCATGGCGGTCCCGCTCAGCGCTGCGCAGGCTGCGGCCTCTGATTTCCGGCCGGTCGTAAAGGATGGACGCCACCTGCGCAGCCTCAGTGTGGTCGGGGAGGGCGGGGCCCATGAGTCCGCTCTCCGCACGGCTTCTACCCCGCCAGGAGCCCGACACTACCCTGCCCTCTGGGGAGTTCGGGTTAGGTGAGCTGGAGTCTGGTCAGCTGAGCTATCCGGCGCTCAGACCCTCCGAAAGCTGGCCCTGGAATCCGTAATGCCACAGATATTTACTGACCCCCACTTTGTGCTAGTACTAGGCAGACAAGATAGTCCCCGCTGGAAACCTCTGCCCTGCTTCTTCTTGCCCTCAACTCTTTTTCTGACACTAGTCGGCCTGCCTCGAGGGTTTGAGATGGTGCCGCCTTTAATCTACCCCTTCTTGATTTGCCCCCGAGACCAGCTTCTAGTTTCCTCTTCGGGGGGCTCCCGGTGCCCTAGTCCTTTTCAAAGTGTTCCATACGACTGCGCATTGCCCCTCCGCTGGCTCTTCTCTTCCCCGCTGCCTATCCTGTTACACAGGACTGAGACCGCGCAGGAGCTGTGGGCATCATTAGAAGGCACAGCCCATTTGAGACTTTTATAACCTGTGTCATTTCTTTAGAACTTGGAGTGACTTTTTCTGATGTACTGCCAGATTGACTTAGGGCTCCCAAGTACCTCTTATCCAAGGTGGTACACTGAAGACGGGAATCTTGACATGTCAGGTTTCAAGAGCTGTCCCAAGAATCTTTTGCCTCCCATGAATCTTTTGAGAGTGGAATGAGAAAAAGTACTGGTTTTAAAACACTTGGGATCTTGTCCCATGACGGACTGTCTTTAGGGGTGTGAGTTGACCTCAGTAAAATGAGGCATATCAAGGCCCCCTTCTTTATTGTGGGTGCAGTCTAGTGAACCAGTTATTTGCTTAAAGAAGCAATTTTAAAGAAAAAGAAACGGAAGCCATGTAAACTGTTTAGCAACTAGAAAAGATCCTACAACTCTGTGTGCTAAACAAAGCCCCATACTATTTATACCAAATTGATCTGTTCTTAAAATATACTAGGGGGTGGGAGGGTGGCGTGGCTCAAGTGGTAGAGCATCTGCCTCGCAAGCACAAGGCCCTGAGTTCAAACCTCAGAACTAACAAAAATAAATAAAGAGAAAAAATTAAGTGGACTACTGAGAAACTTTTCTAAGACCAGGCTTTTATCCTTTATAATACATTAGAAGGTATTAAACCAAAGTATTTTACTCTACAATGACATAGCTACTGAAATACAGATCTAAAATGTAAACAATACTTGGTTGGGGATGTGGTTAGGTAGTAGAGTGCTTGCCTGGCATGCACAAGGCCCTATGTAAATCTCCAACACTGGAAAAAAAAAAAGTTAACAGTACTTCATTAAAAATTTAAAACATCCAATGTACAAATTTCCTTAATAGTGTCAATTTTGGGAGGGGGGTGGTGTTGTTGGCAATAATGGCGCCAATGGGTTTCGGTTCTTACTGCATCCTTAAGCTTCTGTTTCCCAGGGTCAAGGTCCTGCCTCAAGTCTAGCTTGAATTCCTCTTCTGCCCCAACCTCCAATCAGCATGAACCATAAGATCCTAACCAATCAGAGCAGATCATGCCGAGTCTCACTGAGGGTATTTAAACCCTTGCCCTTCTCTCTCCTCTCTTCTCTCTCTCTCCCCCTCTCCTCTCCTCTCTCCCCTCTCCTTTTCTCTCTCTCTCTTCTCTCCCTCCCCCTCCCCCGGCAATAAAGAATCTCTTGGCCAGATCACTTTTGGGGCCTACATTTGGTTAGTTGTGGTACTGGGGTTTGAATGTAGAGCTTCAAGCTTGTTAGGCAGGTGCTCTTAACACTTGAGCTACACCTTCAGCCCAATTTTACATTTTTTTAAAATCATGATCCAAATAAGGTCGATACTTTTTTTTTTAATGATGCTAGTGATAAAATCCGGTGCCTTATGCATGCTAGGCAAGTGCTCTACTACTGAGCCATGTCCCCAGCAATTAATGTGTCTTTTAGATTCCCTTATAGGTTTCACTCTGTTTCCCTTGAAGTTTTATTTACTTAAGAAAGCAGGTCTCAGCTGGGCACTGGTGGCTTACACCTGTAATCCTAGCTACTCAGGAGGCAGAGATCAGGAGGATCGTGGTTCAAAGCCAACCCCAGGCAAATAGTTTGTGAGCCACTATCTGGAAAAAAACCCATCACACACACACAAAAAAGGGCTGGTGGAGTGGCTCAAGGTGAAGGCCCTGAGTTCAAACCCCAGTAATGGGAAAAAAAAAAAAAAAGCAAGCAGGTCTCAGCTAGAGGTGTGGCTCAAATGGTAGGGTGTCTGCCTAGCAAGTACAAAGCCCTGAGTTCAAATTCTAGTACTGCCAAAGAAACCAGATCACTTGTCCTGGTTTTCCTTTTAATACTGCTGATTGGATTCTAGTTGGATTTTTAAACATGTTATTCCATTCTCTTATTTCCTGTAAAATGGGAACTTCTAGTTAAGACTTTTTTTTTCTGGCAATACTACAGGATGTTTGTATATTACAAACTGCAAAGTTCACACATTCAGGTTTTTTGAAATCAACAAAAATTAAATTTTATCAGAATTTATTAAAGACAGTCATTTATACTTTATAAAAAATTTTGCCCCAATATACACAAAAATTTCCTAATAATGGTAATAAAAATGACTACTTCCAACACCCTCATGTCCATACTAATATTCAATCTAGATTGGTTTAATCTTGAAGTGTAATCCAATAAGACTGAAGACCAAACACTTCAGGTCCTGGACAAGATAATAAAATACTCGTAAGCCTTCTGGATCCCTAAAATGCAAGAGAAAAAAGATGTTTTAAAAGTTGCAAGAAACTTCCCCCTCCAAGAAAAAAAAAAAAGTTAATAATAATCCTGATTATTTATCTACCAAAATGTTCCTTGTAAAAGTATTTACACCATTAATATTTTGAAAAAATATCCATAAAGAAGGGAAATGTCACATATTAAAATAATACTATAAACTGGGTGTGGTGGTACATGCTTGTAATCTCAGCACACATGTACAAACACACACTTACACTCATTCTCTCTAGTCCAGGCTGGTGCTGAACCTCCTTCATCAGCCTCCAATCATTTACAGTTTATAAATGATAACTCCTGCTTTGGCCTCCCAAGTACTTGAGATTACAAGCACTTATAAATTGCCATGTTCAACTCTTATAAATTGATAAGATTATGGGCAACCTTCCTTTCTTCTTTTCTACATTTTCAAGTTAGGAGAAACACTTTTTTAAAAAGTAGTACTAAGCAGGACCAAGAGTATCAAGATTACTACAGCATCACTGGCTAAGAACAAGGAGACTGTCTGAAGAAAGAAAATTATATCCAAAGTTTACATAAAGAGAGCCACAACTAACTCCAACTCCTCAAAACATAAGAATCAAAGAGGTTGCCAAATTCTAAGGGCTCTTTATAGCAGATTCATGTCTCAACGCTATAATCTGCTCCACTGACAACATAAATTTTAAAACTTAGATACTAAATGATGTCAAATTTCACCAAAACTTAAGATGTGCTAGTCTGAACAATCAATACTGCGAAAGTGGTTCCGACTCAGTAACTGAAGTTTATTCTGAACACTTGTTTGGCCATAATTCATCTTCTATTCTGGCTGCTCCTACACATTACTCTGTGTGTCACTGAGAAGTTTTGGTAGCAATGACTGAAAAGATAAAACAAAAAGTAAAAGAAGCAATCTCTGAAAATACAGTTGGCCAGAATCATGGGTTCTGCCTCTGTGGGTTCAACCAACCATGGATGGAAAATGCAGTCAGGCATGTGATCGTTATGTCTGTAATGTATAAATGTAGACTTTTTTCTTGTCATTATTCCCTAAACAATACAGTATGACAGCTATTTGCAACACATTTATACTGTATTAGGTATTACAAATCACCTAAATATGGCTTAAAGTATATAGGAGGAGGCACACAGGTTTTATTCAAATAGTACGCCATTTTCTATAAGGGACTTGAGCATCCAGAGATTTGGTGTTTGTGGTGTTACTAGAACCAAATTCCCTGTGGATACTGAGGGAATGACTATAATTTGGAGTCCCTTCCTCATGAGGGAGACAACACGGCTCACTTCTGTCTGCATTTGTAATACATCTTCTTATAATGGGTCCAATTTTGTTGAGGATTTCTCATCAATCTGTTCCAAAACAGGATATAAGGACTAGACACACTTACTTGGATTGATTGACATCAATAAGAGAACCAATTTTTGATGTTGTAAAAGAAATGTGTTCATCTCCAATGACGATTTCAAGCTCCTAGAAACATTAAAAAAAGTCTAAGTTGGGCAGAACTGGATTATTCATTAAGCACACAGGAGAAGGGCTCAAACTCTACTACAGATGGCACATAAGCAAGAGCAGCTTCATCAAAGCACTAAACTGTGCTGGGCACTAGAAACAGAGGCAACAATGGTTTAGTCGTTGAGAAGCTCAAGCTCTTACGGGTGGTGTGTCCTCCCTCTGAGATTTGTAAGAATTCACCTACTACTCTGTATATGAGGTTTCATTGCTAACAATGTGGAATACTATGGATAGATTTACTTCAAAAATACCAAAGCATTCGATTTTCTTGGTAACATGGAACAAGGAAAGTATTCCAGACCTTAAGTTTGATCCCAGCTTTGTCACTTACTAGCTGTATGATTTTGGGTCTCAATTTCTACATAGTGACAGAAATACCATAAACTTAAAAAAAAAATCTACAGCAGTGCCTGTTGTACTAGGTATTTTTCTCAGAGATTGGGACAGAGAAGACCAAACAAACCAAAGATCTCTGCCCTTGTAGAGCTTATAGTTTATTTTTTCTTTTTTAAAGGAAATATTACAAATAAAACTTATACCCATCTCCCATTCTATTCTCCTTCCTGCATCCCCTAAAGATGGGGTGCATTCTCTCCACTTGCATTTTCAGAATTAGTAATTTTAAAATTTTTACATAAATGACCATGTTACCTGTATCATTTTATTGTTTTTTTTTTTTTTTTTTGCATTCAATATTGTTTCTAAGACTTAAGACTTGAGTTACACAGGTGTTATTCGTTAGTTTTAAATGCTTTGGAGCATTCCATTTCCCCACTGGACAGTCTTAAGTACCCAACTTTTGTTACTATAAACCATGTAGCAATAATATTCTTCTAGAGTTGAGGGTAGAGCATTTGTTTAACATGCACAAGTCTCTGGGTTAGATCTATAGCACTGCCAAGAAAAAAAAAAAGTATTTTCAACACTGGCAGATACCATCAAAGTGCTCCATAAGGTTATACTAGTTTTTGAACTCCTTTTTTTCCACATCTTTTTAAAAGCTTTTTTTTTTTTTTTTTGGTGTTTGTTATTCTAATGTGTCTGAAATGTCCTAATTTTCATTTTACAAATTAAGCTGTAAATCTTTTCAGGCTTACTGACCATTTATTTGAGTTTGTAAACTGTCTATTCATAACTTTTGCACATTTTGCCACTGAATTGTCTTATAATTGACTTGTAGTTTTTTATATATTCCTCATAGAAACTCCTTGCTAGTTATTTTTTGCAAATATCTTCTAGTCTATTATTTATCTTTCAGCTTTATCTTGATGCCTTTTGGCAATCAAAAGATTTAAATTTAAAGAAGTTAAATTTGTCAAGCTTTTCCCTTGAGGACTTAAAAATTCCATTTCTAACCAAAAATAATAAAAGTTTTCATTTTTTTCCTGTTTAAAATTTTTGCTTTGTTTCTATACATTGGCTAATTGTTCTGGTACAATCTGTTAATTCATTCTTTCCTCATTAATTTGAAAATCCATCTGCTAAATATTCCAATTTCCCATATATTCATGGATTTGTTTCTGGGTTCTTCATTCTGTTCCACTGGTGTACGTGTTGATTCCTGAGATAATGCCATATTACAAATGACTGTACCTTTTTAAAGAAATTTTCAGTGTTACCTTGGATACTCCTGTCCCTTTGATTGTCCATGAATTTAATGCTCATTCTGTTGGGTTCTAGGAAAGAATCCTATTGTGATTTTGATTTGAATTGGAATGAGTTTATAAATTACTTTGGTGAAAAATGACATCTTTATGATGCTCAATCTTCCCATCTATAAAAATACACATTTTTATGACCTTCTAAAGCCCTTTAAGTTTTGTACACTCTTTTAAATTTATTCCCAAGTTTGTTTTAACTTTTGATGCTATTATGAATGGGATTTTGTTTTGTCTTGTTTGAAACAGGCTCTCACTATGTAGCCCAGGCTGGCCTTGAACTCACAATCTACCTGCCTCAGACTTCTGAATTTGTGCTCCACTAAGCCCAGTACTATTTTCTTTTTAATTCTACTGCCCAACAGGGTATTACTAGTATAAAGGAAGATGTTCTGCCTACTTCAAAAGATGTTGTGATGGCTGAATTAATACAGCAGAAAATTTTGTAAATACAAAGCAAAGTATACATAATGACATTACTATGATCCCCTGGACACAAATTAAAAAGCTAACTTTAGAGCTGGGGATATAGCTCAGTGGTAAAGGGGTGCAAGAACCTGGGTTTAAACTCAAACATACACACACTCACACACTAATTTTAGTAAGTACTGAGGATGGGATCTTTTTTTCTTTTGGCCGTACTGGAGTTTGAACTCAGGACCTCATGTTTGCTAACAGGCACTCTACCACTTGAGCCACTCTGGAATCCCAGGATGGGATTTTTTTAAACTCTTCTTCAAGAGTTGGCTCATCATTTTTAGGTTAATTAGGAACATGCTTATATAGGTAGGTTGGGAAAAACACAGTATCTTGTTTTTCCACTAAAATCAACATATTGTATCAGATCCCACAGGATGACTGTTCTGCTCCCCTTCAGATCCAATTACAAGTTCCTGGTTGGTTTTAACCTGACCAGTTATAAATTGGGGTTCTGGCAACACTCTCCTTCAGTTCAATTTGCTTGAACAGTTCATAGAACTCAGGGAACCACTTAGATTTACTGGTTTATTATAAAGGGTATTATACAGCATACAGAAAAAAATGATGCATAGGGTAAGGTATGGGAGAGGGGCCATGGAATTTCCATGTCCTGGCTGGGCACACCTCTCTCCAGGAACCTTCATGTGTTCACTTATTGAGCTCTTCAAATCTTGTCCTTTTAGGGATTTATGGAGATTTCATTGCATAAGCATGATTGCTATTACTAAGGGACTAAGTAAGGAAACCAGGAAGGCTTGTCTATTTGGATTCTCCTTGGTCTCTCTTGTATAAGGGTAGTTCAGAGAACTTCTTTATGGCCAGCTCTAAGACAGGAAGGTGGGGGAAGATCAGAGTTTCTATGACACACCTTGAAGGAGAGAAATTACACTTCCTTTTTTATACTTTGTTTTTCTGTGTGCATTGATGATGAAAAGGATCAATCTCAGGGCCTTGCATATACTAGACATGTGTTCTACCACTGACTATACCCCCAGTCTTGAGAAATTCTAATTTATATGGCCTGCCTTAGGGAGGGAGTTATGGTCAAAAACTAATATAGATCTTGGGAGGCAGAGACAGGATTGTGGTTCGAGGCCAGCCCACACAGATAAAAGAAAAATCAAGACTCTGTCTCAAAGACAAGCCAGGCCTTAGCTGGGCACTGGAGGCTCACACCTTAATCCTAGCTATGCAAGAGGCAGAAATCAGGAGGACTGCAGTTTGAAGCCAGCCTGGGCAAATAGTTCATGAGATCCTATCTCAAAAAACCCTATCACAAAAAATTGGGCTGCTGGAGTGGCTCAAGGTGAAGGCCCTGAGTTCAAGGCCCCAGTACCACAACAACAACAAAACAACAACAACAACAACAAAAAACAAGCCAGGCCTAGTGGCAAACACCTGTAACCCCAGCTATTTGGGAGATGAAGGTAGGAAGATCAAGGTCCCTGGCTGTCCCGAACAAAAACATGAGACCCTATCCAAAAAAACTAAAAAGCAAAAACACTGGAGGTACAGCACTTGCCTAGCAAGTACAATGTCCTGACATCAATCTCCAGTACCACAAAAAACCCAACTAATACATACCACAATATTAATATAATAAATATCATTATTGAGCTTTTACTGTACAGTACTATTTCAGTTGCTAGAGAGATAGCAGTGAAAAGAATCCTTACATTGAAGGAGCTTTCATTTGTGTTTGTGTCTGTTGTGGTGAGAGAAGGAAACGGGTAAGAAAAGCAAACAAGAATTTTTTAGACAATGATAAATGTTATAAAATAGATCTTATTTTAAAAAATGGAGTGGGGTTATTAGATTGGATGGACAGATAAGGCAACACAGAGGAAGGAGGAAGTGACATTTGAAGATCTCAATAACAATCTTGTAAAGGAAGCGTATTCCAGGCAGTATGTGGCAAGTACAAAGGCTCAAGTAAGAACAACCTAGTATGGTGGAGTGGTTCCAGTGGTAGAGTGCCTGCTTAGCAAGTGTGAAGCCCAAAAATTAAAAAAAGAAAACAACAACCTAAGTGTGTATAAGGAACAGAAATGAAGCTAGAAGTCTGAACACATGAGATTTTTGGTGGTAAAAAATAAGGTAAGAGTTTGGATTTTATTTTAAGTACAGTGGGAAGATGCTAGATAGTTTAAATCAGTAGAATACATAAACAAATTTACATTTTAAAAGCTCCATTGGCTTTAGGATGGAAACAGGCTGTACAGGACAAGAAGAAAAACAAGGAAATTGAAGTCTGGATTAGGATGGTAGCAGTCAAGATAGAAATATCTTTTCTACTAATTCAGTCAAATATAACAGTGAATTTTATTTACTTATTCTTTCAAAATTTTTTTTTGGCACTATTGGAGTTTGAACTCAGGACCTCAGCACTTACAAGGCAGGCACTCTACCACTTGAACCATTCCACTAGCCCAACTTTTATTTTTTAATTAACAAAACAGTCTTTAGAATGATAATATAAGCCATGAATTTAATAAATATACTTAGTTGCTTGTATGATTTTTCTTCCACTAGATTGTTGAAATAACTATGTTCTATTTATGTCTGTATTCTCCACAATGCTTTATCTGTAGCAGTAACTCAGTAAGTGACGTGGACAGCAAAAACTTTGAGGAGGGGGGATCATCACAAGAAGAAATTCAGGGCTGAGCTGTGGCCAGCAGCACCACCTACTCTCTCTGGTCCTCCCTATGGAATTAATGCGTCCTTAAACTAAGGTGCTGGTAACCTGCTTCATCCAGGGCTCAATAACACAAACATACACACAAATGGATTCAATGTCCTATTCAGAGCAGGAAACCTCATCTTCTAAGATTTCTGCACTACAAGTAGAGTCAATGAAACACTTACTTGCCGGCCTACTCGGTCAGGAGGAGGCCACAAAGCATCATCTTCTTTGGTAATTTCACTGTCATCAATTATTCTCTTTAGTTCCTCCATCACACTTTTATGTACATAAGCCTGAAAGCAAGTTAAGAAACAGAATATAGTTTGTATCCCTAAGCAACACTCTGACTCAGAAAGTGATGGAAGATAAGAATGATTGCTCCCGAAGACCTAGTTCATGCGTGACCCCAGAATGCTGATGAAGAGGGTCAGAGCCAGAAGTACCCAATGACAACACCCCAGGTCCCCAACTAGTTGTTACTACTTATTGGCACATCCTGTTCACTTGGATCTTTTCCCTGCCCACATACCTAGCTCATCCTTGAACCTAAACAGAAAATCTGTGAATCACCCCCGCTATGTTTGTGTCCCCTCCAAAATTTACACTGAAACTTAATCCCCAGTGTAACAGTATTAAGAGGTTCCACCTCTTAATTAGGACATGATTAAGGCAAAAGGGTGGAAAAGACTCAAGGGAATTTGCTGGCACCCTTTTTGCTCTTTTGCTATGTGAGGACACAGAGTTTGCCATTCTGGAGGATGTGGCCATGAAGCACCATCTTGGAAGCAGACACTGGGTTCTCACCACACATCAAACCTGACAGGGCCTTGACCTTGGATTTCACTGTGAGAAAAAATACACACTCTATGTGTGTACGGCTTGAACGTGATTTGTGTCTCCCCAAAATTCATGTGATTAAAGGCTTAGTACTCAGGGTGGTAGTGTTGGGAAGTGGTATGGACCTTTAAGAGGTAGAAGGTCCTTAGGTCACTGGGGCATGTTTTCAGAAAGGACTGTGGGACCCTAGTCTCTGCTCCTAGTTTGAAATGTAACTGTTTATTCATGCATGCACTCCCACTGCTGATATCTGTGCATGAAGTGATGCAGTCAAGAGGCAGCCCTCACTTAGCTTGTGCAATGCTGTTTGGACTTTTAACCTCCAGAACTATGAACTACATAAACCTCTTTATTTCATAAATAGCCCATGTTAGGTACTTCATTATAGTCTTCACTATAATGGCTAATATATCCTGGTTATTTTGAACTAGATACATTCTTCTGAGAGACATATATCTTATTTTTATTTTTTTATTCATAGGTGCATACAATGTTTGGGTCATTTCTCCCCCCTTCCCCCACCCCCTCCCAAGACATATCTCTTAAATTACACTTTGTATACCAGTCCATGCTCTTTTTTTTTTTTAAAGTGAGGATGCTGATGTGTGGCTAAGTATAAAATTGATTGCTAATTGAATGTATAAAAATATACTGACTGTTAAGATATTTTCAAATGTGACAATGATGAAGCCTTAATGCTGTTATAGATTCACAGTGGTATGGAACACATGGACTTTACTGAGATATACACAGATCTGAATTCTCACTGTTATCTCTTACTAGCAGTGGTGACTTTGAACAAGTCTTATATTTAATATCTGGGTCTTCATTTTCTTATACATAAAGAGGATATAATACCACCCTCCAATCACATGGGCTTATAATCTGTGTTAAAGAAGAAACGATCATACTTATATATAAAATACCTAGTGCTATGCATGGCATCTAACATGCATTCAATGAAGTCAACTACTTTCTCATGCTCCTCTTTTCCTTTCAGATGCAAATTAGGTAGCTATCTTCATTGAGTGCTATGTGCTAGGGAATAATATAACAAGCACTTTAAGTATAACATATTTAATTCTATGATAGCACTTGGGGGTGTGGGGGAATGACAGATTTTATTATCCCTGTCTTTGCAGATGAAGAAACAGAGACTTATTAAGTTCAGTCAGAGAATTTGTCTGAGGTCACATGGTTAGCAAGCAGCACACTGAGAGTTCAAACCAAGTTACACCAGATTTCAAATAGTTAGAAGTAATTGATTCAACACTGTAAAAGAAAATACAAACTAAAAGAGTTAGAAATAATCTAGCTGTTTACAAATATGTCTATTTCCCTATTCTTTGTCTTTCAATATTACTCCTAGAAAGAACAAAAACAATAGAAGACAAAAAACTGAACTGTAGTGAATGAAAGGCTCATACCTCTTTTCTGATCATGACATCATTTTTGTAATTGCTGTTGTTGGCATATCTCAATTTCCCTGTGAGAAGGAAAACAAACCCCAATGCAATGTACAATAAAAACACATGAATGAAGCATCATTAGCCAACCAAGACTGTCAGTTTTGCCTAAATTGTATCCTGCTCTTCAAGGTGTCTAACTGACTTACTATTTATGCATTTGGTATTTCAACAATACTAGTCTTTTCAGTTATTCACTGTAGACTATTCAACACCCTCCCAGCTAAAAATACGGGTGACACAATTATAGTTCAAGTAAAAAGCAACTAAGGTGTGGTACATGGCTGGGGGTGGCCCAAGTGGTAGAGTATTTGCCTCACCAAGTGCACTTGACTTCAAATCCTAGTGCCTGGAAATAGTAACAAAAAACAAAACAACAACAAAACACCCCAAACCAACCAAAAAATACAAGCAGGGTGTTTTGTGACTTTAGCAAATCGCATTTCTGTAGGTTAATGTCTTCAGCTAAAAATAGGAATTATAATTGATGACTTACCTGCACAGAGGACATGCTGAGGCTCATGAGATATAAAAACATTCTGAAAAGTGTAGGATGCTCTTTACATATATTAGCATGTAACCATGCTATTTCTGTGATGGGAAAGTTGTGCTTTTAGCATTGAGCATATTTGGTTCATAAGGTCCTTTATGCATATGTGCAACCAAACAGGCTACTTTAGGGATACGGTGGGGATGAAGAAGATGATAAAAGAAAACAGAAAACATGACTTTTTTCATTGTAGAAGACACAGGTAAAAAGAGCCAAATAATTTATTCCAACAGCCTCTGCACTGTTTCTCTCCCGAGATCTCTTCTGTTTCAGTTCATTTTCAGTACAATGGACAAGGTAATGTAGAAACAGATCTCTCAAATTAGGTTATTCTAGTACTCTGATGTGTCAATGACTTCCCTCTGCCTTCCTGACAAAATCTTAAGTCCATAACATGGCATACAACTAAGCTGACCTCCTGCCTACCTTTCCAGCCTCACTCCTGTAATATTCTTCTCACACATCTGGAGTCAAACTACTGCCTCTGCCTGAAACATCCTATGCACTTTTAAACTTTCAGCCTCTTTGCTGTGAATGCTGTCCAAAACACCTTCTTGGTCTTCTAATCAACTCTTATGTTACTGGACATCCTTCCCACTTCCACCCCAAGCCTTTGCTGACCCTCATGCTAGATCAGGTGCCTCTTCTCTGTTTCCAAAGTTTGCTGATTCTTTCTACCACAACACTTACTATACTTTTGTCATCGTTTTTCACAAATCTACCTTGCTCATAGTTCAGGCTTGCCACAACCATTTTTCTGTCTCCATTCAGTGGTAGTTTTATCTTTGATTCCTCTTCGGTCACAGTGCATCTCCCCAGATATTATCAGTCAGCCAAATCTAATTGGTTCTGCCTCCCAAATTTTCTCTTCTTGTATTATTATCTTAGTCCCAACCAACATCCCTTCTGTCTTGACAACTATAACCATCTCCTCATTAGAAGTCCTGTTTCCACTCTTGACTAATCTGGGCTAGAATACTTTCTCAAGAACCGATCATATCTTTTCTCTGCTTAAAACTTTCCAATTGCCTCCTGCCGCACCTAGAAACCTAAACTCTTTACTATGGCCTGTAAACACCTACCATGGTGTGGTCCCTAACTATCTGACATCTTCTCCTACTTCTCCCTAGAGCTCACTATTCTTCAGCCACACAATGGCCACCTTAAATATGCCTGGCTTGTTCCTTCCTATGGTCTTGACACTTGCTACTCCTTCTGTAGAATGCTTTTTCCTTAGCATTTAGGGTTCAGTTCAAATAGCTACTCTTCAGAGAGTCCTCTAAAGGCTATTCTATTACAAAGCAGTCTATCCAGCAATTACTTCAACATTTTGTTTTCTCTGATCATTCATCACTATCTAGGGTCATCTTTTTTGTTTGTGGTCTCTCCCAGCACTGAAACACAAGTTCGGTGAGAAAAGTTTGTCTACAAAGTGGAATACAGCCCGGCATAAGCATTCAATGAACATTTGCTGAGAGGTAAGCAATCTGGTAAGAGAAAATAACTAAACAGAAGTCGTTGCACATGTACAGAAAGAATCAATGGAGCGGACAAAGGACGCTTCTTTCACAATGAACTGCAATGGTTTCAGTCCCTTCCTTTTACAGTTCCCCACCCATTCCCAACCCAGGCCTAGTCCCCGTTCCCTGGGGCAGGAGTCCGCTCTTACCATCGGGCCGGAACTCAAACTCCAGGAACTCATGACCGAACTTGCCTTTGTGACCTACGTAGTAACGCAGATAGAAGTCACTCTCCATGGCTTGCAAAAATCAATCGGAATCGAACTTTAGAAACAAACCACACCAAGGCAGCCTGCGCGGGCTACAGACGTCTACCTCGGCGCACGGAAATGACGTGCACACGGGAGTCGCGCGCAGTCTCACTCTTCTGAGGCGGGAACAAAATTGCCACGCCCCCTGGCCTGGGGCGGGACCCACGCTGAGGCGCTCCAGCCCTGGTTCTCGCCGGGCGTGTGGCGGCCAAGTGCGGGCGGGTTTTTCCTGCTTCTGGAAACCGCTGAGCAGTCCCGTCGTTGAGGGAACTGCGTCCCGCCAGACTCAGCCTCAATTTAAGAGCACAGACTGGTGTGAGTCGGACAAGGGTCTTCACTGACTGGGCCAGGCTAAGTCTCCCCGGTAAAAATGGGGCGAGATGACCCGGCCTTCCAGGAGAACGCGTTCTCAGCGGCGCCTTCCCGAATCCATAGTGGACACTGCCTGAACTAACTCGCAGCACTCATCTCCCATTTTTATCTCTTTCTGCCTTTTATTCCTCCCCGTCGTCCTGCCTCGCTGATCTCTAGGACAGGTGCTGTGAGTGGAAGTTGAACTGGGTATTTCGTCTCCCACTCCCCAGTTGTCCCGTCTACTCAGCAGTGAGCCTCAGCTGCCTATTGGAGTCGGGTTGCATTGGAGCCGTTAAAAAAAGTGATGCTTGGCCGCCACCCCAAGCCTATGAAAGCTTCCCAGGTGAGTCAGGATTGGGGACCACTGTTCCAACCCTGTGTGAGAGCTTTCTGGCTCACACAGATTGTGGAACAATCTGCTGTGGAGTACGGCAAGTCAGTCAAGTCCTAATTATGGAAGCCTGCTTGAGCTCAGCTAAGTTCTAGCCACAGAGAATGGATTCAGCAACAGAGCTGAGATGACGTTCTTGGGGCCTGGACGTTCACTGTGCACTGTTCTGTAAATCTGGTCAGTAGTCTCTGATTTTTATTTCCAGTCTTCAAAATTAGCCCTTTTCTCCCTGAAAAAGCATTGGTAGAAGAGTGTAGAATGGGCGTGCTAGAGAAAAACAACCACTGGAGACTTGGGTAAAAATACGTCCTTATTTTACGTGATTCAACTGTCACACCCCCTCCCCCACCCCGCTTTACTTCTTGAGCCACTCCACCAGGTCTTTTTGCATTGGTTACTTTTGAGATAGGGTCTCACCCAGCTGGCTGTGACTCTCCTATTTGTGCTTCCTCACGTAGCTGGGATGGCATGTGTGCACCACTGCACCCGACTTTTACTGGTTGAGATGAATTGCCCGCTGGCCTCCAACCGGTATCTTCCCAATCTGCCTCCCAAGTACCTAGGATTACTGGTTTGAGACACTGCGCTGGGCGACAATGAAACCCTTTTGTATAATTAATACACAATAAAAAAGAGAAAAAAAGTGATTCATTTTGCGTTTGGATGAACAAATTCACCTTAGCTGTCTAATCTTTAAAATGACCATGATAGGGTTGGGGATATAGCTCAGAGATGGAGCATTGCCTAGCATGTGAGGGGGCCTGGGTTTGAGTCCCAGCACTGCAAAAAGAAGTTAAAATGAGCATAATGCACACCTAGTAGCATTATTATAAGAAACAATGTCTTGGAAAATACTTTGGCAACTGTAAACTGTTGTAAAAACATGGGCCATTTTTATTACAGAACACTGGATATGAGTGGTAACAAGGGAAGACATTAAGCACCTAATACATGTCATCCCCTAGGCTGAGCCTGTTTACATGTACTTGTTCTTTGAATCATCACAACAATCCTGATAACTATAGTTAAGTATATAAGAGACACCAAGCAATTGCCATAAGGTTAATTTCCACTAATGAAGTTATAAAAATTATGTAATGGGAGAACCTGAGCCTTAGCGGATGTGACAAATACAAGTGCTGAGAAATTCTGTACCTTATTGGGTACTTGACCCAATAGGGCTGTAAAGAAATCTAGGTTGTTGGATATGAGAGACAGCATGGCATAACTGAAAAGAACATGGTTTGGGTATCTGCAGAGCCTGAACTCACAATTTGTTGAGCATCTACTACGTGTCACGTGCTAGAGATACAATGTGAGAAAGGGCTTGCAGAGGATGCAAATGAGCATCCAAGCAATTACAATGTAAGGATAAGGGGTTCCAATAGAGGAAACATGGAATACACTGAAAGTGCATGGAGTGTGTTGGCAATAATGGCACGATGGATTTCAGTTCTCTCTCTCTCTCTCTCTCCCCCTCTCTCCTCTCCCTCTCCCACCCGGCAATAAAGAATCTCTTGGGCAGACCACTTCTCTCCGCATGGTCACTTTGGGGCCTACAGAGTGGCTCCTAATTTAGTCTAGGGGACTAAGAAAAGGCTTCCTGAAGGAAGTGTTCCAGACACAGGGCTCACAACTGTGTGGTTAGAATATAGTGAGCTGATGAGGTTGGAGAAGGGGCAGAAGCAAAATCATGGAGGCTCTTACAGGTCATATTAAGAGTTTGGGCAAACCCAAGAACATTGGATTTTAGTGCAAAGGAAGTAGTTGAAGGGCTTTAAGCAGGAAAGCAGAAAGGTGGTAGTGACATGACCTGTTGCATTTTAGAAATATCACTTTGGCTGTCATGTAGGCTGGACTGGAAAGTGGAAAGACTGTTAAGTATGAAATTCAGACAAGTAGCTGGATTGGAAAGTGGAAACACTGTTAAGTATGAAATTCAGACAAGTAGCTGTTAATCTGTGAAGGTGGTTAAGTAAGATGATGGCGACCCATACTCAAGTAGTGGCAATGGGAATAAAAAACTGGGTGAATTTGAGATGGAATACCACAACTTAAGGGTTAGGCAATGTCAATGGTGTGGGAGCGAGCAGCAGGGCAGAAGTATTGAGATGCAAGTAGGCAAAAATTATGGAAGCACAGACTTATCCCTGACTTAGAGAATAGGGAAGGCTTCCTGGTGGAGACATCACCAAAGTGGAGTACTTAAGGACACAAAGGAGTTAAGCAGGTAGAGGCAGATAAAGAGAATCTAGGCAGAGAACAGGATATGTGTAATTGCTCTTTATGGCTACTAAAATAACTGGGTAGCCCAGCTTGGTGGTACAAACCCATCATCCCAGCACTTGGGAGGCCAGCCTAGGCTATATAGCAAGACCCTATTTCAAATAAGAACACTAACAAAACCCAAAAATAACTATTTGGCTCTGGGCAGTTCACCCATTTCCTTATTTAGATGAGATTGGGCAAGTTCAGGGTGGTATGACTATAGACCCATTTCCTTATTAATAAAAAGAGGATGAATAATACTGGTAACATTTATTTTACAGAACTGTTGCTAAGACTGAGATGATTTATGGCACTTCATACATATTAGGTACTCAATTGGTAATAGTTCATCCCCCTCATTGAAGCATCACAAAAGACCTTAAGAGGTTTTTTAAAAATGAATTTAATCTTTCTCTAGAAACAATGTAGTGATTTTACAAATGTCCACATTTGGTTTTCAGTTCACCAAGATGATGTCAGTATATCTAGTGAGATGTAGCACACCCCCTTCAGTCCTTCTGCTTCTAGAAGAGAAGCTGGATTGCACAGGCACTAAGTACAGAAGCTAATGGAACCCGGAAAGACAAGACAAAAAGACCAGAAAGGGTTAGTGTAATTTAACATTCTAATGAACATGCCTGACTATTACATCAAATATGATAACTGGGGAGGGGGAATAGACATTGAAATTCCATTTGGGTACAGTGTAATGGAATTTGCAAACCAGTACTTTATCCACAAATTAACAACAGATTGTGTAGAACAAAATGCTATTTTTAAAAGAATGCAGTTTGTACAGTTTTGTAGTTTTTATAAAAAAGTATCAAAACCTTATCTTTAAATATATATAATTATACAGGAGGCTTTTTTAAAATTACTTTTTGTAGCACAAAGTGTTTGCAAATGTAGTTTCTGCTGATTCTCGACTGTGCACATGGTGCATAGCCTGAATGAAGAGCTTCCTATTTTTATATTAACTGAAAATTTGAAGCTGTGATTCCTTGACCTTCTAAATTCTTCATATCCCGAAAATTCCCAGTACCCCAAGAAGACTGATACTTTATCTTCATGCATTTATGGGAAAGAACATTGTTTATTCTGAGACTTCTAGTTGATATTTTGATGAGTGCATGGCTGGAGTTTGGGGGTAGTTCATGTTCCTGTGGGATGTGAATGGCCCTTTCCCCATTCCTACTAGTGTCTGACTGTACAGTGGTTGGGATCCCCTCTCCAGACTCCATATCTTTAAAATTTCCAATTTTCTTTCTCAAGGTTGAGAACATCTAAGAGGCTCTTGATAGGATGGCAAGCTTCTGTGAAAATCCCACTGCCCTTGTCTTAGTTTTCATACCAAAAAAAATCTCTTGACTCAAATATATGAAAAGTAGTCAACATTTCTATGTGGCCACAGGAGAGCCTGAAGCTGAATAATTTCATGTCTGCAAGGTGCTGGCAGTGCACCCCAAATTTTCCACAATACCTTCTACACAATAAATGACCAAGAAATGTTTGCTTATCAAACCAGAAATTAAGGTAAGTATTTTATAAAGTGCTTACATTGAACCTGTCATTAATCCAGTCTCATTTCTTGCTAAATCCACTTGAGTGTTTTGTTACAATGAATTATATGCAGTTCCTCACAGCCCCCTGCCGATTCATGCCTTTGTGTCTTAGCTCAGTGTCTTCTCTGCTACTAGCAGCCTAGACACCCTTTCTTAATCTTTAAGACTTAGCTTAAGGTCACTTCTATGATGGTGCCATTTCTCATCTCCTCAGGTAGAATAATCCTCTCTTCTCCGTGCCCTTACAGTATTCTGTAGTCACATGTATCTTGCTGTACTGCTACTGTGAGCTCTGAAAGGACAGAACACATTTGATTGACCTTTACATCTGCAGTGCCTGGCACACAGCTGTCACCTAGTGGATAGTTCTGGGGAACGAATAAACTGTAGTCATAGAAATAACTGAAGGGAGCAGTAGTACTTATTGCCATAAATTTAAATCACATCTTACTCTCTTTTTGCCAGATAAGGTTATAGGTTACTTCTGTTTTGTATATAGTCATGCTATTAAGAATAAATAAAGTTTTAATTTTCCTTATTTCTGGAAGGCTGTTTCCAGTGCCTTGGTAAATCCACTGGAAAGATAGCCACAGGATAGGAAGCAGGTTTGAGACCATGTTCAGGCTGCTCAGAGTTATCTCCTGGAAAAGGAAAGGGAGGAAAAGGACTGGGCTGGCTTCTTTAAATATTGTCTGATAAGTTTTCTGCCCTCTTGGCATTGTCTCTCAGCCTTCATCTGGCTCTATAGTCCAATGGTTCTGTATTAGCTGTAGCTACATATGCACAGGAAGCAAAAAAAGCAACAGAAATGTAACTATGCCTCAAAATAAGGCTCAAATAGCCTCCAAGAATAGGAGGAAGGAGGATCTGAGTCCTCAGATTTCATCTGTCTTACTGCTATACAACACACATTTCTCAATTGTTTCTTTCCTTTTTTTTTTTTGCAGTACTAGGGCTTGAACTCAGGGCCTACACTTTGAGCCATTCCACCAGCCCTTTTTTGTGTTGATTATTTTTCAAGATAGGGTCTCACGAACTATTTGCTTGGGCTGGCTTCAAACCTCGATCCTTCTGATCTGTGCCTTCTGGGTAGCTAGGATTACAGGCATGAGCCACTGGCACCTGGTTTTCAATTTGTTTCTTATAGATTGTTCCATAGCTGCTTCTTTCAAACTGCAGTTCTACCATATTCAGGAAACATGGACATCTCTGAGCAAGCTGTGAATTTCATCATCATTTTGAGATCACAGGCCATATGCCCTGACCTATTATTTTTTTTCTGTGAAGACCAGAATCTGACTGAAAGTTTAGAAACTATGCATTAGCCACTATTATTTCATTCTCCAGGAAATTCAATTTCTTTTGAGGCAGATTACAGAAAAAGTTGTTTGGATACATTTCAGTGTTTGTCAATTTCATCATTTTTCTTCAGTCAAAAATAATTTTACTTTCCATTCTTGAAAGAATAGTAGTGAGTGAGCGAGCTCCATGGGAGTTGACCACCTATTTTTATAAGTCTTTTTATGGGTCATCTAGGTGAACTGTGTTTACCCTCTCAATGAATGTCTCAGGACTTCAACACATGTATACCATGAGGAAGCTATATAATAAAATGACCAAGCTCCAGAGTGGTTGTTTTCTTAGAGGTCAGGAGACCATGAATGACACAGAGCAAGATCCTCGGAAGAGGATGGTAGGACTCCAGATTGTCTGCCTGGAAATTCAAAGTGTGTCAAGATGGTGAAATATCCAAGCTTCACTGAGTTGGGGGCAGCTGGACTGTGGGAGTAGGGAGACATTTGCTTAAGGATGCCAAGTTCCAGATATGCTAAGGTTAGATACATTTCCTTTGATTCTACTTAAGCCAAATACTTCCATGTTGTACTTGTCCCTGGTTGTCTAGTGGAAGTGAAGTAGCAGAGTAGCAGAGTTAAGAAAAAGACCATACTTTGGACAAAAAAGCCAGCGGGGACTGAATTCCTTTTGGGACTGTAACATTATGTTCTCAATGGTATACCCCACAGATAGAAAATAGCATTTCTCCCCACCTCCCTCAAAGCCCATGAAAAGTAAAGGTGTCTATAGTGAAAAAAAAAAATCTATACAAATCTATACATATACCCAGACTTTTTCCTTTTATTTACAAAGCAGTAAACCAAATCCCTGTGTGAACATATATATTCAATTGTGTAAGCCATTTCCCCTCAAATACAACTTCAGATTTGGCCACTTTTTCTTAGTTTTATCTGTTTGAGCATATAGTAAGAAACCTGTTTATTACTTTAAAATGTTTCCTCCATCTAAAGGAAATGGTGAGAGTGAGGGAAGGAAGAAATAGAGATGTAATAAACATTCCATCCTCCTTATCCTCATCCATAGTATGTCTCAGAAGTTCAGTGCCTGAGTCAGTCCCTATAGTAAATGGGCTGTCCTGGAAATGTCTCTACTTAGTTCTGTAAGTAAGGATGGTACCCTACAGTTGCTTTGAAGGAAGCTTACTGAATTCTATCCCAGAGTCCTAAGGAAACTGAAGACATAACTTAAAGAGCTGAACTTTAAAACGAGGACTTACTGAGGTTTAGGTTGCTATATTGAGCTCATGAGAACTTCTGGCACTGGTATCTATACACTGACTTAGCCACAAACTAGAAAGTGCAGGTGGGAGTCATGGCAGCCACCAGTGAGCAGAAAGGCTTTGCTGGCTTATCGGGGGTCTCAGAAATAGCCAGGGGTGAAAATATCTGCCTACACGTTTGCACAAACCACAGTATCTGTTTTCAGAGCCAAATTTTCAGAGGTTTCTCTGAAAACTAGACACCCCTCTTGTGGACTGTTTTAAAATACATTTATATACTTGAACAATAGTCATAGGTCTGCCTCTTCTCTACAGATTTTTCTCTCTCATACATAACACACATAAACACACACACCAAAAATAAATACTCTCACTTCTCTAAATTATTTATAGAACTAATCTTGTTTTTGAAATATGTTAATAAATAATCTAAATGTGGGAGGGAGATGAAGTGTTCTCTTTTCATACCTATGTTGATGGATAGCCACAAAGCATAATCATTTTATTTACAAAAAAAACAAATCCCCAAACCTAAAAAAGTTCCCAAATCAAACATCCTCTGTAAATATAGTATTTAAATGATGAGTAAGGTACTGTACCATTGGCCCCCATTTGGTTATGTACATCATGTTAGTCACTCAGCAGTAGCTATTCCATGAATTCCTCATGGGTAGTGCAACCAGTTAAAAAGTGTATAAAACATTATACATATAAAAACTCTCACATCCTTTGGATGTTTGCAGTTCATCATAACTTTGTGGTTACCTTTCCGCAACATAAATTAAAAAAAAGTTACACACACACCACACACACACACACACACACGTGCATACTCTCACACAGACCAATACATAGAAACCCATTCATCCAGTCATACACCATCCAGAGAGAGTAGTACATGGGACTGAACTCCATGAGGCACGAAGGAGGTGGTCCCATCCTCAGGGCAGTCCATCATCTTCCAGACTTAGTGCCACTCGCTGGGGAGATAGACCAAAAGAAATCATCATTAGATCCATAAGAGATAGTCTTTATTGAATATCAACAAAGAATCAGACATATATTACTTCACAGGTATCAGCTCAATAATCTTCAAACTATGCCAAGAAATAATATTTATCATACTTATTTTACAGATGAGAAAACTGAGACTCACTCACTGAGCTTACATAGTTTGCTCTGGATCACACAGCAAGTGGCTGAACTAAAGTTTGATCTCAGGTCTGTGTAAATCCAGAGCTGTAGCTTTTTCCATCATTCTGTTCTGTCTCTGTCCCTTTGTTTAGTTTTTGCGGTTCTGAGGTTTGAACTCAGGGCCTACACTTTGAGCTATTCCACCAGCCCTTTTTTTGTGATGGGTTTTTCAAGATAGGGTCTCATGAACTATTTGCCCCCCGCTGACTTTGAACTGTGATCCTCCTGATCTCTGCCTCTTGAGTAGCTAGGATTACAATGAGAGTACTGGCACCTGGCTGTCTGTCCCTTTGTAAAGGAGGGCAGCAGAGATGTAAATTTTCCTCTTATATAGGACTTTAGGTTGGGTGAACTTTAATGGGGTTAGCTCTGTCAAATGTTAAATCCCAGCTATTTGTGACTTGTCTCCAGAATGCTAATCAGGTGGGTACCATGCTGCACCCATTCCACTGATTAAACAGACTCAGAAGACAACACAAGTCAATTAAATTTAGTCCCTCTTCCACAAATGGCTGACCATTAGATGGCGAGTCTACTAATCCCTGAGCCAGTCTGTTTCCTTGTGGAGAGTGTATAAGCTGTTTCTTTGTATTTTTCTCATGTTCCCTCATTCTGTCTTAGAAAGTTCTATACAGGAAAGCCCTTGAAATTTATAGGCAAGAGTTTGAATTCTTTTTCCTTCATTCTGTTTTCTTCAGGATACATATCTAGCTTTCCCACAATTTGTCCTTGTAAGATCCTGTTTGATAGTCTTCCTGGATACCGTCCTTTGGGCAGACCCTAGTTTCATTGTCTTTCTCAAAGCTATGTGAGTTTGGGCAAGCTACTCTCCCAGAGCCTTAGTTTCATCATCTGTCAAATGGGAGTAGGACCTTCCTCAGAGCCGATGAGGACCTAAATGAAATAATGGATGTAGCGTGTTTAATACAGTATTCTAGATCACCTTAACCAGCATACAGTAAGAATTTTCCACCTCTGAACATTTTACATATGATAAAAAGTAACTTCACTGCCTTTCAAGTCATCTTTGGGTTATCTGTAGTTTTTCATGAATGCCACAGCCACACTCCACCAGCACGGATATTGGAGACTGTCTTATTCTAGTCTTACCACCCTTCTACTCTCTCCAAGACAGATCTTAAGACTAAGACAGGGCCCAGTAGCAATGGCAGAGCTAAATGAGAAAGGGATAGAGGAGAGAACAGGTGGTTGGGAATACTAATCTCCAGAGCTTCAAGGTTGTATACCCCATGACATAGTGGAAAGAGCATGGACCTCTATGTACATACGGACTGGAATGTGAATTCTGGTTCTGCCACTTCCTGGCTATGATCTTAAGTTAGTCAATTTCTAAAAGTCAGTTTCCTCATCTGCAAATGGAGCTAATAATATCAACGCTATAAGGTAATTGTGAAGATTAAATGAGAAAATATTATGAAACATTTAGAATAGTGTTTGACACATAGTAGTAGGTACTCACAAAACACCAGTTTCCTCACTCTATTACTCTGTTTCTCTGCAACTGCCAGGAGCTTATTACCTAGGCCTTAAGACTCACCAGGAGTAACTCCCCTAAGTCATTTCCTTCTCTGGAACAATGCCACTTTACAAGTTCAGATTGCTCTGTAATTACAAAGTGCTCCCTTATATTTGCTTTCTTATTTGAACTTCTAAACTTGGGAGGCAGATGGAATGGGAGTTATTTTCATTTTGCAAATAAAACTAAGTAGGGAGAAGTGACTAAGATCACAGGGGTATGAAATGGTGGAACTGGGAGTCATTTTCTTACTGTAAGCTCAGTGCTTCTCTAATCTTTAAAAATTGGTTAAGTATTTATTTGCCTGGACTGGCCAAGGTTAAGGATCCTCAAGGCCATTTGCTAACTCTTCCTACATGCTCAACTTCATTTCCCACATCTCCCCTTTATGAACAATTTGCTTCATCACCAGTTCTATCTGCCCCACACTCTGTCACTTTCTTCCACAGGCCATTTTCTTGGTCTGCAACTAACCCATGTTTCCTCTGTCCCAACACCCATCTTATAGTTTGCAGCCTTCCAAAACCAGAAAGCCGTCTAGGATTGGCTGCATCAACTTAGGTTCAGGCCCTCACTCACCACACCAGCCATCAGGCTCAGAGTGGCACTGCCCTACCTTGCACTTGACGACAGGCAGCTCGGAAAGAGGGTTCTTCGGGAGCTGGTGCAGCTGTGACCTTGGTTCCCCCGGCAAGACAAAAAGCTCCTTGAGGGCAGGGGCTGAGTCTTCCAGTTCTCTGGTCTCCCCAAGACAAGGCTCTGCCCACAGTGGGCGATCAAAGCTGCTGATTGCCTGACAGGGGGATGGACTGGATGACCTCTGAGGTCACACTCAGCCCCCTGACTCTGCTATACAATAATGATACCTGTTCCAGCCACTTTGTGGTTCTTGCTCCCCCAACAGACCATGCTCTCTTTGTGCCTCTAAGCCTTTGCACAACCTTCTATTCTGGAATGCCATTTCCCTCCTTTTCTACTTGGAAAATTGGTATTAATCTTTCAAAGACACAGCTCATCTGTTGCTTTCTCTATGAGGCATTCCTGGCCCAATTTACTAAGGCAGAATTAACTCCCTTTTTGATGTTTCCATACCATTTGTTCCACAAATATTTGTTAGAAGCCGGCTATGCTGAGGTAGGCACCAGGAAAATAGACTAATACATCAGATCCTGCCATCAGGGATCTCATAGTCTAGTAGGGAGACCACTAAGTAAAAGATAAGTGGACTATGATGTGACAGGTGCTGGAATGGAGAGAGGCCCAGAGTATTGTGGGAGGACAAAGCAAACTGTGAAAGGCTTCCAAGAAGAAGGGACTCCTGAGCTCCCACCCTGGCACTTAGCACACATTTGTACCACTGTATGTTAGTATCTCTTAATTCCACCACCAGCTGTTTGGAAGCAAGTATATTCCTTATTTATTTCTGAACACTTGACGTCTAATGTGGTGCTTGGCACATAACTGGCATACAGTATTTGTTAAAATAAATATGTTCACATTTTTAAATGGCCAGCTATCCTTCTAGGCCAAAGGTTCTGAAAATTACTCAGCAGAGATGTTTGCTTCTTTATTGTCAAGAAGAGCTTCTAGGTACAAGGTAGTCCTGATACCCTACTATCCAAACCACCTGCCTCAGCATGTCTGTGTTCCCCAGGGCTTAAAATAGTGCCTGATACATGGCAGATTCTTGATAAGGTTGAAGGAAGGAAAACAGGAAGGAAGGGAGAGAGAAGGAGGGAGGGAGAGAGGGAGGGAGGAAGGGAGGAAGATGGAAGGAAGGAAGATGGAAGGAGGATGGAAGGAGGATGAGAAGGAAGAAATTCTCCCAGCAAGAAATACTTACTGCAGGATAGACATGGCCAATCTGAGCAGTCCTCCCTATATGGAGCTCATCTTCATCTTCTTCTTCTGTTGTTTTCCTGTATACTGGGTTGTCAAAATTCATGCTCTTGGTGTTCTTCCGCTTCCAGTTTCTCCAAATCAGGTAGCCGCTCATGCACAGCAGTGCTATTACCCCTAGGGGAAGGGATACATTACCCTGGACATCCAGAGGGCTCTGGCCCAATTGCCCAGACATTCGTGCAGATCTTACCTCCTCTCACCTCACTTTACTGCCCCATGCTCCTCAGGCACTGTTTCTGCATGTTCCCTTTCGGCTGCTTGAAAGGCTTTCTCTCATCTCTTCTTTCCTTCATTAGCTACTCATTCTTTGAAATCTAGCTCAAATGTGAAATCTTTCCCAACTGCTTTATAGTCAGAGTCTGCTGCTCCCTCATGTGTGCTACCAGGTCATAGTATCTTTACGTGTCTGTATTGCCTGTCTTTGAGAGTGGGACCATGCTTGTTTATCTTCATATGTCCAGTGCCTCGCACTGAGGTGACACATGCTGAACAAACGAGTGAATTTCTTCCCTACACCTTTGCCTTAATGCTACTGCTTAAGCCATTTTCTCCACAGACTGGAGGGGGAAGCACTTATTTCCAAAGCTGGGGCTCTAACAGAAGAGGAGTATCTCCAAAAGGGAGGATAGGAGGGCAACACAGGCTCGAGTGAAAATAAAGGAATATATTAATGAGTAAAGGACACTCTCTTCAGCAAACTAGGAATAAATGGAGAAGCAATTTTGTAGATAGTAAGCAGTCATTCTGGGCATTTCAGTGGCGGCTGAATGATCACCTCTCTAGGATGCTGTAGAGGGGTTTCTGTTTCTGTTTGAGTAAGATTACAATAGTTTAAAGATAGCTAAAGATGCTCCTTATCACTGTTTCTACTTACTGTCCTGGAGATCTAACTTTGTGCATAAGACCAGGTTAAAGATTGAAAATTAAAGCTGGATGCTGATTACAACTGTAATCGTAGTACCTGGAAGCTGAGATTGGGAATATCACAGTTAAAAGCAAATAGTTTGTGAGACCCCATCTCCAAGATAACCAGAGCAAAATGGACTGGAGGTGTGGCTCACATGGTAGAGGGCTTGCTTTTTTTAACCCTGAGGTTAAAAAGCAAAAACAAAAACATGGTTCCACCAAAAAAAGAAAAAAAAAAAAAAAAAAGATACAACTATGGGAAAGGAAAGAACCAAACCGTTACTATTCACAAATATTTGTATGTTTAGAAAATCTTAAGAGAAGCTGGTGAAAAGCTATTAGAAGTAATTGTATTTCATCAAGAATCAACATAAAGCCAGCCATGTTGGAGCAAACCTATAATCCCAGGACTCAGGAGGCTGAGGCAGGAAGATTGTGAGTTGGAGGCCAGCCTGGTCTATATAATGAGACCATATCAAAAAAAAAAAAAAATCAGTATTAAAAAAAAATCAAGTTATCTTTTTTAGTAAGCAGTAACCAATTAGAAAATGTAATGAAATAAGAATACATTCATAATAGCCCATCGAAAAACTGAAATACTGGGGATAACCTAACAAGAAATGTGTAAGTCCTACATGATTTACAGACTTCTACTAAAGGATGTAAATGAAGACTGAAATAAACACAGAAATATCATATTCCTGGTTGGGAAACTTCAATGTTATAAAATGTGAATTCCACAGCCAAAGCAATCTCAATAAAAATTCCATCATAATTTTTATAGAATTGACATGATTATTCTAAAGTTCATCTAGAAGAGAAACTGAATAAAAAGAGCTGAGAAAAAGTGAGCATAACATAGCATGAAGTGCTACTTACTCTATAGAAACAGAAAATTAGTGGAGGAGAATAAACAGCATAGCATCTATAAGCATGTAGTTTATAATAAGGATGATAATTTATAATAAGGGTGGGCTGTTCAATAATATTTTTGGAGAAATTAAACAGGTATATAGAAAAAAAATGGTTAAACCTTTACCTCACATCATACTTAAAAATAAATTCCACTGGAAATATCTAAGTACTAAAAATGGTTTAAACCAGAAGGAAATATCAGGAGATATTTTAATAATTCGGGATGAAACAGGCCTTCCTAAGCAAGACACAAAACCCAGAACTCTTGAAACCAAAGATTAATAGATTTGACATTTAAAAATTTTAAATTTTTAAAAAATCAAATCTCAGACTGGGAGAAAATATCAAATATTTTAAAGGTTTAATATTCATTGTGTATAAATAATTCTACAAATAGGAAAAATGAGACTGTAAATAGGATGAAATTTAAATATATGGCCAAGGAGCATATGAAAAGATACTCTACCTCTCAGGGAAATAATACTCATTCCCCCCCACCTCGGATTAGCAGAAATTAAAAATACTGATTATATCAGGATGGGTTACATCAGTGAAACAGCACACACCTGCTTTCTATAGAGCACAGGAAGGCAAAACAGGGTCAATTTGTCTTTCACTTACTCCACTCAAAAAAAAAAAAACCTAGAATAATAGTCTCACTACCATCTTTTCTGATGAAGCCTATCAAAGCCAATTCAAATGCCATCTTCTCCAGAAGCGCCATTTTCACTCTGGAATTACCTTTCTTTCCAGTATTCCTCCACAAGAATACCATGTTACTGTTACATCATGCCTCTTGTAGTACATTATAGTGTATACTAACATCTACTGTGTATGACTTATGATTAACTCTAATTGAAGACTTGGTCTTTATCTTTTTCTACCATGCATTCTTGGTGCTTGGTACAGTGTCTTGCACAGAAGTTTTTTTTTAACACATTCACTCACTAACTCACCACCATACTGAGGATTCCCAAAATAAAAATGACAAAGTTCCCATCCTTAAGGTATTCATAGCCAAGTAAGTAAGAGATAAACCTATGAATGGACAATTCAAACTCAAAATATACTGCTAAGAGATGAGGCTGGTATGAGAGACAGGAAGTACAGGAGACTATGTGAACATGGGGTGATGAATCAAGCCCCATGGTTCTGTGCAAGGTCATAACCAATGTTATACTCTGACTGCACTGAACTCTTAGTTCAACCACTTCCAATTCCTGGCTTTGCTCATGCTGTCTTCACGCTTAGATTGCTCTTGATCCTTCTTTACTTGGCTGACTCAGCTCAGGTATCATTTCCACCAGGAAACCTCACTTGCCCTTTTCTCCCCTCTCTCAGTCTAAGTGCTTCTTCCCCACTTCCCTAAACTCAGCACACACAACTTACTCCTAGGACTTACCTTGTCATAATAAATTTATCTGTGTCATATGTGTCTCTTCAATAATAGTAAACTTTGGCAGGATAGGACCACATCTTATTCATCTTTAATCACCTTATCACAGAGTTTGACATATGATAGCTGCTTAATAAATGTTTGTTGAAAACCAAACAAAGAAAGCAAGACAGTATGACCAATTCAAGAAATGACATGCAGCTCTACTTATCAGTTCAACAAAAATTTAATTTCCTATCATGTGCCAGCCATTTCTAGGAGCTAGGAAGAGTGGTGAGTAAGAAAAACACCAATCTTGTCCCCCAAGAAACATTCAATTGGTTTTCCCATGGAGGGAGTACAAGGTGTGAATGGGAGATGGGAGAGGAATGCACCTGGATGGCTGGCCTGTGGTAAGGTCCTGAAAAGACTTGAGTGCCAGCCCAAGAAACCAAACCAGGCATGGGAAATTGCAGGACAGCTTCCAAGCCAGAAGAAGTCAATGGGGAGTTTAGAATGCCAAGTTCTCTACCCTTGTAGTGTCTTTCCCCAAGCTCTGTGCAGGGGCTCTCTTTGCTTTCCAATGACTTGGGGCCACACTCACCTATGGGCACGAGGATCCCAATGACAGCAGCAGTGACTGTTGAACCCATCTTTCCACTTTCATTCCCATCTGCAAAACACAAACATTCATAGAATGATGCTCTATCACTGTGAGTCCAAGCCTTACTGGCCTCAAGCAGTAAGAACTACTCAACTGCTTCTTGCCCTCATTTAAAATGACCCTAGCTAATGCTCAATAATTCAGTCTTTCCAGATTCCATCAAAACTTCTGTGAGGCAAGTAGGGCAAAGGTAATCTCCATTTCACAGAAGTAGAAATTAAATCTTACTTGTAAGTACAGAGCTGGGACTTGAACTCAGGACAGACACATCATGAACCAAGTCCCAAACCCTTCCATGGCATCATGGTGGTAGTAAGCTGGGGGCTATAAATGGGCAGTGAGCACTTTGGTCTTCAGGTCTTCGTGTTGCTGACTGACTGGGTCAGTTGCTTTATTCAGCCAGTGTCTGCATTGTTTCTGTTGTTTTTGGTGGTCTGCCCATCTTATCTGCATTATCAAGTTATTTTTCCTAAGTAATTAAAATTGGATATAGTATATTGTAGTGAAATCAAGAGCACAGACTTCTGGGCCAGACTTCTTAGGTTCAAATCCCATCTCTACTACTCACTACTTGTGTGACCTTGGGCAAGTTAATTTATATTATACATATAACATGTTATATTTCTTTATCTTAAAAGTAGGAATAATGTTATTACCTATCTCCAAAAGTTTTAAAAGGATTAATAATTCATATAAAGTGCACAGGCACAATGCCTGGCACAGGCTTGCAGAGTGGGCTAGGAGTTGTGAGGCCTAAATGTAAAAAGGTATGTCAGCTGGGAATGGTGGCACACACCTGTAACCCAGCACCCAGGAGGCTGGACAGAAGGATTAAGAGTTCCAGACCATCCTTGGTTATACAACAAAATCCAGTCTCTAAGTAAATAAATAAAGTAGAATCACATTCTAAACTGAAAAGTGCTTGGAAAATATACTTTAAAAATATATATATATGCTGTGCTATCTTTCTCACTCTTAACAGCCACCTTCCTTCTAACATTTGTATAGCACTTTGCAGTTTAAAAAGCATTTTCCTCTTGGAACCTCATAACAGCTCTCTGAGGCATGAAGAAGAACTATTATCCACATTTGCTCTAACTGAGGACCAATCCCATCCTCTCAGTGTGTCTGTTTCCCAAGTCCCCTAAAATGAATCTATTCAGGGGAGGAGAATGCTGCACTGCTTACAAAGCTGACTGTGGAAGTGCTGCTGGCCTCTCACCCTGTAAACCTATAGCTTAGCTGGGCATGGTGGCACCTGCCTGTATTCCCAGCTACTCAGGAGGCAGATGCAGGAGAATGGAAAGTTTAAGGCCAGCCCAGGTAAAAGCAAAAGAGCTGAGGTGCAGCTCAAGTGGTGGAGCATTTGTTTAACTTAGTCAAGGTCCTGGGTTTAATCTCCAGTACAGAGAGCAGGGGGTGGGGGCTCCAACATGATAAGGCCTGTGGAAAAAAGCCCCCAGATGACAGAACTGAAATTCACAGGTGTTCCACCTGCTTCTCCAAACTATAGGGTGAGTGCTCAACTCTGAGAATCCAACTTCTGACAAAACAGGCCCAATCAGAAAGGTGTTGCCAGGCTGCTTGGTTTCTGGGCCATCCGTATGGGAAAAAAAAAACATGCAAAAGATAGTTTATCCTTTTAAATGAACTCCCCTTGGCAGGTAACTCAATTAAAAAGGTATTTGCTGGTTAATGAGATAGAACAGTTCTAGCAGTGACAAGTACTCCCAGTGATTTAATAAGTAGTGAAGTTAATTATTTCTATCTCAGGGTTTGGAAACAGGCATGAGCAGACTGTAATTATGGATGTGATCATCTGGGTAGCTCACTGAAGTTGCTGGGAACTGAGATCTGGGTAGCTCAATGAGTTTGCTGTGTGTCCAAACCTGAGGGACACCCCCCACCATGTGTACATCAGTAACTCCTGAAACACAGACATATACATCCAGGCAGTAGAGGCTATATGTGTGAGCATTTCCACTTACACTGCCTCCCTTACTTGCTTCTCTTGACAATCTTATGAAGAAGTAGGGGGTGGGTTTTTATTTCCCTTAGCAGAAGAGACTGAGGCTCAGAAGTGGAATGCAACTCCCCTCCAGCTTGGGGCACCTAAGATTAATCAATCACAGGGCATATCCTTTCTCCTTCTACTTTCTCCTTAGAGATGTGCAATATTCAGCTCTGGTGTGATCTCTCTTCCCACTTACCCCATCCTGGCCCCCATAGGACCCTCCCACGTCATGAAAGAATGCAGAGTTCATTTCCTTACAGTGCTGAGAGTGGTTGCTGGTTGCAGGGCTTGGGGTAGACAGACTGATGCTGGGAGCCCTGGGGACACTAACTGAGTTTGAGGTCGCAGTTGCCTGGCTTGGTTTCTCTGTGCTATGATTCTGGTAGGCGGGGCTGTGGACGGTGGTCCTAGGGGCTCTTGTAGCAGGTACTGTCCTTGTTGTAGCAGAGGCTAACGTCGTAGTTGAGGTAGATTGAGGTGCTAGAAGGAAAAGAGCATAGGAGTCACTTGGACAGAGCACTTTGTTGCTTTAGTGCCTAAATTATTGCCTCCAGAGTTACATGTAGGGACTTATCCTCGGGACTTAGCTTAAATGCCACTACTGTGAAGCCTGCTCTCACCCGCCCCCCACCTCCAAAATGAGCCACAATCTCTTCAACTGAATCCTAAGTACTTCCCTTTGATTTGATAAAGGGGAGTTATTAAAATAATGTAGAATTAAGTACGGCAAGAATACCATTGTTCCATCATTAGGCTGAAATTCTTACTCTAAACAACTGAACCCGGAAATCATAAAGATGCAAAAGACTCACACTCAAATAAAAGGTCCTAGCATACATCAAGACGGGGAAATAACCATAATTTGTGTGGTTGAAGTATTTTTATCAGTCCCAATCATACTGCAAATGGGCTTCTATGTAGTATTCTAAGTTGTAGGTAAGAAACAGTCAAACACATAGTCATCTATATATAAACAGTAACTAAAGCTAGGAGATCAAGTGTTCTCAACTTGAGATTTTCAATGAATTCCTGGAGCTTCTTGAAAACTGAATTTAAAATATGTATGTGAAGCGAGAGCACACAAGGGAGGTGTGAGGATAGGTAAAACACCTAAAAAATTAGCTAGCATTTGTTGCCCTTAACGCAGAGAAACTAAAGCAGATACCTTAAAAGCAACTGAGGCTAATAGGAAAAGGGGATCAGGAACTAGAGAAAAAGTTAGATCAAAAAGAATTAACCGAGAAGGTAACACACATGCACAGGAAATTAATGTGAGTCAACTCCCTATATCCTTATCTCAACTAGCAAAAACCCTTGTTCCTTCCTATTATTGGTTATACTCTTTCTTCAACAAAATTAGAGATAAGGGCAAAATAGTTTCTGCCCGGTATTGAGGGGGTTGGTGGGGAGATGGAGGGGGCGGAGTGGATGGTAAGGGAGGGGGTGGGGGCAAGGGGGAGAAATAACCCAAGCATTGTATGCACATATGAATAATAAATAAAAATAATAATAAAATATGTGTGTGTGCGTATAGATAGATAGATAGATAGATAGATTCTTTTTCTTGGGAGAAGAGGAAGCCTTGAAAGGCCTTTTTAAAAAAAGAAGAGTATGCAAAGACAACAAGTAGCCAGAGAGGACAGAGGAAAACTGAGGATATTGTGTCCTAGAAACCTAGGGTAGGGTCTGGCACTGTCAGGGGCAGAAGTGAACTCTGCTTACTTCGGTAGCACCTCTTCATGTCTGGGCCCAGCCACATTGTGTCAGGACAGGCACATGTGTACTTGGGAGAATGGCTGGAGATCTGAGGAGCAGGAAGGCATAGGTACTCACAGCCTCCATTGGGCTGGGCACTCAGCTCGCAGGCATCTGCAGCTAACGGCAGAGAGAGAGAGAGACGATTAGGGCACAGACAGGATGACATGCTGGGTATTCTTGCCTCCCAAGTAAGAGGGGGGTGAGACCCCTCTTATTTGCCCTTCTCAAAGAGCTTACCCTACTTTTATTGGGCACTTAGCAGCACTGTACCTGGTATTTTATCCACAGTCTCATTTAATTCTTCTAACAATCCTGAAGGTGTTATGTCCCATATTGACAGATATACACCCATAGGCCTAAAAAGAACAAACTTGTCCAAGCTATACCTCTAGAAATTTTGGAGACAGAATTTAAATTGAGGTATGTTGGCCTCCAAACCCTATTTTCCCCCTAAATCACATGCTACATCCCTCTTATTCAAATTTCTAGACCTAAAATCAGGCACCAATCTTATCACCTCACCCTTCTTTCCTTTTCCACTTTCACCCTGGCAGCCAACACCTCAGTAACAGAATTAGTATATCCTTTGCTAGAGGAGGAGACAAGCCAGTAGTGGGATTCCTGGATTCTATTCTCTACCAACAGGCTGACTTACTGTATGGCTCTAGGACACATTAGTTTATACAACTGCAAAATGGATACACATACAAACAAGAAGCAAATGGATCATGGCCAAAAGAATAAGGTAAACCCGAGTTTCAGTTTTTGTTCTGCTGCCTGCTAACATTATTTTACCTCTCTAAGCTGCAGTTTCCTCAGCTGTTAAATAAGAATATATATGCTTTGTAGAATTGGAAAAAACAGGAGAATTATGTATTTGTTTATTCCCAGCCTTATTTCACAAAGACTTCAGGCAAAATGAGACAAAATGATAAAGCACACTACAAGAGGTTGTTATTATTCCTGGGAATTCTAGTCATGGTATGAATGTGAACACAGGCTGCCTGGTGGCAAGAGAGGACACAGACCGGGGATCAGAGAAAGCTCACCTCTTGGCTGTTTCAGCTCATGGAAGATAACAATATCATGTGGGTTATTGAGGTTCTCAGCCAGGATGGAGATTTCCAGGCCATTGAGCCGATTTGCACTGAAAATGGCCTCATTCTCCAGATCTGTCCAGAATACCTTGTCCTGTGGGACAAAGATGTAGAGGGTAGAAGGCCTAGAGTTGGAACTCATAACCTCAGTCTGAGGGCCTGGCCCCAAATCATAGTGACACATAGTGACAAGAACTGCCCGGACATCTTTCCCAAGCTAGCCTGTCCGCAGATTCTCAGGGGACACAGCCTCTGATACATGATTGAACTCTCCTGGCTCCCTTCTATCTTAGAGGATATTTTGGTGATTCTGAGCTTTGACTTGAAGGTCACAAACCTACTCACTAATTCTGAGCTTTCTGGAGCCAGTAGAAATCCAAGGTTGGATCTCGATAGCTATTACCATTACTGAGGCCAGGACTAAGATTGGAAGGGATATGTGAGCTACTGAGGGAGATCTGCTGCTGGACCTCCTTCAGGCTCTGGGAAGAAACACGAATCCACATGGTTAGTCCATAGACACCTAGACATGCATCTGTAGGCAAATCCACAATTACAGATACAACCATGCATGCCATATACAGATCCAGACACATACCCAAATGCTCATTTACATACATTAAGGCATTCTTGTACCTAAATAAGATCATCTGAATATTGGTGCAAATACAAACACCAGCACATACAGGAAGCACACTTTTACTCAGATACATATATACACATGCACATACACATATTTTACACATGCCACAAATATGCTGAAGCACATACACGTGTCCAAACACACCTGACTTCTGAAGCAGGAGCTGAACTTAAGAAGTGGAATTTTACCCACAATTTCAAGCAGTGCTGAGTGAAGCTGCTCCAAGAAAACACTGCCAGCCACAGACCACTGTCCCCTCACTTTCCCTCCCCTGGGTGGCAGTTAGTTTTGGGGAGAGGTGGGTATATGGGATCTTGGTAGGTTCCGGCTTCCTTGTTTCCCAAGAAGAAAGGTTATTAGGGTCAGGGCAGAGAAGGGTCTTGACTCCTAATCTTCCTGGGAGCTTCTTGAGGACTAGAAAGTGTCTGATTCACTTCTATGACCCCTGGATCCAGCAAAGATCAACAGAAATGTACTGAATTGCATAGCATCTCCCAGGCCATTTTCTATAGTAAATGATGTTAAGGAAACGTACATTCCTTCCTGTCTTCCTCTCCTTATTGGATGCCTTCTGAAAATAAGACAGTGTTGGCTGCTGGGGGTGCATAGAGGAAACACCCTGCAGAGCAATGCCCCTATAAGAAGTACTCTGAGAGAGGGCTCTTGGGAAGAGAGCACAGAAAGTGCTACAGAGCCTTTGTATGCAGGCAGCTCTCAATTTGTGTATGACCACATCAATTGGCTTCCATGTTCCTTTGTTTCCATTTGTACAAGTCTCAAGGAGGAATCCTATGTGAACAAACTTTCTCTAGGTTTCAGCTTCCTGTAGGGGTTCTTCCTCCCCTCACAGAGCTCACCTCAAACACAGCTATCCCAAAGGGATGGCTCAGGAAGTCAGTGGAGAAAATCAGCATCTTTCTGTTGCCTCCGCTGAAGTCAATGCTGGACAGCTGGTGCAGCTTGGAGTCCACCCAGTATAAGCGCTGGTTTAGCAAATCTTGGGGAAAAGAAGGGGAGGAGGGACCAGGCTAGAATCACTAGGCTAGCCTGGATCTTCACTCCTTTGTACCTACTCCCTGCCCACATTCCAGGCCTCAGTCTGGACCCAGTCAGGGAACAAGGTATTGGCACCATGAGGGGACCCAGAATCAAGACCCACTGGGCTCCTGACAGTCTTCAGTCAGGATCAGGTGCTACAGCAGGCTTCCAACCCAGGGAGCTAGGCAAGGCTCACCCAGGGTGATTCCATTGGGCCATTCAATATTGTCTGACACCAGTGTTTGCCGGTCCACACCATTGAGCCCAGACTTCTCGATCTTTGCCTGGTAGCCCCAGTCAGACCAATACATGAACCTGAAAGACAGAAGAACCCAATTTGACTTCTTGTTGGAGACATGATTAGGGTGGTTTGAGTAACAAAGGCTCAATGACCCACTGAATAGTTGAGGATTATGCTTAATGGGGACTGGAAGATCTCTTAAAATCCTTTGGAACCACCACATCTTAGAATTAGCAGGTACTTTAGCCATTACCTAATTTGAGAAACTGGGGAAACCTGGATTCCTCACAAGTCCACCCAGCCTCATATGGGAAGATACACTTATGAGTCCATGTGGTTAGTTCATATAAGCTAGATGTGCATTTGGAGGCAAATCCATAATTACAGGTACAACCACAGCCTCTGGGCCTATCTCTCCCACTTCTGCCAACTCTAACCAGAGCCCTAGAGAGTCAGTGTGGGAAGATTCCTTATAAACTCTCTCTCTACAGGAGAAAGTGGTTGACCTTCTCAACTCAGGTAACCCTCCCTGCTCCAGAACCCTCAAGTCTACTAGGGCTGGTAGCACCCCACTATTATTAATCCAAGATATGCATTAGAACTCACCCACCCTTCATAAATAGTTCCTTAAGTAAACTCTCCTCCAGTTATCTTACTTTGAGTTTGCAGTGGGTTTCCTGCTGGGACCATAACAGATCCACAGTGTATCAGGGCTGGGCATAACTATGGTTTGAGGGACACGGTGTGGTAGGTGCAACACCAGGTCTGAGTGCGAAGAGACCATGAATGAGTGAAGTGAATGTTTGTTTGAGGTTTTTTTGGTTTTTTTTTTTGGTGGTACTGGGGGAGTGAAGTGAATGTTAAGGAGATGGTTTAGTGTCTGCCAGGGTGAATAGTTCTGGGCTGAGAGCACCTGATGCACACTTGGTAAATGGCAGCTGTCAGTTACTTATCAAGACCTCACACAGCCTCCCATTCAGCTGCCCCCAACCAGCTGACTTCACTTACAGGTTTTCTTTTCCCTGTTCAATAACTAAGGAAACAGCAGGAGTAAGAAGCTGGTGATGCTGGTAGACTCAACATGATACAGCTGCTAAAAAACTGGTGCCATTTCAAGAACTCCACTGAAAGGGGAGGAGGAGCATCTTGTTTGTTCAGAATCCCTAAGCCCCGCAAACCAGATGTAGCCAAAACAAAGCAGCCTAGGTGGTTGAGAGGCCCAGAGATCAGGCAAAAGGGGTAGGGATGGAGGTGGGCAGTCAGGAGCAGAGGAGACTCAGTGACTTTGGTCCTCAAATCTTGCTGGCTGTCCTGCAGACATGTTTTATGTAACTCCTCAGGCCAATATAGGAAGTTACAGGGAGACAGATTTGGGATTGTGAGGAAAATCTCCACTTTAATGGGCACAGCTTTCCTACAATGTAATAGGCCCCAAGTAATGAGCTCCCTACCCCTAGGACTGTGTGTAAGAGCAGCTGCCAGACACCCACCCACAGCAGTCTAAGGAAACGCTTCTGTCCCAGGAGCTTCTACCAAGCAATCTCTAGAGCTCTTCACTGCTCTGAGGTGCTCTGATCAGTAAAAGGGAGTCCACGGAAAATCTGGTAACTAAGCTGCACATGGACTTTCTTTGCCATGGCTTGTGTCTGACTATCCCAGTCTTCTAGAGCCCCTCAATAGCTCTTGTGACAGACACACAAGGACTGAGCTCCTATGATGGGGGAATGAGAAATTCAGGTGGGGGCACTTACCCTCGCAGGGGGTCCACAGCGATGGCCCGGGGTTCACTGAGGTCACGGCTGAAGAGAGTGCATCGACGGCCACCATCCACTGTGGCCACTGAGATGGTCTTATTGCCCGAGTCTGTCCAGTAGATGTGCTTGTGGACCCAGTCCACAGCCAGACCCTCTGGAGAGTGCAGCTGCTCGTCAATGAGGACCTCCTGCTCTGCTGGGTCACTGGCCTTGTCCATATAGGCGCTTAGGAGAAACCAGGGTATAGGCAGATGTCCCACCCATGGAGCTGCCTGTACACCATTCCCCTCTATCTTCCTTCTAGACCATGGCAGTGGATTTTATTTTTTTTTATTTTATTATTCATATGTGCATACAAGGCTTGGGTCATTTCTCCCCTCTGCCCCCACCCCCTCCCTTACCACCCACTCTGCCCCCTCCCTCTCCCCCTACCCCCTCAATACCCAGCAGAAACTATTTTGCCCTTATCTCTAATTTTGTTGTACAGAGAGTATAAGCCATAATAGGAAGGAACAAGGGTTTTTGCTGGTTGAGATAAGGATAGCTATACAGGGAGTTGACTCACATTAATTTTCTGTGCGTGTGTGTTACTATGGCAGTGGATTTTAGAGAAACTTGGCTAATCTCCACTCAACACATTCCCTAGGCCACCATGGGAAGGATGCAGGCTTGAATCAGTGCAGTCAGGTTAATGAAAAAAGCATTGAAGGATTTAGCAGCAGGGAAATGGAGACTACATTATCCTGGGGGAGTGGGAGAAGACTTTGTAGTTGAGTCCTGAAGTACTAGTTCAACAGGGGTACAAAGTATAACATTGAGCAAAGAGACCAGCATGTGCAAATGTCCAGAGATGAGCAAGTTCTGGAATCATGAGATGTTTGGAGGGTAGAGCTGGTTTGTGGGTTGTAAAAGCTGGAGATAAATGTAGGTGGAAACCACATTCTGAAGTGGGGTTTTATTCTGGGCCAAGGGGGTGGTGGTAACTAAATGAGTCCAAGGACACAGGCACATTAGATCACTGTGGCACTTGTGAAAAGGATGGTTGGAAGGGAAGGGCATTAATGCAGGGAAGCTGGTGAGAAATGATATGCAGGTGTGAAATGAAGATAGTTCAAAGAAGGCTGTATAGTGAGAATGGAGAGAGGGGCTGATAACACAAAGATACTCGGGAGGACTTTGCTTCCCAATGCTGTTGTTCTCAGCTTCTCTTCTTCCCCATACCCTCTCTTTGGGTGATTAGTTTCATAATGTCCACTGCTATCCATAATTCTGACTCTCTAATCCTGAAAATTCTTAAGGTTCAGACTACTAAACCAACTGGCTGTCTTTGGATGTCCTATGGGCACCTTGAACTCATCAGGACCCCAAATTGCTCAGGCCCATTCCTGTTCTTCTCAGCTAAACAGACAAGACTGCCCAACTTCCAACCTCTGATCCTCCTCCAGTGCTTCCCATCTCAAAGAGAAGCTCCATGAAACCCCCAAGCCAGACACCTGAGACTCTCCAGATTAACCTGGGAGTTAATTTTGACTCTTCTTCCTTCAGCCCCCAAACCAGCCTCTCTTCAAATCTTTCTCTTCCAGTCACAATTATTAAACAGGCTCTGCTCTAGCTCTGTTTCCACGTGTATAGGTGTGAACTCAGTGTATCTGTGTGCTGGGGAGACGTAGTTGTCAGTGAGTAGCAGTTGGTAATTTGTTTCCATCCACTCACACAGCCCATCATTCTTTCAACAATGACTCAGTGTCTAGCCAGTGCCTGGTCATAAGAAATCCTGCCAATCTCAGGACAAAAAGGACATAACTGCCCAAAGGAACCACAGCTCTTAGGGAGGGAGGCTGATGGCATCAGAGACAGATTTAGGAGAGAAGCTACTCAAGTGTGCAAGGAGTTTCCAAAGTGCCACAATTCACTGCTGTGGTCACCGTCAGAGTGGCTGGGTATTACCATCCAGGAAAATTTCTCAGTTCCAGATTGGATCAGAGGTCTCCTTTATACTTTTTCCTCATGGCCACCACAATGAATGTCATTATGTTATGAGTAGGATCTTCCAGGATGGAAGAGACCAGGTCTCAGTCATCTTTGAGCCCCCAGAGTCTGACACCCAGATATGCAAGCTGTATTGGAAGTCTTCACCAGTGGCCAGGGGGTTCTTCCTTTCTGCCTTGGTGGAGTATTTCTTGTGTCTTGCACTTCCTAGCTGAGCCACCAGGGCTTGGACACAGCCCAGGCATGTGGGCTCAAAGCTACTGTATTAATAGAGTTCTCAGCCTAGGCCAGCCCAGGGAGTGAAGTCCTGGTGCTTCCACAGCCATGGTGATCCTGCATCCTTTCCCACACTCAGCTCTGGCTTGAGAAACCCTAGAGGCAGAGGCCACCCATTCTCTTTCAACTGCCAATCACCCCACCTCTCCAGGCCTGGCTGCAAGAGTCATGCCACTCACCTATAGATCTTGCGGTAAGAGAGGTCACACCAGTAGATGCGATTGGTGGCAACTTCCACATCTAGTGCCACAACATTCTTGAGCATGGGGATGAGACGTGAGTAGTCCCGCTTCACCAGGTCTATCCTCCGCACCTCGTGCCGATTAGTGAAGATTAAGGATGGGCTCTTACCAACTGCCATGTAAGAAAGTTGAGAGGTCAGGGTCAGTGCATCAGGAGACCAAGCCTCTGCTACTAGTTTGTTATATGACATCTCATGTACCTGTAAAATAGGGATGATAATCCCCACCTCATAGGATAGAGGAGCAGAAGAAATAATGAATGCAAAAAGCATAAGATGCAAAGCGCTATACATAAAGATTTGTTCCTTCTGTTAGATACAAACTCCCCTCTGTGCGCAATGGATAGCACATTGGACTCCCTCCAAACTTTACAACACCCCCATTTCCTCACTTCATTGAGGCCTCCTGCAGTGTAAACCTCATCACTGGCCCCTCTAGCATAGCTGGATTCCAGCTACCAGAAGATCTGCCATTCCCTTGCCAGGGCAGGGCTTTCTGCCTAGGGCAACTACCACCCTCTCTGCTTGGGGCTCCACTGCCACAGTAAGGGGCCGCCTGGGCAAGTAAGTGATTCAGTATGGAGGACAGAATATCAGATCTTCCAGAAGGCTGCTCTGAGCATTAAGTTTATACAGAGGGTGTCTGGTGAAATGGCAAGAAATAGTCAAGGGTCACACGACAAAGGGTTCTGTGGGCTAGGTGAAGTCGCTCTTTATCCTGAGCCACTGGCAGAGATAGACATGTGTAACATCTGACATATTATATAATCTGACAGATTATATAGATCCACAAAACCCATTTTTAGACTTAGGGTTAGATTTTAGGAAGATCATCAGAGACCTAGACATTCCTGACTACTCCATGTGGAAGGTCACTGTCCAACAGGCTTATGGGCCTAGCACTGGCTCTCCCAAGCTGTTTTGAGATACATCAGGCCACTCTCAGGCACCAACACTGAGTGGCAACATTTTGCAGCACCTGTTCCTGGAACTACCTGTGTCTTCTCCCCCTCATGTTTTCCAGCTGACATTTCTGTATGCCACCTGGTCCTTCACTGTGCACCTGTGCCAGTCTAATGTGCTCCCTGGGGACAGGGTGGGGCTAGCACAGAGCCATGTAGAGGCTGGGCATATAACCTGTATGTAGTGATGGAGACTATTTTAAGGCACAGGGTAGATGAGAAGGAGGCTGTGGCACAAATAGAAAGCAGGAAAAAACAGGGCTCAAAGTGCAGGATGGGGCAGGAAGAAAGCTAGGTGGCCTGTCTGCCACCAACAAACTGATTTTCCTTACCCCAAAAAGAGAGCAATGATGGTTTACCTCTCTAAAGTTAGGGGCTGAGTTATGGCGCATCTTGGGGTAATTCTTAATGACAGCTGTGACAGTAACAGGGACCTTGTGTGTTAATGAATTTTGAGTTTTTGTATACTTGTGCTTTAGATATTCCTATGTATGGATTTTGTTTATACACGAACAATTGTTCATGTGTTGTCTCCACTGAACATATATAACATGTTACACATGTCCTACATGGAGGTAAAAATAGGCTAAATGGTACATGTGATATGTAAATGTAGCTGCTATACAGTGTACAGTGTGGGTGTTATGTTTTGGGATTTATAGGCTACATATCAAGTATTATGGCTTCTGTGTTGTTATAATCTGTATGTGTGTATAGTATTCATTTATATTAACTACAGACTCATACATCCAACTGCCTATACAGTACCTCCACTTGGACATCTAAACAGCTTTATTATACTCAGCATTTCTCCCATCCAAGTACTAACCAGGCCCGACCCTGCTTAGCTTCCGAGATCAGATGAGATCGGGCGCATTCAGGGTGGTATGGCCATAGACTATACTCAGCATTTCTCAAGCAGTATAACATTCTCCCAGTCCTGCTTCTCTCACCATCTTTCCCAAGCCCAGAAATAGCAATCCTATTTTTTCAGATGCTTGGCCAAAAACCTTAGTCTCTTTGACTCCTTTTTCTCTAACATTCCACACTCAATCTATAAGCAAATCCTGTTAGCTGGCCTTCAAAATATACCCACAGTCTGTTCATGTCTTAATATTCCCACATCACTTCTCTTCTGGATTACTACAATAACCTCTTAAGTGGTTTCCCTGTTTCCTCCCAGGTCCTTTGGAGTCTACTCTTTGCAATGCAGCCAGATAGAACCTAAATGTCACATTCTAACTCCCCTCTACTCAAAACTCTTTGAGGGATTTCCTCAGATTTATTGAGAAATCAAGTCAGCTCTTAACAATGGTCTACAAGGCTTCAGGGATCTGTTCTGACTTCATCACTTTCTATTCTCCTTGCTTCAACTGTATTGGCTTCCTTGATGTTCCTTCAATATCCCAGGTGTATTCCTTCCTTAGGGATTTGCACTTTCTGTTCCTTTAACCTGAAATGCTGTTTCTGAAGATAATTTGGTGGCTCACTCACCTCCTTTAGGTCTTTACTCAAATGTAAAGCCCTTATCTTCTTAGTGAGTGCTTCCCTGACCATTCTGTTTAAGACTATAGCCCACTGCTCTCCTGGGCTTTCCTATCCCCATTTCTTACTTTATATTTCTCCCTACCGTGCATTGCCACCTGCCATGTGCTGTATTTTGTTTACCTGACTTCTCATCTGTCTCACTATTAAAATATGAGTCCATGATGGCAGACAGGGATTTCTGTCTACTTTCCTTATTGCCAAATCCCCAGTGCCTATTAGGTATTCTCTTTAAATAATTGAATAAGATGAGTTAATTCAGTTGTCTAAATTACAATGTGTAAGTCAGCACATGTCATGCTCATGCGTGCTATGCTGGGTTTGTGGTCCAAGTGTGTTGTGCAAGTGTAATCTCTACAGGCCATACTGGTCGGCTCTACAGTGTCTATGTGGGTGTTAGTGTGCAATACATTGTGCATAAGATGCATATTTATATTTTGAGCACTGCATGCGCAGCCTGCTTTCTGTGTGTGTACACAACTGTTCCTCATGTGTGGCCGCATGTTGCTTTCTCTATCCCCTCACAGCTTCTCCCTGACCTTGGAGTGTCCATACCTACAGCCTTGCAGTTCTTGGTCAATGTGTCCATCTCATAGCCAGGATGGCACTCACACTTAAAGTAGCCTTTGTAATTCACACAGATCTGGCTGCAGGCATCTGGGTCTTCGCACTCATCTATATCTGTGGGGAGGAACACAGGTCAGAATTGGCAGGACTTCTCGGCACAGTGACTAATGCCTGTAATCCCAGCTACTTGGGAGACGAAGCTCAGGAGGATCAGGGTTTGAGATGAGCTGGGCAAAAAGGTAATGAGACCCTATCTAAACCACTACATGGGCATGGTGATGTGCACCTGCCATCCCAGTTACAGCAGGAAGTGTAAAATAGGAGGATCACAATCCAAGCCGGCCTGGGATAAAGCGGGACTCCATCTCAAAACCAACCACAGCAAAAAGGGCTGGAGATGTGGCATGAGTAGCAGAGTGCCTGCCGAGCAAGCGCAAAGCCAGTACTGCAAAAGAAAGAGAGGGGAGGGGAGGGGAGAAGAAAAGAGAGGAAGAGTAGAGAAGAGAGGAGAGGAGAAGAGAGGACAGAAGAGGAGAGGAGAGGATAGGAAAGGAGAGGAGAAGAGAAGAACTGGCAGGATGGTCTGCCTTTGCTTGAGCAGATGGGGGATAGGTCTCACCACCACAGGTTTTCTGGTCCAGGAGCTGGAAGCCTGCTGGGCACGTGCACTCAAAGCCAATCTTCAGGTCAGTGCAGATGTGAGAACAGCCACCATTGTTATGCAGACATTCATTCACCTCTGGGGAGGGACACAGGCTTGTGAGGATTCAAGAGCCCAGAAAAGGTGGGAACAGGGCAGGTGTGGGGCCCAGAGTGGAAGCAGAGCCTCAGGGCAGTGGAACTCCCAAGAGCCAGGAGGGCTGGAGAGCCTCAACCTCATTAACCAGAAGACTAGGAAAGGAGAGGTTCAGACCAGACACACATTGGGACAGAGTGGAACCAGAACTCAAGTCTTTGGCCTCCCAGGCCAGAGCTTTGTCCAACTACCAGCCTGGAGGCAGCTTGGCCTTCCTTGATGACCTGAGGACTTTCACAAACATGTTTCTTACAGCTCCTCTTTCCTTGTGACATCCAAGTTGAAGGGGCTGCATGTATCCAACCCTCAGAATACCCCAAGAATGCCATTTATAATGCCCCTGCATACACTTCTCCAGCCTCAGGGAGCTTACTTTCCTCCTGGAGCAGCTGACTCTACTTTGGAACAACACCAGCCCTTATGAAGTTCCTCCTCACAGAGTATGTTCCTGTAGCCTTACCCTGGCTCCCAGCTGTGCTCTATGGAACTGGCCAGGTGCATGTGATCTCTCAGAACTTCCTTAAAGGGCTTTTTTCTGGTTCCCTGCCACTCAAGTGCCTTTCTCTGGACACATTCCATCTGTCCATGTCCCTCTCTAGGGAGGGTCCAGAGTTAGTTTGCCAGGCAAAGGGAGACTACCTACACACAGGATGCTACCTACTGTTTCTGTGGTCATCTAAGTCTCCTAGGCTAGGCTTTTTTCTATATAGTTCTGTCAAGTCAATTCTCTCCTACTGTGAACTATTACAGTGGGTTCTTTCCAACTCCTCCCCCTTTGGCACCAGTCCCTGTTTCTCTACCTTCACCACAGGCCTGGTCCCAGGATTATTAACTGCTGCAAGGGATGAAGGGATGCCAGGAGATCATCTGGGTCTGGTTCCCTCATCCTCCACACCCTCACTTCCTTCTGTAGGGTCCTAAGGGAGGTCAGGGAGTCCAATACCAGGGCTTACCAAGTTCTCACAGTTTCTCCTGAGCTTTAGAATCATAGAAGGTTAACTTCACAAGCCAAGGGAAGGTGCAACACCACCCCTCTGCCCACCAGGCTCATGCATGCCACTCCAGCCAAGCCAAGCAGAGCTGAACTGAGCCATCCCTAGCCATGCATACAGCTGGGTTTGAGCTGCCCACCCCAGGCCATGCACAGCTGTGGGATGCCCCCACCACCAGCCGGAGCCATGCTTAAGGAACATCCCCTTTACCCCTGGGCCTCCTCCTGTTTCCCCGGAATGTTGGTGCAACTGAAAAAACAAGACCACAGCAACCCCATGACTTGGGGGTCCAAAAGCAGCTCCATCAGGTCCAGCCCTGGGAAGCCACAGACTCTTGGGAGAGGGCTGAGCCATGGTAGCTTTGGAGTAGTTTTGGGAGAGAGGGGTACCACCTTCAACAATCATCTGTCACTACATGTCCTCTCTTGTTCTGTATTACTCCCTGAACACCATTCATTCATTTATTCTCCCATTTGCTCACGACCTTATTCATGCACCCACTCACTTCCTTCCTCTCCTTTGCAGGTAGCAGCAACTCCACAGTCTTGTTTACTGACACTTGATGGAATGGCATGTATAGGTTTCCCTGAAAGGGGAAAAGGGAGGGCTCAAAATAACTCTGGCTTCTGATGAAAGAACATACAGCGTCCTCTAGGGCTTAAGTAGGTTGGGAAAAGAAAAAAGACAGCAAGTCTAGATCTGTCTGTCCCTGTCCATCTCCCCTGGAAGGCCTGAAGAGAAGTCACTGACCTTCCTTAACTCTGTCTAGACTGGAGGTGATTCTGCTGGGGAGCTGGGAGAGGAAGGAAGCAGACATAGTGGTCCAGAAAGGTCTGAGAAGCATTTGAGGCTTCCTTCCATGGAAGGAAGCAATGATGTCACTTTCCCCAGAATGTGCACACACTTACATGCACACATTTGCGTGCACACGTCTACATGCACACACACAATAGCTTATGTGCAAAGGCACAGACCAGCCCGCAGACCACACCGACACATTCACACAGTCATGGGAGCACACACAGAGATGTGTGAATATGATTCCCCTGCCTTACTCAGAGGAGATGTGGCTACAGACACTGGCCACTCACCAGCACAGAGACAGAAAGGTCACTCACAGACACAAACACATGCATACATACTTCTCTTTGGTGTATCATGCAAAAGACAAGAGAGTAGAGAGTTTAGCAGCTGAGTAGTCCCTGGCTAACTGCATATGCATTTTGTGGGGAACTAGGTTCAGCTGCTCCTGCTTCCCCACTCCCTTTTCCACAGGTTCTTCTGGGCCTTCACTTGGCAAGGCCTGGATCAGGGAAGTGTCTGTCTCTTACAAGCTCAGGTGGAAGCTGAGTGACCTTCAAGTTTTCACAGTGACCCCTCCTTTCACAGTCAGTTTGGGGTTTTTTGTTTTTAGTCTTTAAAAGGGAAGGAAAGATCCTGTCAGCTCTAGAACAGGCAGTCCCTCTGAGTGCCAGGAGAGGCAGGGAGGAGTTAGGGAACAGTCTGCCAGAAGGAAGGAAAAAGAGGGTTGACCTAGGCTCTGTCTTCCTGTGGCTTCTCTGTCCAAATCTCCTGAACTCCTGACCTTCTGGGGATCAGCAGAGAAATGACTCAAGACATCCTGAGCCCACCCTGGGTTCCCAGTGTTCTCTGGGATGTTCATCTCACCTACAGTGCAGAGCCTCTGTTCTCTTTGACCTGGAACCCACCTGCTAGTTCTAGCCTTCAGGACAGCTGCCTTACGCCACTTCTCACTCTAGTCTAACCTCCAAGTATGACCTCCCCAGCAAGTCCCAGTTCCTCAGGGCTGAAGGATGGTGCCATCCCCTGCTGCTGGGACTGCCCTACTCTCACCCAGGTCTGGCCTGAGCAATGGTCCTGGGATTTGCCCCAGTTGGCTGCCTGGTTGCTCTTCCCTGCCTCTTCCTCTGTTGGAGGTCTCCTGCTGGAGCCTGCAAGGCCTCAGATGCCACGGCCCTGACTAGGTCAGCAGGAAAGGAACTCTGAGGAAGAGAGAGTTGCAAAGCGCAAACTCTCAGAGGTCTGAAACTGGAAGGAAGGAGGAGAGACGTGTTTGTGAGAAGCAGCCTAATTTTTGAGCATCTGGGCTGGAAAGAAAGACCTTTAAAGTTTTGTAGAGATGCAGAACAAGAGGTCCCCTCTGAGGTTACAGGAATTGTGTAATGAGGATCAGAGCAGAAAGTGTCAGAACAGAGGGGCATATGAGGGTCTTAAGCCCAGACGCCAGGAGGGGACATGAGAGGAGGGTTAGTCCAGCCATTGTGTGTAGACAGGTACAGTACCACACTCTTTCAGAAGCTCATCCGACCAGTCTTGGCAGTCCCTCTGAGCATCACACACTTTCCCGCTGTCCACGCACTCGCCACTCTTACACTGAAATCTGCGGGGACCCTCACAAGTTGACTCTGTTGGGCCAGACAAGAGAGTGAGCAAAGCTGAGTCAGGGCCCACAGAAGATGAGCAGAGTTCCAACATCAGCCCCCACAGATCTCTCGGGGAGCTCAGGACAGACAGCTGAATCCAGGGCCTGTGGAAGCTCTATTCATAGGACAGGATCCCAAGGACGACAAGGATGCCAAGCCTCATCTAACTAGGCAGAGACAGGGGGTCTGTGTCTGATTCGGCAGTGCTGGGGCTCTAGGAGGGACTCTGCAACAATTCTACAGAGACCCTAGAGACTGGACTGACCATCTCCTGAGGGGGAACTTTTGCACCATGGGACCTGAATAGGAAACGCTGCCTCATTGCCCAACTTTTATCCATTCCCCTGATAACTAGTAGGTTGGGGTCCTCTCTGTTCTTGTAGGGTGCAAGTGGTGACCAGAGGAGCCATCTGAGAATTAAAGGTGCTTCCTGGGGAGCAGGATTCAGCCTTTGCTCAGTCTGAGAAAGAGTGAGGGAGTCACTCAGAAGATTGGATGTGATCAAAGAGGAGGGGGACTGGACTTCCTGCAGTGTCCTTTCCTAGCCTTTTTTCAGTTAATGCAAAGTTCTTAAAAATCCAGTGCAGGTACCACTAGGACCCTACAGGAAGGGAGCCAGGTGATACAGAGGCAAGCAATCCTCTGGGGGGAAATGCATATCTGGGACCAAGGGGAAAACCCTCCTAACTCTGCTCTGTCTAGATCAGGGAGGGCGTTTGGGCTTTTCCTCACAGAGGATGCTGCCCCTTTGCCCTTACCACACCCACCCTGCAGGCAGCCAGCTTCATCACTTCCGTCTGGACAGTCTTGTTCCCGGTTACAGCGTTTGATGGCAAGGACACAAGTCCCATCCCCACACTGGAACTCATCCCCACGGCAAGTCCCTAGTGCTGCTGAGAGAAGGCAAGAGGAGAGGTCATGATCAGTGTGGTGTTGGGGTAGCTCTCCCCAACAATGTCACGCAGTATTTCCTCCACCCCTCAAGAACAAAACCAGTGGTTGAGCTTAGGAGTCCTCAAAGGACACCTGACCAAGGCACCTCCAGTGTACACATGGGGAGACTGAAGCTCAGAGAGGGGAAAGGCCTGTCCAAGGCCACACAGCACTCCTGTTGCCCTGTCCACCACTTCTCAGACCAGACATGTGACCTTCCACTTAGTGCGCATGATTTAATGATTTTGTCTATTCAGTCACCCCTTCTTGAGCCAGGCACTTTGCTGAGTAGGGATGAGAAGCCTAGAGACCACTTGGAACCACCCATCCCCTAGGAGTTCAGGTGCAGAGGAGGGCTGAGGAGTGCATACTAAAGGACATCACAATGTGAGATGTATTGTAAAAGGAGAGCAGGAGGCAGCCTCCTGAAAGGACCCAACCCAGCTGGGAGGTCAGTGGAATGTGACAGGTCTAGCAGACAGAAAGGACAGTGAGAGGAGCTCCAGAGCATACAAAATCTCTGGGCAGAGGGTTCAGTGCTGACTGCCTGGAACAGCCAAACTGTAGAGACACAGGTACCAGTGAAGACGCCTGGCTTCTGGGGTCAGACCTGAGCAACCCTGCTTAGGAGTCACATGACCTCGAGCAAGTCATGTCAGTCTCCCAGCTTAAGTCTCTGTTAAAGCAGGGTCATTTGTTCCGAGTAAGGCAGGGAAAAAAGCAAGCCTGCACCTGGCCAACTGGTGGCCAGATCCGCAGGCCCTGGGTGGGGCTGGACGACGTGGAGGGGGCTTACGGCAGTCGGCCTCGTCCGACATGTCCTTGCAGTCGCGGTCGCCGTCGCAGCGCCAGCCCAGGTGTATGCACTCGCCGCTGCGGCAGGCGAACTGGGTGGTGGGGGCACAGGCTGCGGGCGCCGACGTGGTCCCTAGGCCCGTTCGGCCCGTTCGCCCACAGAGCTCGGCCGCCTCATCTGAGCGGTCCTCGCAGTCGAACTGGCGGTCGCAGACCCAGCGCTCGGGGATGCAGGCGCCGCCGCCCCCGCAGCGGAACTCGTGATGCCCACAGGCCGGGTCCGCACACCCGCGCTCATCGCTGCCATCGCCACAGTCGTCGTCGCCGTCGCACACGAACACGGCGGCCAGGCAGGACCGGTTGCTGCACTGGAACTCGTGCGGGGCGCACACTGCGCAGGACAGAGAGCCGGTCGGCCGGCCGGACCCCATTCCTCCCGCGACCCTGCCCGCTGGTCCTGCTACAGGGACTCTGACCTTCACCTATGGGCCAGAATAGGTCCTGCAGGGAGCCTGATCGGGGGCCATTCAGTCAGGGACAGAAAAGGGAAGCTTCCAACGGGGGCCCTGCCACTGATACACTAGATCACCATGGGGCAAAACATACTTGCCCTCCCTGAGCTTCCCATGGTTCGCTGAGTAAATGAAGAGTCACAGTTCTTGCCCCGCTGCCACCAGCATGGTGGGACTAGGTGGGGGGAGGGGGGTTGCTCAAAAGCTGCAGAGTACCGCCATCTTAAAGGCCAGGAAATGCTCTGTAACATGACTAACCCCAAGCACAGGAGCTGGGGTTGTCCCTGATAGCCTGACTGCACATAACCCGCACATTCTAAGTTCCCAGCCTGGCGTCTGTGGCTCGGGCCCTACCTCATGCCTGTACAGACTACAGTCCCTGCCACCTTAGACATTTGTTAGGCCTAGTGCACATGGTCCCCCTCCAGGCCTTTGCTCAAGTCGCTACATTCCTGAGAACCCACCTCTTGCCCACCATTGCCTGAACATTCTTCAGTCTTTAGTTCTCATCCTGCAAGGGTACAAATTTTGCTTCCTCGGTAACATACTTCATGCTTCCCTGCTTGGGAGATCTTCCTCTTCCTTTTGTGGCCTTGCACAGCCACCCACACATCTGGTTTCATGTTTTTTTCTATCTGTCCCATGGCCATAGATGGCCTAGGTACCACCCTATGACATGAGGGCCTGGCATGGAGCTCCCAACAGGGGGTGAATATGGAGAGGCTGAGTTAATAGACTGCCCATCTGTGGAGTAATTAAGGGGTCTGCAGTAATTAAGGGCATAGGTCATGGCCCTGCCTGGGATTCTGGGCTTCCTCTCTATGGTAGGCTAGTCTGAACTCAGAGAGGGAAGACCTCAGCGACCTGCCCAGTTGCTTGTTTGCAGATAGGAAAACTGAGGCTCAGAGAGAGGAGGAACTTTCCTAGGGTCACACTGGCAGTCCATATTAACTTTCCTACTTTGACCCCCTCCTGTCAGCTTTTCTGGGTTTTTTTCTCTCTTCTTGAATTGTAAGCTGCTTTCAGAGCAGTGACTTCCTAGCCTCCTCCCCTCTTTCTTTGTGTGTTCAGACACTGTGAGACTAGGTGGGTCAGGGATGCAGTGGCTATGACCACAGGTGATAGGGTTGTGGCAACACTAGATCTTTCCATGTGGGGGCGCTCAGAGTCTGTGTGTCTATATTTCTGGTGGAAAAATGTCATTTTTCATTGTTTTTGAACATAAAATAAAGTGATGTCTTCAGTTTCACACTGCAGGCAGCTTATGTCATGTGTTTCTGACAGCTCTACCAAGTTTCTGACAGCTGCATGTTTTTCTCCTTCTGGGCTTTTGGGGTGTCAGGGCACTGGTGGTAAAAGCACAAGCTCCATGGTGCTGTAAACCCCTCAAGATGATACTGGAGGCTAGATTAGCTCTCCTCCTGCCTATTTAGAGTCAGCTCGTACCTATGCAGGAAGGGAGGACTCCTGCCTTCTGAGTGTCCTGATAGGAAATATTTCTTAACACTGAATTCTCACCAAGATTTTGGAGCTGATAGTAAGTCTAAAATCTGTACCACCTGGGCTCAAGGACCCCACTCCCAGCACTCACACATGGAAAATGCACAGCAATGGGCGAAGGGAGGCTCTTTCTCCTCTGCCCAGATGGGAGGGTGCCAAAGCAAAGAAGCCCATTAAGACCTTCTAACAGCTCTGGCTCCTACAATTAATGGGAAATGTTCCTGTCCCAACATGCCCTGCAATAGAAGCTGATAGTCTTTATATTGGAGGAATCATCTGATTATGGGGATGGGGGAAAGAGGAAAGAGGATTTTCACTGGGTACTGAGTCCTTGAAAAATGATCACAGCTGAAGAAATGAGCCAGAGCTATCACTGGGGCTTTAAAACTGCAGATCCCAGCTAGGAACTCCCTTCCACACCCAGATACTTTCCGCTTCAGACCCATCCAAGCTCCAGACTTAGATGGCGAAGAGGCACACAGAGATGAAGGGCAGTGTGTGAGAGACAGCAGGGGACAAGTGCCTGGCAAAAGCCTTTCTGAGTGACCACCCTCACCCTCAGCCCAGTAGCACAGCTGCTCTGTTTTCCCCTATGATCATATGCTCCCAGAAGGAGGACTGTGTAGCTCATTTATCTCATTGTCCCTTCCAGAGCCTGGCTCCAGGCCTGGTACCTAGTAGGTATCCATTGAATTGAAATGAATGAGGCCAGGCCATGATCCCCACTGGCCCAGGTCTTGCTGGCTGTTCCCTGGGAAGGAGCTAATCCTCTGTTTGAAGCTCACTGAGGTGGAACTATCCCAATGACCACTTCCATCTGTCCCTGCTGAGGCTGTTGGGAATATCTTCCCCACCCTGTACCGTGTGTGCTCAAATCTGAGATTTCAGCAACAGTCCTTCCCAGCTCAGGAACGTGCCACCATTGCTCCGTAAGTCATGCTCCCTGCCTTGTAAGATCCCCTTTCCTTACTCAGAGATTGGTGGACTGGTGGAATGGATGAGCAGATGTCAAGCATGGTAAAAAGCTTTGCTTTTCAGACCTTAATTTGAATCTCAATTCCATCACTCAGCCTTGGGCACTTTTCCTCCCTTGTCTGAGCCTCAGTTTCCTCACACATAAAACAGGGGTGACAATGGCTACTCATGAGGTGGTTGTGAGGATGAAAGAAGAAAGTGTCTCCCGAGTGCCTGGCCATCACTAGTGTCCTGGTCATTACCCTTTCCTTTCCATATACCAGTCCTCACAGGGAAACAGGCCTCTCCCCTGGAAGTGGCCACCACTCCCCAATGCTGCCTGACCATGCTTGGCAGACCCTGGGGTTCTGACCCTGGACTCACAGGTAGCACAGCCAGCCTCGTCTGCTCCACCCTTGCAGTCCTTTTCCCCGTCACAGCGCCACGAGGCAGGCACACAATTGTGGCTGGTGGGTCCACAGCTCAGCTTCTCTGCAGGACACACTTGCCTGGCTGTGGAGACAGACATCATGCATGGCTTAGCCAAGAGGGACACAGGGCATAGTGCCAACCAGTCCTACCACCCAGTTCCAGCCACCTGGAACAAGGCCCTAGCAGTCCATCAGGAACTCTGCCCCTCTCAGTTTCTTCATCTGAAGTCCATGTCTGCCCCTAAGATTTTCCAAATCCTACAAGTCCTCTCCACGCCGTGCCTAATGCTCTCTCACGGCCTCCTAGTCCCTAGCACTCAAATCCCTCCTTGATCCAGTGACCCCTTTCTGGGGTCATCCCTCCAGGCCTCTAGCAACATGGAGCCATCATGCTCTGCACTCTTTCTTTCCTGACATTTCTAGCTGTTTGCCCTTGGGTGAGATATGCCCAACTGGACCTTAGTTTGCCTTCTAGATCAGGGACTCCACAATCTAAACCTAGGGATGTGGAGGGCTTACCAAAGCCCCAGCAGCTCCAACCCACCCCTTAAGCCTCTCCTCCAGTGATGGTGCTGAGCCTGCTGCTGAGCGCAGCCTCTGTGTGGCAGGGCCAGCGGGACTGCACAGCCATAATTACTGCAGCAGCAATCAGAGCTGACTCAGTCGGGGGTCTAATGCCCCAGGGTTGACTCTCAATTTGGAAGAAGGAGTAAGCAACCTATTTGAGGTTGGGGATGCTCTTATCTTGATCCACATGACAGCCAAGGCAGGTGCACTTGAGACCTCCACAGTCGGCTCCTACTGCCTTCCAGGGCATGTAGGAAGCCTGAGGTCAGTGGTCTCTAGGATGTGCCAGGCACAGTGCTAGACACTTCCATTTAATTTTCACAATAACCCAGCAGGGTAAGGATTATGTCCGGGCCTCCAACATGGAGACGTGAGCTTGAATCATAGCTCAATCATTCACTGGCTATGCGACTGTGGCCAAAAATCCTTATCTTCATGCCAATAAAGTAGCGATGGCACTATGACCTGCCTCATAGCATTGCTATGATGATCAAGTTAGTGTCTATAAAGCATTTAGAAGGGACATCTAGCCCAGAGCTCACTGCTCCCTGTTGTTATTATCCACACAGAACTATTCTTCAGTAGTATTTATTGAGCACGGCTGTGTACCAGACGTGCTAAGCACCGAGGTTCAGTCATATAGTTGGTAAATAATGGTGTAATGGGCTGGGGCCATGGCTCAGGTGGTAGAGCGCCTGTCTAGCAACTGTGAGACCCTGAGTTCAAAACTCCAGTACAGCAAAACGAAAACAAAAAACTAATAAATTCGAGCTGGACATGTGGCTAAATGGTGGAGTGTTTGCCTAGCAAGCAGAAGGCCCTGAGTTCAAACTCCAGTACCACCAAAAATAAATGAATAAATATTACCCAGTTTGGTACTTTAAAAAAAAAACAAAAAACCAAGAATGGTGTGAGGATTTGGGCAGCTGTGTCTGAAGCTAGAACTGGTCCAGTCCATGGCATCCCTAGAGACAATAGCAGCTCATGTCTCACTGTGATCTCGGATCAGTTTCTTCTCCTCTTACTTCTATAGCTGGGATGAGAGAAAAGTGGTGGTATGGGGGCAGACAGATCCCCCAACAATACTATACTTGAGCCCTCAAGTGTGGACCCCAAAATTATCCCTAGGAATATATTTCATGAACTATACAACAGTACACTGGGAATACAGGATTCATTATACAGAAATTGCCTTTTTAAAAAGGCCACCTTAGGCTATTGTATGGGGTGGGGGTGGGGCCTCTGGGAGCTGGGAGATGGGGGTCCCTCTGAGGCATCTCTATCATTCACACATTGTCAACCCTCAAGCACTTTTAGGTTCTACCTGCAGACACAAAGGACCTGCAGCTGACCAGCATCTCCCAGAGGTACAAGTTACTGGGGTCTGACTACACTGACTCAATGCAGAGCCAAGGAATCTGCATTTTAGTAACTCTTCACCCCTAGTTGATTCCCAGGCTCCTGTGTTTGAGAACTCCTGAGTTAACATTTGCACATTTAAAAGATACGAGACATTTCTTCTCTTTTGCATACAAGTGACACCATAATACAGTGTTCTAGATGTTTACAAGCTGCTCAGAGAAAAAAATGGGTTGGGAGGCAACCACTCATTCCCAAGCCAGATGTCAGGAAACTAAATCTCACTGGAGAGTTGGAAGAGCCACATTCGCCAAGTACCTAAGCTGGGTTAGGCTGCTCATGCCCAGTATTTTACATTTTCCTATTCCATCTTGCCATCATCTGAATGCTGGTGCCCTGTCCCACCTCCCCAGTTCATATTGGAACTCAATCCCCAGTGTGACACAGTTAAGAGGTGGGACATTTAGGAGGTAATGTAGTGATGAAAGCAGTGCCCTTATAAAAGAGGCCTAAGGGAGCCCTCTTGTCCCTTCTGCTGTGAAGACTCAGTGAGAAGTCATCATCTATGAGGAAGGGGGCCTCTCCAGACATGAAATCTGCTGATGCCTTGATCGTAGACTTTGTACCTTCACAACTATAAGCAATAGATTTCTGTTGTTTATTAATTACCCAGTCTACAGTATTTTGTTATAATAGCCAGAACCAATTAAGATACACCATCACCCTCACCCTGACAGGTAATCAGGCCCTGAAGGCTGTTGAGTACAGATTCCAGGAGTACCATTCACAAAGATCATCTGGTCAGTAGTGACCCTGGACTGAGTAGGGTAGCAGTCCTGCAGGTAAGCACTCCATTGTACAGATGAGAAAACTGAGGATCAAGGAAACCAAGAATCTATCCCAAACATGCATAGAAGCTTAGAAACAGACTCTGGGCTACTGACTATAGCCCTATCCTTTCCATCAAACCTTGTGTGCTCCAGAACCAGCCTCATACTATAGTTCTGCAACCAGAGCCCAGGCAACTGAAACAGCCATTGGCCATATGCAACACCTCCAGAAGCCTGGTTCTGCAGACCCCAGTGCAGCAGGCAGCTGACTGAACTTTTAATGAATATTTATGCGTTTAATAGCATAACCTTTCAGCAAGGACAATGATTAAACAATCCGTCTGCTTCCTTTCTTTATAATTAATAAGACATTTGCTCTGTCCCTAAATAGATAGTTCTAATTACAGGCTCTCAAGGACACAGCAGTGCCTGATATCAGTCCCTCACCCCCAAAGAGCCAAGGCTCTTGGAATGCCAGGACAAAAGAGTCCTCAGAAGTCACGCCGGTGAACATCTTTTGGAGTGGCAAAAGCTCAAGGTCCAGAAAGGGGCTGGAAGCCAGGTGTTCCAAGTGCCTGTCTCATCTGGAACCCCACTCCCCTCTTGTGATGTAGATAAGTCTCAAACTGGCTCTCCATACTCCAGATCAGGCCTCTCCACCGCATGGCTCTGGGAACCACTGATGTGCAGTACGGATCTCCCTAGGAGGCAACTCCTATCATTTCTTCCATTTTATAGATGGAGAGGAAAGACCAGAGAGGTAAGATGTTTGCTGCAAGTCTTACGATGAAGAGCACGGCTGGACTTCCATCCCAGGTCTACAATGCTTAACCTGTTGTACTTAACCATTATACACGAGAAAAGTAGGCTCCATGGTCTCCCCAGCACGTCTGGACTGAAGGTTACTAAAGGAAGGGGGTGCTCTGTGCCTTTGCTCAGGCAGGCTGTGCAAGGTGGCCGTCTGCTGTCTACTTTTGCAATCCTTGAAGCCAAAGCCCACAGGCAACATGATGTAGGAAAAACAGCATGAGTTTTAGAGTCAGAAAGAACGGGGTCCAAATTTCATTTACTAATGCTAAGGTCCTCAGGCAAGACAGCTACACCTTCTGTGCACTCTTACTCCCCTTATCTGAAAATGGGGCTGAACAATCCCTTGCGGTTGGTGGGTAGTTTAAATGAGGAAACATGAAAATCCCTATACTCAAAGGCTTAGAACAAATTTGGAGCTCACAAAACAATGACCCTTGTTGGATTTCATGAAAGGTAAGTACAAATGGCTGATGGAGAGGCCTGGTTTCACCTATGCAGAAAGCACATGAGCCCACATTCTCACCAACCTACAGCTCCCACCCAGAACAGCCCTCCCTCTGTGACAGGTGCCCCCGAGGGACACCTTGGGTCTGCTGTCCAAGAACTCCAAGTTCTAAGAGGCAGGGGTGAAGAACCTTACTGCCAGATAACAGGCACCCTCCAACACTGGCTTGAAATTTTGATGGCTGAAGGCACTCATTAATTTCTTGAGAAGCCTGTTCCAGAAATCCAAACCTATAGGTGCTATCTCCAATTCATAAGTTCACAAATGAACAAAAAATCAATGTCTGTTGAATAAAAGAATGAAAGTACTTGGTGGTCCTCATTGATCAAGCAAGTCTACAATGTCGACTCATGTGAGTTTTAAGGGACAGACAGCCTCCAAATGAGGACTACTAGCTCCAAGGAAACCAGAGACTCGGGCTATGGGAACTACCAGTGTCAATTGGCCTGGCTCTTGCCCCAGGAAGGATGGCATGGAACCATCCCTCTGTGCAGAAGTAGGGAGTGATTCCAAGCTCATTCATAAGATACTGGGCAAAATGTTTCCTCTTAGGTGAGTCCCTAACTTGCTCAGAAAATCTCCAGGCCTCCATTTCCTTATTTATAATAGAAAGTGGGTTTGGTTAATCAGTGAGGGTCCCCTTCCAAGTTTTAAGATGCAAGAAAAAAATCCATATCATCACTAAGCAGCACCCAGAAGTGTACCTCATTCCCCTTGAACCACCCTCTCCTCCCCTGCCTATACCCCTCCCAACAGACGACTGAAGGTGGGTCAGAGCTGCCTCCAATCAAGGGAGCTATAATTAGAGCTGAAATGCTCTTTTCATTAGGCAAATGTTCTGGGCTTTCCCATTGTGACTCTGGCTATATTTGACAAGTACAGAACTCAGAGCCAAAGAGAAATAGAGCTGAAAGAAACCTTGACCAGCTAGGGCAGGCAACATAAGAGGCACTTCCATATAGGACCTGCTCCCATATCCCTTTCCCTCTCAACACCCTCCCCCCTTATTAGACTATTCTAATACCATAATATTCTACTATTTTAATGTTCTAATAAACTGTTGATTTGGCTTAGAGCCCAGATATAAAAATAGAAATAACACTATCAAGTCCAAACCCCAGTCCTACCACAAAACAAAGAAAAAAGAAATACTGTCATTTACTCTAGCGCTTGCATTTTCTCATTGAAGCCTCACATCCCTGTAGGGCAGGAACCATGCCACTTTACAGAAGAAGAAATTTAAGTTCAGTAAGTTCACATGAGGGCTCACATGCTAAAGGACCTGACCCAACTATATCAGATACCAAATTCACTACGCTTTACTATCTATAATCTCTGTTAGGGGTAAGAAGTGGGGCTCTATCCTGAGAGTTGGCACAGCCCCAGAAACCTGGTAGACTATGGAGGTTGCTATGGCAATGCCAATTAAATGGACAGCGGGTTGGCGGCTGGCTTTTCATTCAGCTGGGAAGCTGAAGTAAGCAAGCCTGCTACCAGGTTATGTTGCCCCAAGTTCTGCCTGACCCCTGAGGTTGCACTCTGGCTGACTCCTCTAATCAGTTCTCCCCAGACACAGGCCCTCGCTGCCTCTGACCGACATAACTGCAAAGGAAGTGGGGACCTGGACCCTGTGCCCTGGCTGGACACAGCTAGGGAGAAAGAAGATCTCAGAATACTAAATTCAGGAACCTTGGAACTGTGAAATCTTTGGAATTCAGGAATATTGAGGATCAGGGCCCAGATAGGGGTGAGAGGCAGGATCTCACAGCAAATGACCGGGATAGCCCAAAGAAGAGTGGGGTCTCTCCGCTCCAGCGGGCTGCCTTGGCTGCTGCTCCCATGGAAGAGAGCCTGCGGAGCTTGTCTTTTGTCACAGAAGGGAGACCTGCCATGGATAGGCAGGTTTTTGAGGCAAGTCTGTCAACTTCTCTGGGCCTCTAGCAGCTCAACTGTCAACTAAGAGGGAACCTGGGAAGCAGAAGTAGGCCAGGCAGGCCCTGCACAGCCCACAGGGGTTGGGCTGGGATGAGTGAGAGGGAAGACAGAAACATAGGAAGAATGGGGAGAGGGAAGGTGGCAAGAGGGAGGCTGAGGAGGGAAAAGCAAGGAGGGAGGGAGCCCAAGAAAACAGGGGTGGGTGGGGCCTGAAGAGTGCAGGGAGGAAAATGAAAAGTGACACCAACACCAAGACACAGAGGTGAGGGGAGAAGGGATAGCCCAGCTCTCAGGCAGTAAGACTGCACCCCCCTCACACACACAATATTAAGCCCCACGAGGCCCCTCTCCCTCCGCTTTCTGCTCCCAGTGTCCAGGGAGAGGGTTACAGATGGCAGAGCAGGCTGGCTGCAGGGCAGGAAGCTCCCTGCAGCCACAACCCTCCTCCCCAGATGCACTCCAGGTGGCACATGACCCTGCCCCTCGTTAGCTAGGCAGTTGTGGCCAGCTGGCTGAACCTATCCCAGCCTCAGTTTTCTTCTGAGTGAGGTCCTCCTCCCTCATGCTGCTGCCAGGAGGATGAAAGTCACGAGCGGGCGTGGCAGGGCTTTGTTCCTTCTGAAGCTCACAGACAAAGCACCGGGCTTCCTTTCTGCCCAGGCGCCTCCAAGACAACATGGAGCTCTATTTGGCAGGGTGAGGAAAGGATGCAGCCTGCGACACTACTGGGGAGGGCAGGGCAGCTGTGCAAGGAAATGAGGGGCCCTTTGTCTGGGGTGGAGGTCGTTCTTGTTCTCCCTTTCCTCTCTTTCTTTTTTCCCTCACATGGAGACTGGTAGCTCTGTTGCTAGGAGACAAGGAAACCCAGTTATCACCAACTGCAGCCCTGTATGGGACTCTGGCCTCCATTGTCCCTTCCTCTGCCTCTGGGACAACAGTTACCCCTAAAGAGGGGCTCCTGGGTCCCCACCAGCCTCACCATCTTCCATGTGCTCCCTCCCCACCAGTCTTTTGTCTCAGGCTCACACTACTGAAGCTCTGCCTCTGGACCACTGGGTCCATCCCTGCCCCCTTCTCATCTGCTTTTTAATTTAACAAATGTCACAGAATGACCTGCCTGGTATAAGTTTGCTTTGAGGATTAGGGTCTGGAAAAGAAATGATGGAGAGACAAAGCCCTGCGTGCAGGAGGCGGGTCCGGGACTCCAGCCGTCCACCTCACCCTTGGCTGCTTCTGTCACCACACAGCTGTCCATGAAAGATGAGGCTTCTATGAGCAGCCCATCCAAGGCAGAGGAAAGAGTTGGGCCCTCAAAGTCCTACCTGGGTGGACATGGGCAAATCACTCAGCCTCTCTGAGCTTCAGTGTCCTCTTTCACAAAATTCAGAAAGTGACAGTACCTACCTCCAGAAGCTGCTATGAGGACAAAAGGAATTAATGCACACAAAGAGCTTAGCACAGTGTGACACACAGTAAATGCTTAACAAGTACCAACTGCTATTAGCGCTACTGGAATTCCGATTAGGCTACCCAAGTACAAGAGCAGGGGAGGCCTGGAGGATGTGCTCTGGCAACTTCTGAGCAGAGGCATTCAGTGGGCTGTTTCTAGCTCCTGGTTCCGTAGGAACAGCATCAAACCTCTAAGAGTGCTGTGACTCGAGCCCCAAAACCAGCAACTAGCAACCAGACACACTGGATGTTCACCAAGACCCCAGCCCCAGGGCCTGGCACAAAGTATCCTGCTGATCACCTCACATGAGCCCCACAAGCTGCCAACACGGGAAGAGCTGATGAGGAAACTGAGGTTCAGCAGGTCCACCCACCCATAGCCCAAGGGGCAGGACTCACTGCAAGTGGCCTCTGACTCATCAGAGCCATCAGGACACTCCTCATCGCCGTCACACTTCCACTGCTGGTGGATGCAGTGGCCGTTGTCACAGGTGAAGTCACTGTCTGCACAGGTCTTCTTGGCTGCAGAATAAGGAAAGGAGCATAAGGGGTCTGGAGGCTTCTCTAAGACGCAAGTGACAAAAAGGTGACCAGAAGGAACGTGTGCCCAGTTTAAAAGTTGAATTGTGACCTTCCACAGGGACACTAAGGGGGACACCCTGACCCTGACCTCTGAGTCAGTAGCTCAAGTTCAGCAAGGGTGACAGGACCCTCCATACCCGATATACCATCTCTTCCCTCAAAGTCTGGTTCCACTGTCACACCTCCAAGAAGCCCCCCTTAATCCCCTATGGCAGCTGCTTTCACCCTGCCAGCCAGTTCTCGGTCCCTTTACCACCTGTCTGTCCCACCTGCCAATCAGTCAGGGAAAAAAACCCTTCCACAACCACCAGAGAGTTCATGATCACAAATCCTAAAAATATGATTACTTTGTGGCAAGATTAACGAGGCATTTTTTGCTTAGAGCAGTGACTGAGATGGAGCATCTACTGGGAAGATGCTGCATTGGCCCAGACCCTGAGGTGCTTACGAAGGTCCTGTAGGGGGAGACCTGTATCCTGCACTGGGGATTTTGATCCCACCTGGCATGACCTTGGGGACATTACATTACTTAACCTCTGAGTGTCCCTTTTCTTATCTGCAAAATAGGAAAAGGAACAAAGGGCTATGAGGAGCCAGGAGAAGTTACAAAGTGTGAGGAACATGCACACGGCAGAGGCTCGAGTGCCTGGCAGCTACTGCTGTTTGCATGGCTTCAGCATTAATTACAAGAGAAAGAGGTGGGGTATTTCGTGCCTACACAGCTGAGATCCTGCAGCTGGTAGCAGAGCTGGGACAAGAAGGTGTGTACAAGCCCCAGACCAAGACTCTTTGATGCCCTGTGTGCCTCATTCTAAGAGTAACTAAGAGTAAGAGTTTTAGGATCAAGAAGGGGATAAGAAAGGACTATGTCCCAAGGTTACCCCATTATCACTACTCTGTGCTATGTTGGTGTCCAGTGCTGACTACATTTGCAGGCAAGAGCACGGGTACAGGCAGCTGTCCTGCCTGGCCACCCCTAGCAAGTGTGGTGGAGGCCTTGAGGACCACAGTCTTGACTCTGCATCCTCCGTTATCAGCCCTGAGCCCTAGCTGCTGGGGGTTCCTCTGCATCAGATCTGCATGCAGTATACACACACCCTGGGGGCTGGGGCTGGGGGTCTCCAGCTGCTCCAGAGCAGCAAAGCAGGATAGGAAGAGAACTCTGGGCAGGGAGCCCTAAATTTGACTCTCAGCTGGGCTGTGTTTTGCTAAGTGCCCTCAAGTAAACCACTGCCTCTTTCTGGCCCTCCACTTCTTCATGAGGAAAAGGGAAGGGTATCTGGTCAAATATGATCTCCCAGGCATGGGAGGTAGTCCCAAATCAGGAAGCCAGAAATAGCAGGATAGTCTTACACAGCAAGACATACCCTAGGCCTTGGGGGGCCTAGACCTCCAAAGTCCTCCCCTTGAATGACGTTGAGGCCACCTGGATTCTGCCTCTCCCCAGGGGCAGAGGTCTCTTCTTCACTCCCCATACTTCCCAATCTGGCCCTTCCTCAACTGCTGGCGACCCCAGCACACCCTTGCTCAAGCTATCCTGGGTCTGAAAGGCCTTTCTCCAGACTCTGCCTTTTCTCCATTACACCCTCAGATATCACCTTCTCCAAGAAGCCATCCCTACCCTTCTCCAGTCTTTGTCAGGATCTCCCCTAAGTGTCCCTCTAAACATTCCTCTAGGGCAGAGGCTGAGAACTTTCTCCAGAAAAGGGCAAAGAGTAGATATTTAGGACTTTGAGGACCAGAATCTCTGTCACTACTCAGCACTGATATTATGGGGCAGAAGCCGCAACAGACAAAAAAATGAGAGGCAGAATTGTGTTTCAGTAAATTTATTTACAAAGTCAGGCAGCAGGCCCAGTTTGGCCTTTGTAACTTTAGCCCTAGATCATCAATCCACAGCTCACCATGGATTCTTTCCTCCCTACCAGTCCAGCATAGGACTCAACTCAGGTACATCTCAGGGCAACAGTGAACCAAATGCCCACCCAGTCTTTTCTACCACATTCTGCAGTTCCCCACTTCATCGCAATTCTGCCTTTCTCCTCCATGGAGTCCTCACAGGACATCTGCACTCTTGAGAGGGTTTTCTTCCCACTTTCCTTACATGGATGCCTCTGCATGTACAAGGCTAGAAGAAACCCAAGGAATCAGAATCCACCTACAGATAGGAAGCCAGAGAGGGAAAGGGGCTGGTGCAGGGACACATAACAAGGCAGAGATCAGAGCTAGCTCTCCTGCCTCCCAGTTTCCAAGCAGCCCTCCCTGAGCCCTGTGCCAAGAGGTTCCTCATCAACGATGCCAATGCTACCTTCTGGTCCATAATGTTCTTAAAGTACCAGTATGAACACAGCACCTGGGGAATTTTACCTACTCCCCCCGCCCAAAAAAAAAAAGAGCTCTGCATCCAAAAAAAGTCATCTATCAGTTTCTTTTTCCTATGCACACTTTCCCCATGAGCCTCCTGTGTGCCTGTCTCTGTGCTAGGTGTTTTACCCAAGAAACCCCAGACAAGAGCCCTGTATGTTCTTTCAGATTCGGAAACCCAGGTCTAGAGATGTCAACTTACGTACCCACAGGCGCATCTGGGTGGAAGGGGGGGTGTGTGGATACAATTAGAACTTGCAGCCAGATGTCAGCTTTACCCCATCAGGGTTCCCCAAACAGCCCCATGGGCGCTCCAGGCAGCATTGAATGAACCTCTGCTCTGAGAACACGGGAGGCTGAGTCAGCCCATTCCAGGCACTCAGAGCAAGAATGCTGGTTTGCCACATCAGAAGAACACAGCAGGCTTGCGGAAGAAGGTGGTGAAGGGGCTGACACCATGCACAGGACAGCCAGGTACCTGCCAGGACCCTTTCCTCCCTGCATTCTGGAAGCTCAGGAGCAAACTTGGCCTCCCTTTATGTGCCAAGCCCTGGGCAAGGAGAACAGGGCAGCCAAAAGCACCATCACAGTCCTGAAAGGCAGCTTTGAGGTCAGCTAGGCCCAGAAAATAGCAGCTGCAGGGACGGCTGTCCATGCTGATGGTCTGTAGAACAGATTTGGTCACTGTCTGGGCCAGTCTGGACGTTCTCCACCTTGGCTCTGGCCTGGCATCTTTTACACCAAATCCCAGGGACTCCTCACAGCTATTCTCGTAGCTGTCATTAACCCATTTTAGAGAAGAGGAAACTGAGGTTCAAGGTGGGGTGATAGACAGCAGAAGTGGGATTTCAGGTCTGCACGGCAGCTGCCAAAGCTTGAGCTCTTTCCACTGAGGCCCTCGGCCACTCCAGGGTTAGCAGACTTAAGAAGGAGAACCCCAAAGAGGCAAGTACAGTGAAATGCCTCTCAGGTCCCAGGGACCACAGAACAAGGCAGTGGGACAGAGCAGCCACAGAGCACAGAGCTGGCTGCAGTTCCCAGCAATATGCCAGAAGTTAACAGTTGAATCAGCTTGGCCTGGGACAACTTGTGTTCTGCTAATGGACAGCCCTGGGGAAACTGAGGCAGCATGGTCACTTTCAGGTTTGGGACTAGACTAAACCATCTTAGAAGTACAGCCACATGGGAAGATTTTACATCAGAGCTGAAACCAAATCCTGGCACAGCCACTTCCTCACTGAGTGACCCAAGGAAAGTCAGTGGGGATGGGGCTTTCCAAAGCAGTACTGCCACTGCAAAAAGACTCTCCTGGGGGATCTCAATGAACGTCTCCGTGTTGGGTCATTCAGTCCCCATCAAGAAGTCATCTCAGCCCTGCCACAAGAGGAGTGTGAGTCGTCACTCTGAGGCTGTCAGAACAGGCCAGGCCAGACCCTACCCTCCTGGCCTGAGCCCTGGTTCCCAGGGTGACTCCTCTGCTGGGCTCAAGGCTGTGGCTCCCTGTTTGCACGGATTTATGTCCCTCCATGTCAGTCTGCCCCTGAGACAATGCCCACCTCTGTGAGTCCCTATACTCCACAGCCCAGGAGTGGTACATAGTCATCCAGGCTCTGCAACATCATAATCTGGTGCCATGGCAACAGGTAGACTGCCACAAAAGACTCGGGATTCCAGAGGGTGGTGAGGAGAGGCTGACCCCTGGGCAGAGCAGGGGACAGTGGGAAATGCAGGACAAAGGGAGTGGGAGTGGCTACTTATAACAAGAGCACAGGCCCAGGAAAGCATCAAGCAGGCAGTCCATGGTCAATCAACTCTGTTCTGTCACTGTGCGCTGTGTGATCTTATTCAAGTTACACAACTTTTCTGAGCCTCACTTTCCTCATCAGCATTCAGGAATACTATCCCTGCCTCACAAAACACACAGGGTTGCTATGAGGAGCAAATGGGCTAGGAACGGCACCAGGCCTTTATGAACTGAAAAGCAAAAAGGTGCAAGTGTGAAGAATGTGAAGTCCTAGCCCTGGCCCAGCTGCTGCGTGTGTGACACATGGTCTGTCAGTCTGGGCCAGGCTCCTCACTAGAGGGTAACTGATTCTTAAGCCCCACTCAACACCCAGTCTATGATCTTTGGAAATTATTATAATCACTCAGCACCTCCCTATTTCCCACCTCCAGAGGCATCCATCTCAGAGACAACCAGCATCCTCACGCTGCTGTTCCCACCCACGCCTGTCCTGCAGCAGGTGCAGACAGCTTCAAAACAAAGATCTGTCTGGACTACCCAGGAGCGCTGCACCACGTGCCTTGCTCTTAGCCATCAGAAATGTCCCACCTGTTCTACAAGCATGGAGTGACAACTCAGGGTCACAGCACATGCCTTTGGGGGGCGATGCTGTACTTGAACCCAAGTATTGACTTCTAGTTCCACTGTGAGGCCAAGAAGCCAGGGAAGGCGGGCACTACACTCAAAGAAGAGGTGTGGGAGTAGGGGGACTGATGACAGGTTGGGGTGGAGGAGCAGGCAGAGGGACCTCAGGGGCTGGAGAGGAGGCAAGCCGCATGGGGTCCCGGAGCTC